AAGTTGTCGACATTTTCACACAAACCATCGGGAAAGTGGCTTGCATATTATGGGTGCGGGCTTGGCAGGCAAATATATATATATATAAATACATATATAAATATACATGTATAAATATATATGTATAAGTGACTGAGGCGGGCAATGGTGCGACAGGGAAACCGTGTGCAGAGTGCAAGTGGCTGCGCGTTTATAACTTTTCAACTGTTGTATGAAATTTTACAAATTAGATTCATTTCTATGCATTGAAATACATTTGCAAACTTTGCTGCAGAAAGTTGCTCCAATATTCGCACACATGGCAGGCCAACTCCTGTATGGAAGCGTTGTAAAATGCACTGCACAGTTGCCAGCTATGCAGCTCTAACTGACAGACTAACCGGGCCAACCGACTGCAAGGACTCGTGAAATGCTGCAGCTGAACAGTGCCGACTGTCAGTCCTGACAGCGAACGGACCCAGGGACAGGCAATGACTCGACATGCCAAAACTCAGTCTATTAGTTTGACAGTTTATAAAGAAACATGTACGAAAGTTTTACATAGTATTTGCAATTTCATTAATACAAAACTTGTTTGAGGAACCAAACGCCCCGAGAGCATCTTTGGCGCAATTTTTGTTAATTTTAACTTTGAGACACACGAACACAACAAATACACACACACACCCAAATCCAGCTAGAACTTGTTGGCAATAAATGAACGAAGTCAAAAATACCAGAAATTGAAATGTGAAAACTCAAACATTCCAATGATAAAGAAACGAAAGCAGAAAAAAAATGCTCAACTCGAACATCATTTGCAGCATCAAAGCCAGAAACTCAGCATCAACGCCAACAGCACTGTCGCTGGAAAAGGCGGATTGGCGACTTTGCGCAGACATTGGCCAACGCGCACTCCGCGCACTTAGACCTCATCATAATTAATTAAAAAAGTTTTTTAAATCAATTTTCAAATGTCCCAGTGACTGGATATTTGATGAGCCACGCGGCAAAAAAACCCAGCTGAAAAAACATGCAAAGCCATGACGCAGTCAAATCCATTGCAGACCATTATAAGAAGCATATTGCAAATACTTAATTCGAGTTATTTTTTCATTTAAAAAGTACATGCTAAATTCACAGCACACACCAACAAAATTAAAAAAAAAAAACGAAGAGAAAAGGGCAAATATGATTTCCTAGAAATTCATATGCTCGAGTGTAAAAGTTCCCACAATATGAACCCTTAAACGGCAGCTGGCCCTTTCAAGAGCCAACATAAAACTTTTAATTAGTTATGCTTTGCACTCCTACTCAAAGCGGCGACTGACTGACTGACAGACAGTCCGAACAATTCCTTGTTCGCATCGTGACAAATGACAAACCGTTGCTAATTAATTGATGCAAATATTGCAATAGACAGCAATTAGGCAGCGGCCAGAGCTGCGGCAACAGAATTAACGGAACTGACGGCGAAAAGCCGTGCATTTTCCAAAATGATTTCCAATTTAATGGCCAAACTGCTATGCTGCATGCTGGGCTGAATATGCGCATAAAAAGTCAGCACAAAGAGCTGCCATGCCATTATCAAAATTGGAAATGCCAGCTACAAACAGCACACTCTTATTAAGGGTTTTCTGCTTTTGTTGTTGTTTTTCTTGTTATTGTTCATACTGTTGTTGTTGCTGCTGTTTTTCATACCCTACAACCATTGGAAATGGGAGAAGAAGGCATGGCCGACCCCAGAACTGAAGGAGAAGCTGAGTAGACTTAGCCACACGCATCAGTCTGTCTGCCTGTCTGTATGAAGACATAGATCTCGCAACTAGAGAATTGAATTTTGAAATAAATGTGCTTCAATATTATGGTCCCAATGAAATTTAAATTGTTTCTCGATATCTCGTCCCATTTCCAAAATATCGAGAAAAAAATTGATTTAAGTATTTGGATTTTAAGCATAACTCGAACACTATAAGGGCTGAATACAACATATAGTATGAACAGATTTTACAGTTGTGACACCTGCGGACCCCCCTCCCCGCACACTTCCTATATATATATATATATATATACACTCATATGTGAATGGCACTTTTCTGCACTGCAAATTTCATATAGATGTGGCGCATGCGGATCGGTACTGGGTATTTTTAAGTCGAGCAACCTCGACTAGAGCGTTTTCTTTTTGTGAACATGCTTGTGGTGGCTTTAACGGCTAAATTCGTGTGTGTTCGTCGTCGCATCAAATCAAAAACCCAGCCATGGGGGCAATGCATTTTCATTTAACCCGCGCGCGAAAACTAATTCAGCAAAAACAACCTAAAATGCCAAATGATGCAAGACGAGATGATATCCCTTGTTACGTTAAGATATTACCTTATATCTATGTTGAAGAAGGGCTCGAAATGATGTAACTACTAAAATTATCTATAATTATTTTAAGGTTAGTTGATAATAGATAATATTTTTGATATTAAACTAAAACAAAATTGAATATTGATAGATTAATGGATAGCCAGGCGAAATTCAAATATTGCATTGAATTATACAGCTCATAAAATCTACAAATCAAGCCAAGCAAACAATTGCATAGAACGCCAGGTACTGAAGTCGTGAATGCTTGTTGACAAAGATTCCAGTTGCTGCTTACACAAGTCGTTTGCGCAAGTACACAAATAATATACCCCTCAAGTTCAACATATGAGAATTACATGCGCAGTAAGGAAGTAAGAGGGGCAGATATGTAGGGTATATAAATAAATACTTGAGAAAAACATTCACAACTCTGGCGTAGAATTATAAGCAGCGACCGGATCGATGCACTACAAAAATGCAGGTAGTGCCTGGCAAATAATGGCAGAGCGAGAGAGCAGGACAGGTAAGCACCTAGCACCTGTTTGCGCCTTTATATGCGAGTGTGTGTGTGTGTGCGTGCGTGTGTGTTGAAGTGCGCATAAAACGCGCCGCAACAGAAGTGAGCAGCATTTTTATTTATTTTCTGCGGCGTACTTTTGCCTTTTTTTATTTATGTTGTTGTTTTCTTTGTTTTGGTACTGCTCGCTACCAGATATGTATTTTTCGAATTCCAAGTCGAGGACGAGGACGAGAACGAGGACTACGACAACTGCAATTGCAACGAGGTGGGCGTGGCGAGGCAGGGTAAGATAAGGTGGCAGTGCCTCGTTTGTAGCTGGTGCCGGTGCGAGTTTGTTTGGGAAAGCGCCTGTTTAACACTTAAGATATCGTATTTCTTATACCCACGCACACACACACAAGCACACATGCACAAATGCACACACATGTGCGGCAAGCATGCCACAAAGCAGCTCTACACATAGTTTTTGGTGCCTGGCGCCTGGGCTTTGGCTTTGGCTATGCTTCTGGTGCTGGGTCTGACTAAAGATAAATATGCATGCGGTTGGTTTTATAAGGCATGGCAAAGGTGCATTACGTATACGTATTGCATATACGTCAGCCATTTCAACAGACGCGCCTCCTTTCCGCCGCCTTTCGCACATTTGCATGCAATAAAGATGGCGGGCGATAACTAGGTTGCCAGCCATTGTTTGCCTTTTTCCCATATTTCTCTGTGTGTATGCGTGTGTGTGTGTGTGTGTGTGCGTGTGAAACTTACCGCCCAAAAAGCAGCTAGTGCCAGACAACCAGCTTAGCAGACAGCCCGGCACTAAAATAAAAGGCAATGTACGCCAAGTGCCGTCACCTGCCGCCGCCTGCTGCCATCTATTATGCAGATGTACAGCAGGTTCATGAATATATGCCAGCGTTTTGTCTAGGTTTCTGGGCGTGCGAGTGCGAGTGTGTCTGTGTGTGTGTGTGTAAGTTAAAAAAATGTAAATATAAAAAAGAAGAAAATGAAAGCATGCTGCAAAGTCGAACTGACAAAACGCCATATGTTTGAGCACGATAAGCGCAGGTGGGCCAACATTCATCTCTTCATACTCCGTGCAATTGAGGAACTCAAAACTATAATTTTAAATTAGCTGCATATAGCATTTACCAAAGAGCCCATCAGCCTTGGCAGCCAGCGTCAAAGCCCCCAATGCCAACAGCGGCCAGATCCGAAGCAAATAGCTCGCTGAGTAAATCAAAAATGTGCAATAAAACTTGCTGTGTGGCATGCAGCAAAGGTAAATGTGGGTTCGAAGCGTTTGGCCGGATGGAAAGCTCATCTAAGCAACGATAATGATTGCAATTCATTTTTATGACCTCACTAAGCGGTCGGACATTACGATTTTGAAGTGCAATTTGGCACGCATCAACGAAGGATATATATATATATATATGTGTACTTAAGTGCCCGCCAAGCATGTGGGCTATATCAGGTAGCTCGGTCTGGCAAGTCAATGTCATCAATAAAGAATCGAACTACACCAACTACTTGCCACATTTACAACAACTGTGCCACTCTTTCCGTTCAATAAACAATAGAGTGCTCAAAAAAATATATATATGTATAAAAAAAGGCATAGCCTAAATAAATATTAGTTATCCGAACTGAACTATACAGGTGATTGGCGCAGCTGTCATTGCCAATCAGGGACACACGATGTGTGTGTCCAGTAGCTTGACTCCTGCGCTTGAAGCCGTTTCTTTGGTTAGTTGGCGAGTGATTTTCCAATAAACTGAAATTGCATTTCATGATGCCAGGATATGTTTTTTATTTTTGCCATTTTTTTTTTTCAATCGAAACTCTTTCATTTGCTCATTTTTTATTTTTTCAGATTTTGCTGCGTCGCTTATAGAAAATTGAATAAAAGTGCTGCTGGCATAACGACAAACTGTGCTGAATGAGCGCGTGATTGCATGACGGTGCTGCACATCATGGCAGGACGATGAGAAGGAAGTGATTAGTGCTGGACCGTTTGGGAGCGCTTCGTGTACGTATCAGTGTGTGTGTGTGTGTGTGTATGTGTGTGTTCGTGTGCCTGTCTCAGTATAACAAAAGCAAACACACTCAAAGCACAGCACACAATGTCAATTTGTAATTTTTCCGATTTAAAGCAATGCTTCGATTTTATTGTGCCCTCGTTTAACACACGGCAGATATTTTTATTTACAATTTGTATCAAATAACATTAAAAAATAGTAAAAAAAAAAAGGTTCATAAAAATTGCACATCAGCATGCATACGACCAAGATTAAGGAGGGCGATGAGCGGGTAAGCATATGGACGCCGCCATATGGAGGCAGCATTAAAAATGGTCAACTAATACCTCTGCCCCCCCCCCCCCCCCCCCCCCCCTCCTAATCACCTTCCTACAAAACAATGCAGGAGGAGATGGAGCTGAATCAAATCTGGCGCGCCTGTCGTAAAATCCAAGGCGCAATTTTTCGTTATAACTTTGACATCTGTGCTGATTTAAAGCAACATGATCCCGACTGCACCGGCTACGTTTCGGGTGAGCGCCTGTCCTCGGGCACATTTCGATGCAGTTACCCCATTTTTTATGTCTCTTTTATGACCCTAACCAGAGTCTATATTCACATCGGTGCTGGGCAAGTATCGCAAGATGGTCGGCATGTCCGAGTTTGAGCTGAGGGATGTCTGCGATTATTTTCAAATTCGCGATGGACGCGTCGCCTATCGCCAGTTCTGCAAGGTGGTCTGCAACGAGAGTAAGTGAATATCGGGCTACGTTAGAAACGGCTACACAAGACTAACGCATCCCCATAGATCTCCATAAGAGCGCCGATAAGGAACTGGCTAGCGGTCTGGAGTGGAATGATCCCTACCACTTGAATCTTATACCACAACCGGAAGACCGTCGAAAGCTATGCTTGATTCTATTTAAAATAGCAAGGGAGACACACTTGCCATTGATGCCCTACTTTCAGGACTATGAGCTGGTTAGTTATCATCAAAAAAATTGCGAATTTAATTATGGGTTTCAGTTTAGCTTTAGCTCACGTACACAACACACGTATACGTGCGCTTTCAAAACTTTCAATAGAGCTTTTAACAATACGCTAAGAATGCATTTCTTTCAGTCAAGCGCACACTAATTCATTTACACATACATTTGACAATGTATTAACATTATTTTCTGTGCTTGACGCGTTACGATTCGCAGCAAGTTTTAGCCTAGATAGAAACCCAAAGTTATGACCAAAGTCAGCTGTTGATAGAACCGGGAACCGGGTTCTTTAAATAACCCTTTTAGGGTTTATTATATCTTGTGGTTTTTTGGTTAATATATAAAAATGGAAGCAAAACAATCCTAGATTTGGAGCCAAAAAGTCGACTAAAACCATTTTATAAATACTTATTTATAGATATCGCAAAATGTGGGCGTTGTCACCGTATCGCACTTCTCACGCGTGCTGCATTTTATGAAGATACCATTATCGGAATCCGATTTTCTGCTATTGCTCAAGCGCTACATGAAGGATGGCTATTTGGTGAACTATGTGGCCTTTCTCAAGCACATTGACAATATTATCGACTATTTGCGGCAACACAACCTATTGGATAACTCTGGAGTAAGCACGGATTATTTTCTATTTTGTAAACATAGGCTAAACCTACTTTTATACCCTTGTGGAGGGTATTACAATTTCGTCATGCAATGTGTAATGCATGAAAGCAGACATCTCCGACCCCATAAAGTTCATATATTCTAGAACTGCATCAATAGCCGAGTTGATATGACCATATCCGTCTGTCTGATTCTATGCGAACTCTTTTCTCGTTTAGCAAGATATCTTGACCAAACGGCATTTATTACTTTTTTTATGCTCCCTACATATGCAAAAAATCTTATCAAAATCGAAACACTATATCATAGGAACAAACCAGTCGAAAAGTATGTTCTTGTATGTTTCGGGTCTTCTGTTTTCCAAAATATTTTAATCGAACTCAGCATTTAAGAGCTTCACATCTGCAAAACCGTGAGGCAAATGCTTACAAGGGTATTAAATCATCGGCGTGCCGAAGATATTCTTAATATTTTGTTTTTTTCTTAGGATCTCATTCGCAACTTTCCGGGCCGCCTAATAGATCTGGAGCTCTCTCAGCTGCCAGCGATAAATGGCTGTCAAATAGTACAGCCCATATTTCCGGATGCTTGCAATCATCCAAAAAAGAATCGCGGAGAATGCGATATTGTGTTTTGCATTCAGAACTATATCTATAAGAATCGGGTGCGCACCTGTGAGTTTCTTGAAAAATTCGATTCGCTGCAGGTGGGCAGCATAACAAAGAATCAGTTTGAACGCGGTCTATCTAACATGGGCGTGGGAAAATATCTGTCGAGACGCGAATTGGATCTATTAGCGAATCGCTATTTGGATCCTTTGGACACAAATCGCGTGCGTTGGCGCAATTTTGTCGATGAAATCGACACGGGTAAAGAAATACTGACATCTATGCATTTGTCAATCGCTAAGATTTATTCTTCGCTCAGTTTTCACCATCAAAAACCTGGACAAGATGCCGCAATGCGTGGTTGAGTCACCCCTGGTGCACATTAAGGAGCTGCCCCGACCGGGCACCCTAGACTGGCAGGCGGCACCGGTGGATGTGCGCGAGCTGTGCGAGGAAGCCATGGCCAAAATACGTCTACGCATACGCAATCGTCGCCTCTACCTGCATCCGTTCTTCCGCAACTATGACAAGTGAGTACCGGAGCAATCTTAATAATGCAACTAACTCCCATCGACTGCTTTCTCTCTCTCTCTGTCTCTCTCTCTCTCTCTCTGGCAGACTGCACAGCGGACATGTAAACTGTCACCAGGCGAATCAAATCTTTCGCATTAATGGTATACTGCTGTCGAATCCTGAGCTCGATTCTGTGCTGCATCGCTATGGCAATGAGCTCGGCTTTTACTATACAAAATTCTTGGATGATGTCGATCCGGCAGAGTATGCCATGCCCACCATGATTGGCAAACAGGATCTGCAGGAATGTCCGCCATTCCCGCGCGACAATGGGACGAAAGAGCAGGCCACCGAAGAGGTCATCACGCGCATTCTGACCAGTGCCAAGCGACAGGCGATTACCAAGGGTGTTTCTGTCATTGACTTTCTGGCGGACTACGATCGTCATCGCGAGGGTCAGATATTGGAGAGCGACTTTAAGCGCGCCCTGGACAATGCCATGGTTATTCTCAGTGATGAGGATGCGACAATTTTGTGCAATGTGTAAGTCATCTTCATGCCGCCCAGTTGACCAGCCCTAATTCATTTCATTTCGATCAGCTTTCGATCGCCCAGTCGCAGTGCTTGCGTTCTCTACCGCGACTTTTGCAAGGCCCTTGATGAGATCTTTATGCAGTTCGATACGAATATGGGTGACAATGTGGTCACGGCTGTGCCACTGCTGCATCTACCGAATCTGGACTGTGTCGATTGCTTCCTAAACTTTGATGAGCGCACCCTCTGCTCGCAGGCACTGATGAAGCTTGCCCGCCGCCCGGACGAGATCTCCAATCTCAGCCAGGTGTTCAAGGACTTTGATCGCCAGCATTGCGGTTCGGTTACCCAGAATCAATTCCTACGCGCCATCACCCTGCGCGAAATGCATAATATGCTGAGCAGTCGCGAGTTCGAGGCCATTGTAAAATGTTTTGGCGTCAAGCGTGGACTCTGTTTGGAGGTTAACTATCGCGAGTTCCTCAATATATTGGACGTGCTCTTCTCCACTGGGCAGATGAAACGTAACTATTAACTATCCCAAATGTATGATATAATACATATAAATTTCGCATATACGTGTAGCTTACTTTCGACATTAAAAATTTCCCATGTGCGTTTGTATAAATGAAAATGCTTCATTTTAAGTGTCTTTTTTTGTATTTATTTTTTTTTAATGTTTTAATTGAAACTTTCTGCTTGAATTTTCCGGTTCATTTAAATGAGAAGTGAACATCATATATATATTCAATTAAAGAATGTACTATATCTATAATTAAGTGTGAAATGGAAACATATGTTTTTGTTCGCTTTATAACTTGAGGCTTACGGCTGACTGGAGGAGCTGCTGCTTAAGAGAGCAGCAAATGTACAAATATTTGAAATAGAATGCAAATCTGAAATTCTACTGCGCTAGTTAATAAACTTTTGCCTGCAAATTGTGCGGCTAACTAAACACATTCCATTGCGTGAAAAGCATTTGCCCCACGACTTTATCAATTGTGTCCCACTCTTCTCTATATTTTCTTTTAAAAGTCGGACGTATTTTTAGCGTAACATTTGTTCAATAAATTTTCTTTTGTTAAATAGCTATAGTTATTTGTATATAGTTATATGTAGGTAATATTTTATATATATGTATATATATATATAGATGCCTATTTACTTTTAACAAATATACCTGCAATAGTCTCGTTGAAAACTATAAATTGGGTAGTTCAGTTTGGATTTTCATATTATTATTATTATAGAGCTTGATGCAAGTTTTTTTTAGAGTTCTTTACTTTATTCTTGTCATGCTGCATTAGATTTTTATTAAAATATAAAATTCTCTTATTTTTTTTTAAATATGTATACATATATATATTTTTTGTTTGTTTCATATATATATATAAAGATATATATATATATATTTATATATATATATTTATATATATATATATATATATATATATATATATATATATATATAAATATATATATATAGATATATATATATATATATATATATATATATATATATATATATATATATATATATATATATATATATATATATATATAAATATATATATATATTATATATATTAATGAGCGCAAATACATACACGAAAAACGTTTACCAGTTATATCGGAAAAATCATTTGTTATTTGTAATTTGGTGGATTTGTTGTTTGTTGTAGTTTCAAGCGGACTTGGACAATGCGGAACGTTTGCCATTATGGTGCGTCCGCTTAAAAAGAGATAGCCCGCCCGCACCGCAGGAGCGCCAGCTGCCTAGCGTTGCATTATGATAATTATGCATTACATATTACAGTTATTAATTAATTAAGTTTAAACAAATACTTAACGACTATTGTATTTTATATAATGTATTTACTGTTACTATTAAACTGTGTTGCCGTTTTCTCTGTATTTCGTATGGGTGTGTGCATGTGTGAGTGTGTCTCTTTATGTTTGTATGCATGCATGCATGCGTGAGTGAGTGTGTGTTGTGTGTGGGTATATCTCCTGTATGCCTGACCCTGCTTACATGTTAAACAATTACCTCGCATAATGTATGAGACTACATTAGAAAAACACAAATTAGTTTAGCCCCACACATACACACACACACACACACACACACACAAAGTGAGTGTAACATAATATTGTGGTACAGTGTGGGGTTTCTCTTGGTGGGCAATGCTGGCTTAACGAGCGTGTGGCTATGAAAAATTAGCCACTTGCTAAAAAAAATTACATTTCTCCAAGCCTAACTCTCTATGTTGTATATATTTCTTTCCGTCTCTCTGTGTGTGTGGGTGTGTATGTGTGTGTTAGTGTATATATACTTATATATATATAAGATGCGTTGTTTCTTGGCCAGGTTGTAGTTGCCGCTTCCGCTGTGGTGTTGGTTGTTGGTTGTTGTTTTTGTTTTTGTTGTTGTTGGAATGGTGCCACACAACAAGTGTGTATTGTGGTTGTATATCTGCTCCGCTAGACGTGCCTTATGCCATGAGAATATGAGGTCTGCCCTGCAGTCGCGTTATTGGCGTTGTTGTGTGTGTCTGTGTGTGGGTGTGTGTGTGTGTGTGTGCATGTAGGTGTCTGTGTGGTTTTGTAGTATGCTGTTCAAATGAAATACAATTACATTGAGTTTGACAAAAAAAAACCTTAACACAATTGCCAATCACTGCAAGTCGAAGGGCAATCGTGTTAACTGCATGTTTAACATTCTTACCATAACAAACTAAACTAAGTTAAATTCAAATAGTTTGCAGTTATAAGTAGATGTCGCGGACTCCAATACGGCCCCCGCCTAGTAGGGCTGGTGTCGTGGCTGGCGTCCAGTGCCGCGCTGTTTGCCACCATTAAATCCGCCGCCGCCGCCGCCTGTTTTAAGAGATGAACATGAGAGATTAGGATTTCAATTAGCAAATGGAATGTATGTAAAAGCATGCACAGCTGCTGGGAAATCTCATTTTTTATTGTTTTTTTTTTTTAAGGATTTACTACAACGCCAAACGATTCAAGCGACTGATGAAAATTTTGACCAAATCTAAGGATAAAAAATGTTCAGTAACATAATTTGGGCTCCTAATATGGAGGATTCTCAAAATAAAAGACAAGGAAACATTAGTTAAATTACAAAATCAAATGCTCAGTTAAAATAGTTACAGAGATTGGATAGTAAATAGAAGTAAAAATGGATTTGGGAGAAAAAGAATTAACTTGTAGGCTATTTCGTTTTGTTTTTAATTTTTTTTAATTTTTTAACGGCCATGTGTTGTGTATACCTTTGGGACCGCCGCGCGGACCTCCGGCACCGCGCCCGCCAGCGCCGCCGCCGCTGCCGTAGCCATTACCGCCAAAGCCACCATCAAAGCCGCCGCCATAACCATAGTCTTTGTTTAGAGTCAGAGTTTGACATTTTTTTTTTTTTAAGGGTTTAAACACAAAAATTTGTTGTAGATCATGAGCACAAACTAGGCTTAGATTAGGAAATTTAATTGTATAATTATGTATGTAAATTTCTATTAATGTCTTTTTAGCTTGGTTTTGGTCAAAATTTCTTTTTTTTTTTTTTTTTGTATATTGATTGGTTTTTGTGACGAGAGAGGGGAAAAGGCGGCGACGCCGCGCCGAGGGGAGACAATTCAAATGCACACTAGAGAGCTGGAAAAGGAACTCCACTGAAAACACACAATTTTATTCGGTTTTTTTTTATAGGTTTTTTCTTTTATTTGCTCATTTCTAGATTTGCGAATTTTGATTATAAGATTGATTGGCTGTTAAATGATTGCTACTGTTGATCAATGTACAAAATGATCTAAACTTGTTTGTTGTTCTTGCTGTTGCTGCTGCTGCTGCTGCTTGCTGCTGCTGTTGGCGATGCTGCTGATGTTGTTCTTGTTGTTGTTTGTTGTTGTTGCTTTTGCACAGGCATTACAAAAATTGTTCATTTTGTCTGCCGTTACACAATAAAAATTAAAAACACATTTCTGTCTCATTGTTGTTTATCTTCTTCTAAACATTCTCTCGAGTGGAGAAAAAAACAGGCGCAAAACGGCGCTCACACATACATGCGCGATTCGGTTTGTTTGTTTGTTTTTCTTTTTTTTTTTTGCTTTTTGGTCTGGTAATTTCAGATGTAGTTGTATCTCTTAAATTGCTGTTGTCTCTGGATATTTGTTAGTAAGTTGTTCACTCTCGACTTATAAACATGTTTCACAATGTATTGCAATTCATATCTCATTTAGTCTCTCAGTTTGACGTACTCTTTATGCATTTTATGTTCTAATTTTTACCTCATTTTCCACACAACAAATTCAGCATTTCAATTTTTAGTTAATTTTTCGTTTTTATATATTTTTTTCTTTTAAAAACAATTTTGTTTCATCTTAATGGCCAAAAAATGAAGAAATCTGCTGCTCTTGTGTGTGTGTGTTTGAATGTCTCACCTCAGCAAAAAGTAATCAAATTTATATTTTTTATATTTTATAGTATTTTCTCTTTTAAAGGGGATATGGGAGTCGGATTCGGGGAATTTCGTGTTGGGGGGGGGCTTGTCGCAAAATTTTAGTATTATAAAAAACGTCTTGCGAAAAAACAAAAACAAATGCAAATTGTCAGCAAATTTGACTTTATACGAGTTAATATCGGTATTATTATAATTTACTCATGTGTTGTTGTATTTTGTTGTTAAAAACAAGAAAACTGTTTATATCTTAAAAGATTTGCTTCAGAAAACTTTTTTTCAAGTATCGTTAAAATTACTTTAAGTGTACTTTTTTTTTTTTTTAGATTTTTCAATTCATTTGACTAAAAACAGATATTAATTACGCTAAATTACTTTTAATATATAACCTTTAAATTTAATAAAAAGGAGTAAAAAAAGAAAAATACGTTACATTAAAGCGAAATGAAATTATTGTTGATTAGTGTAGTCGTTGCTGGTAGTTGGTTGTTGGATATCTATGTCTGTGTCTGTTTGTGGAAGTGCTAGATATTTGCGTCGCGCAGACAACATCAGACACCCGTAACCGGCAACCGTTACGAAATAGGATTGGTCAAGACAAATTGCGCGGTTGACTTGCGATCATTTTGGATATTTGCTTGGGTGGTTATGTTTTGAATTTTACTCTCATTTAGTTTTTTTTTTTCTTTTTTCTCTTTTTTTTTTGTGAGGCGAAACATCGGAAAATTCGGCATTACAATAAGTATATATATATCCATAAATGTAAATATAACACGTATGTTCAAAAATCATAATAAAAATGTAACAATATTTAGGAGTTAATAAAAATAGTACATATTTGAAACGGTAAACTTTAAAAACTGTCTCTGGGGCCCATAACATTGCCAACTGCTGTTAACTTTGCTCTAACAGCATGTGTACTGTTGACATTTGTGGCTATAACAGTGTTATGTATTGTTAACAGCTCTCGCACTCTGTTATGGCTCCCATTGACATGTTGTTGTTGGTGATAGTTGGTTAGTTGGTTTATAAAGTTGAGAAATTATAAAAAGAAAATTATGAATATATTGAGGTTATAGTTTTAATATAAATTGGGCACAAAATTATTGCTATAAAATATAAAAAAGTATTTTCTTTGTGTAAAAAAAAAGTTGTTTGCACATTAAAACATTGTTGTCGTTATGAATCAGCATAATTTGTATATAAAATATAGCATAAATATAAATTTGTAAGACAATTGTGGTAATATATATATATATTTTTTTGTTTAATTTTTAAATTTGTTTTTTTTTTATTTATTTATTTTTTTTTTTTTTTTTTTGTATATAGACAACTAGCTAAAAACATTGAGAAACATGCAAATTTTAAATAATTTACTCAAGTTAATGCATATCCTATTTTTTGTTTTTTTTTTCTATGTAAAATTTATGTATTAATATGTATACATTTGATTGCGATACGTCAAATTGTTGGTTTATATTGACAAAAATTTTAAAGTTGATTTGGGCATTCAAAATTTTAACATAAGAGATATATGTAAATATTTATGTGTTTGTATGCTTGTATGTGTGCTTATTTAAAGCAATATATGCGTGTATTAATGTGAGTTTATTGTACTTAATACTTTAAAAAAAAGAACAATAGGAAATATTATTTATATAAATTTATTAATTAAAATTACTAAAATTGACGAAGTGTGTTTTTTACTCTTTTTATATTTTTTTCTTTTACTTGATGTAATTAGTGTTGTTGTTTTTGTCGTTGTTATCGTTAAGTTTGTTTGTTTGTAGTTGTTGTTTTTGTTGTAGTCGCTCGAGTTGTTGCTGTTATTATTGTTGTTGTTGTTCTTTGTCATCAACATACGAACGTGCAAAATGCTGCATTGCGCGCGCGTTTCATTTATAATCAAGTGCATAAATTGTATGTGTTGATTTATAAGTTGTTTTACTTTTGCGAAATTGTAATTTCCTCTCTTATTCTTGGACTCGTTCTTTTTTGTCAGCAAAATGCATATTTGGTCAAGAAAGCAAAACAGAAATGCAAATAAAAGAATGAATGGCCGCCACATTAAGGGGCCAGAAAATGGCAGTAAATGCGAATTGTGGGCGTTGGGCTAAGTTTAACGGATTGATTTAATCAACTGCTTAAGCTTGGCCAAGCCCACTTCTGCGCTGAACTTTTAGTTACAAGTCCGGCCTTAAAGTGGTTGTCGTTTCGTTGCTTTTGCGTTTTGTTGTTGTTGTTGTTTATGTTGTAGTTGTTGTTATTTTTACAAAGATTTGCCTTAAAATAATACTATCAAAAATAGTATCCCATTTGTAAAAATGTTATTTTTATGCATAAATTACATACAACATTTGTATATTTTCTTTATATACATCTGATATAAATATATATATATATATATAGTGTATTGACGTGCATACGAAAACATATGCATTGCAAAAACGTAGATATTATCCCGTTGCCGAAATAATAATAATATACATCTAAAAATATATTTATATGCTATATATAGGTATATATATATATACTTTTTTTTTTTAAATAGAAGTTGAATCAAAGCTTTGATTACGCGTTTCGTTTGTTTGTTATGTGTGTTTGTGTTTTTGTTTGTTTGATTGATGGTTTCAGTTTGTTTAACGTTTTGTTCAACAAAACACAAAGGAAAAACTATTTAAATAACTATTATAAAGATAACGGGGAGAATGTAGTTATGTGATCATCAGATTTACATCTATGATTGAATGTGTGTGTGCGTGTGTGCGTGTGTGTATGTGGGTGGATGGGTGGTCGTGTGGCGTATGTGTGCGTGATACCTATGAGTGTGTCAACAGCTTTTGGTTTCAGTTGGTTTCAAACAATAACAGTTAGTTAACAATAATAAAAGGCACAAGTTGCAATTATGCAAAAGGCCAAAACGCTGGCGATTCACACTGTTTCACATAATTGGCACATGATCTTTTTTATGTGTTTTTGTTTGATGTTTGTTGTTTTGCTTAAGGTTTTGTCTGATTGCTGTTGTCGTGCTGTTGTTGTTTTCTTTCTAATTGTTGCTGCTGCCTTCGCGTTTGAGGTATTTGTCATCTTTGGAAAGTCTGTTGAAAGCGACCTCTGGCGGCCGCACACGTTAATTATCTTATTTTTTATCTTTTTTTTTTCATTTTTTATTGTTGCTCCTGCTGGTCTGGTCTGGTATACAACAAGTATAGTGTAGGTTGATAACAAACCTTTCCATCTACATTGTTTCGTTTTCTTTTTTCTCTAACTCTTTATCTTTCTAACTCTCTTTACTCTCTCACACGATCTGTCTCTCTAACTTTCGCTTTTGCTCCTTAAACAACACTATTATTGATACACATACTTCGTCAGTTTTATGTAATATTTAAATTCTAGACCACTAGTAAATCAAATTTGATTTTAAATTTGTTGAAAAATGTATAACTTTTCAAATGAATATGCTCGTTTTAAAATTACGTTTTAAATTTTAAAAAGTTAAATATGCATTTTTAAAGATTTTAAAATTAATTGTAATATGAACTCATATATAAAATTATTGTTTTGATTGGATATAAAATTATGTTTATCAACATATATTTGCAATTTTAAAAATGACTTTAAAATTCATAAGTAAGCATTAAAAATATGTATATATTTTTTATTATTATTATTTTTTTGATTTAATTAAAAAGTTTTCTTGTTTTTAACGGTGTTGTTTTGTTGTTGATGTTCTTGGGTTTCTAGTTCTTATTTAGAAATGCAGCAAAACGTTTGTTTTTGTTTTTTTTTTCTCTCCGGTTTGTCTCTTTTGCTAACGGCAAACAACAATATTATATTATTATGTATGGTAGTAAAGGGAAATTTGTTTCAAAATGTTGTATAATGGCATTTTTGTTTATTGTTGTAGTTGTTGTTTGTTTGCTTTTGTTGCCTGTATTTAGCTAGATTAGAACTGCTGATAGTTGTTGCTATTGTTCTTGTTTTGATGATAATTACTTGACGTTGTGTTATTATAATAATTGTTATGAGCATTATTTTGTTGTTGTTTGTTGTATTTACCATAACCATAGTCATATCCATTATAGTAGCCACCGGCATAGTAATCGGCAAAGCCACCGGAACCATAACCACCATAGCCGCCATAGCCCGAATACGAACCCTGGCCATCCCATTGATGGGAATAACCTATATTTGATGAGAAGGAGAAATATAAATTGCTATCAAAACTAATAACTTTACGGAATAACTGACCACCACGTCCGTATCCACCGCGTCCACCTCGCATGCCACCTCGCGCACCGCCACGCATGGCCATCATTTGATTCTCCGGTTTTGGCGTTGCGCGCTTAACATCAACTTCCTTGCCAGAGATTTTCTGTTTGGGCGTTTTCAGCAAATCGGTAACCACCTGCTCTGAATCGAAGGTAATGAAACAGAAGCCCTTGCGGTGTGACTTTTGCTTGTCAAATGGCATCTCCACCTCAACAATCTGCACAGAACAAAAAACGAAGGAAGGCATAATAAGCACAGTTCTCTTGTCGTGATTTATGCCACATACATTGCCAAATTGACTGAAGTAGGTTTTGATTTCCTCATCGCTTATCTCTGTAGTCAGGCCACCCACAAATATCTTGCCATGGCGCGCCTTTGCCTTTTTGGGATCAACCTTCTTGCTGTTGATGATGTGCTCCTCAGCGGCACTCACTTGCTCAATCGCCTCTGTGTTGGTGAACACAATGAAGGCAAAGCCACGCGATCTACCCGTTTGAGGATCTGTTTTTACATTAATGCTCTCGATCTCACCGAACTTGCCAAAATGATCGCGCAGTTCCTCTGCAAGTTGGAAAGGTGAATGGTATTAAATAATGATCAAATCATTAGAATTAATGCGAGCTACTTACTCTCAGTCGTTTCCCAACTGAGGCCGCCAACAAATAGTTTCCTGTCAAAGGTTACAGAAAGTTATTGATTAGTTTTAATTATTAAATATATAAAGTGTTATAAATGATATTACAAATGCTACAAAGCAAACTCTGGTTTCATAAAGTTGGAAAAAATGGCACGACAAAAACGTTTTTTTTTTTTTTTATCTTATGCGTGTGGCAAATTTGTATTTGTAAATATTTTGGATTTGTTTTCTGTCCACACATTTGGCGCTTACAAAAACGTTACTTTACAATTTGTCTTAAAATTACTTTTGTTATTGCTGCAAATAGATTTAAAGACGGAGCAAGAACGAAAAACAAAATAAACTCACCAAATTCAAAGTGAATATAGAGCTTATAATTACTGTACTTTAATTAATGAACTTTCAATCAAGATTCGAAATGTGCGTCGAAAAACTGAGCGAAAGATACGGCGAGGGAGTAGAGTCACAAACGAGAGAAAAATACGTATATAAATATATGCAAAGAATGAACTTTTAATTTAAGTATAAAAATATCGGTTGTTTTTAGTTTTTTTTTTTTTTTTTTTTTAAATACATTTTTAAAAAAATTATTACTAAATGTTAGAAAAATGCAAGGATTTTTTAATGCTGCTTTTAGATATTTTAATTGCTTTATTTGGACTAAATTTATAAAAAACTTTGTAAATTGATATACTTAAAATATTCTTGAAGTACGTTACTCATAAAGATTGAATATGTCACTGCGAGGGGGTTATGCAATTTTGGAACATCACGGCGGTGGAATTTAGAGTGTGGAAAAGTTAGACGGTTAGACCCGCGTGTTGGCATTTTATGAAACGTTTTTAAACTCGTTATCGGTTGCAATTCGGTTTTTGTGGGGTCGTTTTCTTTATCGTTATCGTTATCATTATCGTTACGTTACGTTCATCGGATGCGCTTCTTTAAGTAGGCAAAAACAAACAAAAAATGCGAGTCTCTCTTTCTCTCTGTCTTTCTTTCTCTTCAATTTTTGGTAAACAATAAATGCGTTATACGTTTTATATATATATAATATATTATATAGGATCCAATTGAGAACTCGAGATAATTTGTTGATAATTTTGTGTGTACATAGTATTGTTTTTTTTTTTTTTTTATTTTATTTTGGTTAGATAAATACCATCATCAACATTGTCGGCATCCGTTGCGCTGCATCCTTTGGGTAATTTCCATTGGCCCACGGCTGCTTGAGAATAGCTTAACATGGCTTTTCACTTCTCTCAAGACCTGCCGGAGAGGAACAAGGTTAGTTCGCTCAAACACAACAGGATAAGCTATGAATTGTTTTTTGGATTTATTTTTATTTTGTTTATCGTACACGATACAATTGGCTCCATTTGCTTTACGCTGCTTCCATTAACAGTTTTTAGTTTTTTAATTTTTCTGTAGAACTTTTTGACTGCGACTTAAAATTAGCTTAAGAATTAATATACACACATACAATTACTCGGCCTAAATTAAAAACAAAAAAGATAATTGATTCAACCTGCAACATGGTGGTAATTAAAGAACTATCGATTTCTTTAAATTTAACTGAAACATAAATAAATTCATCTAATCTAGGCAAGCAAAAAAACACGTAGTAATGAAGTAGTTTTTGGATTGCCAACACTGTCGGCATGGCGACGGCCTCAGCAACAGAGAGCGCGAAGCCGGCAAGCAAAACGGAATAAATGTTGAGAAAACGAAAGAAGAAAAACTACATACATACGCACGCACCGAGACGGCACTGCGAAGCAAGCACAAAAACCGCCATTTTGGGTACAAAACTGGAAGAGCACGAAAACGAACGAAAAATATCAACGAATGGCTGCACTAAAAATGCAAAAAAAAAAAAATAAAATAAAAATAAAATGTACAAATACAAATAAAACTTTTTACAAGTGAAAGGCGTGGAGCTGTGGGGCAAACGGGGGCTTGAAGGAGGTAGTAGCACACGCTTTGCGCTTTTCTGTGTATGCATACACACATGTAGAAAAGAATATACACAAATACACCTACATAGGTAAAAATGTTTGGATATGTGACTGGTGGACATAACCTCACAACTGGGGGAAATGTGCTTTAATTACCTCTGTTGCTACTGGAATTTTCGTGCTTTGTTTCAATTGCAAACGCTCAAAAATATTGATATACTAAATTCATATATACGTATAATTGCATGTATATATGTATTTTGTAGGTATGTACACACACAGCAATGTGTACATGCATTGTTCAAAAATAAAAGCGACAGTGTAGTAAAATACTTTCATATTTGTTCAACTAATATCTTGCTACAAGACGCAATCAAAAATTTTCCGACAGCTTCTATTATTATAATTATGTATGTTTAGTTGTGCTCAGACTGTTGTGCGAAGTACAGTCGCACACAGACACGCGCGCAAATACTGAAGGGGTCAGCGTCAGCGGCGCGCTAACTCCCGCCGCTGCCGCCGCTTCGTCGAACACCATTTTTTACACTCGACGACGACGTTAGCTTTGCATTTACGTAACAAAGAGTAGGTGGTAATAAAAAAAAATTGTAGTTAGGCACATGATTTCTATACTTTTCGGGCTGTCTGGCTATTGAATGGATTTGAAGTCAAACATTTTACTTAAAATACCTGTCGTCATCACGCTGGTTACCCGCAGCGGCTGCATTTTCAGAACTGCCATTTGCAGCACCGGCAGCGGCGGTCGAATCACCATTTTCAGAGCTCGCCACATCATTGGTGGTAACATCCTTGGTGAAATCTTCGCCGTTCATTTCGCTATCGACTTGTTTGTCTGCCATTTTGATTGGTGGTGTGTGAATGTGATTCTATTGTCAATTAAAACTTAATTAAATAGCACTATTTAACGATTTTAGCAATCTTTTTCTTAGCACACTCGCCAAAACTCGCGCGTACGCTGACGACCGGAAAATGACAAATCCAGAGACAGCGTGTGTATATGGTAACGGCCTTGCCACTAAGTTGAAATTTTATTGGAGTTCGATACGAGAATTGTCCTTGCGATATTTTTAATATATCAATTCGAATTGCCTTAAGCAATAAATAATTATGTAAAGTAATAATAAATGATAGTGACACTTTAATATTATTGAAATGAATTTAGTGTCGAATATTTGTCACAGAATGTAGACAGTCTGGTAACGTTCCGTGTCACCGGTTTTAGAGAAAGGCAATTTTTGCAGCCGAATATCTCTTGGAGGAAATGTTAAATCCAGCCAACGGTTAGCTTAAAAGTTTGTGCTTTTTAAAAAGCCTCTTATTTATAATTAGGTTATTAAAAGTTACTGATTTTTATATTTGGTAGTTTTGGTATCTTTTTAGTATTTGGTTATGTTACGTTTGCTGTTTGCGGTCACACTGGAACACACGACACCGCCGCCATCATAAAAGCGCACATACACAAACGCAAATGCACCGAGAATAAAACTGAAAAAGGGAAACGAATAAACGTCGGTTCTCTTCTCAATTCAACACTTGTTAAATTTCATTGCGTTTGCGATTCTTTTTTACATCAATTAAACAAAAACAACGCATTCAAACTTAGTTATTTAACTGTGATCGCCAACATCTAAAGTAAGAAGCAAGTAATGTGCGAAAAAAATAGACAAATTTGTAACTTTTAAACTACAAAAATTGCAACAAAGCAGACGACGGCAAAGGAAGAAGAAGCAGTCTAAAGCGGCTGCTCCAAACCAACAAGCCTCGCGTGTAGTGTGCGCGTGTGTGTGTGTGTGTTCATCCACATAAATATTAAGTTGCAGTTTTAACTGATTTTTAAAACATAGATACATATATATTACAGCATTTCTCAAATTTCAAATTAGACCAACAACACAAAAATAAAACCTGTGCGGCGGAGTAGAACAGCCACTACAAGCAACAAAAAAGGCCTCACAAAAACCATAAGCAATAATATTGTGCATTAGAAACAGTCAAACAGACATCGGGCAACTGCTGCTAAGGTGAGTACAAACTGCCGGCGATGGCCGCCACATGCTGCCGCACATTTCTGGTTACGCATGGAAAGCACAAAGAAAAACAAAGAATACCAATTTTAGTTGGGGTGGCAAATAAACTTGCCGATTGACAAACAAAAAAACGCTCGCGCTACAAATACAAAACCGTTCCAGTTTCTTTACTGCCGGTTTATTCATTTTCCCCTTAGCGGCATTTTATCGCTTGTGTTTGGCGACTCATAACCTAAAAGTGTGTCTGTGCTCATTTGTTTTTGTAAGTTTGTTTAAATATTGCTCTTTTATTGCTTTCTTTGTTCCGACTCACACACGCGGTTCACGCATTTAGCACACCAACACGTATTTGGCGGTGTTTTTCTATGTGTGCGCGTTTCGTCCGCTCGTCAATTATTGGTAAGAAATCTTATGTTCTTATTTCGCGAGAACGTGTGTACTATTTCAAAAGAATATGTTTAATCAAATACATCGGAATTACTAAGTTCAGCGTCTCGTAGTCGACCGTTTTTATTTATTTTTTTTGCTGTTGGCCTTTGTTGCGAAACCCCAGCAGGCATTATAGGTTGCGATTTTTTTTTCTCGTATTTTCGTAGAGTTCAATGAAACAGATGATACCTGAGAATAACATGCACACGCACGTGCACTAATGTGTTCACCCAAAATGTCCTAGCCTCTGCTGCGACGCAACCTTGAAGCGCAAACATAACCTAAAACTTCTTTACGCAGTTCACGTTCCCATTTCTGCGACTCTGTTGTTGTTGTTGCCGCTGCTACGTATGAGGTCATTTACTTTCCAACTAAACAAAATGTAGTCCTTAGATCTTTTGATGGACTATAACAAAATGGCAAATGCCCGTTAGGTAGAAATAGCAATAACAATTAAAATAGTGGCAGAGGCTATGACAGCTGCAATTTGTCTTGTTTTGAGTTTACACCAAATTTCCCTTTATATGCATTTTTGGCGAGGCGTGTGTGTATGAGTTTATATATATGTACATGTGCATGTACGTTGGTGCTTGGAATGAAAGTGGGTCAAATTGCAACTGCATTGGATCTTTTTGTCCGCGCTGCAGAAAAATTTGGCTCCTTAAATGTGTTTTGTTTTTACATTTGTTCCTTGAGGGCCTGTTTGCTTGTACGTTAACTGTTCATTGATGCGAAATCAATCGGTGTTGCCGATCTTCGGTTACAACAATTACTGTTATTGCAGCCAAAAAAATATGCTCTTATCAACACTAGAGAATATGTATTAAAACAAAAGAAACTAACTGAATGTTTTTTCTGGTATATATTTTTTCATTTGTGTTATTTATGTGTTATTCAGTCGGCAACTGAGCAGACTTTGAATTATAAATTATAAATAATTCCCAGCTTGTTTATATATAAATTTATAAATGCATATATGTATATATATGTATATGTATGTATACATATATATATAGATTGTTTTACAGACTAAATAAAATCAACCTCGGCAAGAACAGAGTAAATTCTCAATCTCACTCTCACTGGGACTAAACTTAGCCGCTTAACCAAACGCTTGGAACTCTAGCAATGGTCATGGATGCGACTCAATCGCAACAGCCTTCGCCGCAGTCGGTGGGACGCGAGTTCGTGCGTCAGTATTACACGCTGTTGAATAAGGCGCCCAATCATTTGCATCGCTTCTACAACAACAACTCGTCGTTCATACACGGCGAATCGACATTGGTTGTGGGTCAGCGCGAGATTCATAATCGCATACAGCAATTGAATTTTAACGATTGTCATGCCAAGATCAGTCAGGTTGATGCCCAGGCCACTCTCGGCAATGGAGTTGTCGTTCAGGTCACTGGTGAGCTGTCCAACGATGGTCAGCCAATGCGCCGCTTCACCCAGACATTTGTCTTAGCTGCCCAGTCGCCCAAGAAGTACTATGTGCACAACGATATCTTTCGCTATCAGGATCTGTACATCGAGGATGAGCAGGATGGCGAGTCACGCTCCGAAAACGACGAGGAGCATGACGTTCAGGTCCAGGTTGTTGACCAGGCCGTCCAGGTTGTAGGCGAAGCCGCACAGCCGCCACAACAGTTGCCCACTCAGGTGGTGCTCCCGCAGCCGGTTGTGCCAGTTGCTGCCGCTGGCGGAGCTGCTGCAGCGCCGCAGCAAATGTTTTATCCACTGCCAGCTGGCGCCGCAGCTGGACGACCCGTGGCCGTATTGCCAGCAGCACCACAAGCTGCAGCGGTACCGCTGCCTGCGCAGTTCACCAACCCGCCGCCGCCAATCCAGAACGGAGTTGTACCACACGAGGAGTTGCCACAGCAGCAACAGGGACCGCCGCAGGCTTTGGTGCAGGCTAATGTATCGCCTTTGGTTCAACAGCAGCCGAGTGGACCCGTGATGCCGTCCAATGTTGGCATTGTGCAACCAGTACCAGTGCAGCCAGCTGCGGCTTTCCAGCACTCGCCGCTTGTGTCGGCACCACCTCAGCTGCTGCCGCAGCAGCATCAGCAGCAACAACAGCAGCAGCAGCAGCCACCACCGCAGGCCATGCAGCAGCCATTGGAGCCAGAGGAACCAATTAACAACGAGGCGAAGGTCAGCCACTTGCAAAGGGCAACAACCCCAGTGGAGGACTTTAAGACCATACATGAGCAGCAGCAACAGGAGAAATACGAGGCAGCCAAGCAGCAGCAGAATGAGCCCAAGACCTATGCCAATCTGTTCAAGTCCACATCGTCGTCGCCCAGTGGCTTTGTCAATGCGGCACTGCAGCAGCAACAACAGTTGCAGCAACAGCAGCAGCAGCAACAAACCCAGAGCAATGTTTACACCTCTTCAACTGGCGGCGGCCAGGCCAGCTACTCTACAACCGCCTCTTCCTCCTATAACAATAACAACAGCAACAACAACTCTCGCTTAGATAATGGAGGTCCACTGCCACAGCGCAATAATTCGATTCGGAACAAGGGTAAGTCACATGGTGAATAAATCGTTGGAATTTTATATATTTATTTATTCGTGCATTATATATACAGAGTTTGATCAGCGTCGTCCTAGCAATGCACAACAGTTTGGCGACAATCAGCAGCTGTTTTTGGGCAATATACCACACCATGCATCCGAAGAAGAGCTGCGTCAACTATTCTCGCGTTTTGGAAATGTTATTGACTTGCGTATTCTATCCAAAGTCGGCAGCAAGGTGTTGCCGGGCATGCGCAGTCCACTCAACTATGGCTTTATTACCTACGATGATCCTGAGGCGGTACAAAAGTGCCTGGCCAATTGCGTATGTAGTAACAGGACTGTAATATAAGAGTTAGCTTATAATTCTAATCCATAATTCCACTTGCAGCCCCTGTACTTCCCAGAGAACTCGCCCGATGGCCAGAAACTGAACGTTGAAGAGAAGAAACCACGTATGCGCAATGATATGCCTCCTCGTCAGCCCATTGGTGGCAACAATATGAATAATATGGGTCGCAATAATATGCGGGCCGGTGGTGGGAACAACGGACCGCGCATGGGCGGCAATGGGGGCGCTAGTTTTGGACAGCGCAATGACAATCGCAGCAGCGGTGGCGGTAATCAATCCAACGGACCACTGCGCGGTGCCGGCAATGGACAGACCGGTGGCGGTAATTATGGACGCCGTTAAAATGCAGAGCGTAATCAGAACCGGTGGCCACTCATTGGATGGCCGCCAGTGCTGAAATAACAACAGCAACAACCCAACGTCAGCATCGATTTCTTCCATAATGCAAACAATCAATTACCATCATCAACGTCATGCAGTCACACACACACACACACACACACACACACACACACACACACACACACACACACACACACACACACACACACACACACACACACACACACACACACATTCAAGCACACACGCATACATACACCACACAATTAGCAGTAGCAGCAGCAACAGCATTCAACGCAAAAGATAAAAAAATATATATATCTAATTGTCTTCATGTTTAAACGTTCCTTAGAGCGAAAACAGCTACAACGACAATTAACTGGAGGCATCGTGCTGCAACAAACATCATAATTTATACTATTGGATCGCCCTTTAGTTAAGCTCGCTTTGTGCAGTTTGTTTACTTTTTGTTCTCTTTCATTAGCCAGCTCGTGCCAAAAAGCAAAATTCTGTGCAAATTTTCGTTGTAAATCTAAATATAAACAATATAAAAAAAAAAAAACACAACTGCAGCACGCCCTCCAAACAAAAAAAAAATTTAAATAGAAAAGCGCGCCAACGCCTAAACGCATATATTATAAGTCAAATACATGCAGCACACCACAAATACATGCAAACATCTGCACTCACACACATAAACACGCACTCACATGAACAACTAACTCACACACTCACACAGTGTCACAGATCTTAGTGTAAATGTAAACTTTAATTTTCAACTGTCGTTTAAATTCATAATTTTCAAAATTTTAACTATAAGTTAACAAGAGAAATGCTATAAAAAAGAAGAGAAATGCAAATGCTAATGTTTTCGCTTGTTTTAATTTTATTACAAAATTTACTCTTCAGCACTTAATAAATTTAATTATATTAAAGGCGAATCATTAAAATTAAAGAAAATGAAAACTTAGCTAAACAAAAACTAAACAATTTAAAAAAACAAATACAAAAAAGAAAAAACTTTTTTTAAAAAATGTAATAAAAAAAGCAAAATAAAGACTTAAACCCGTAATCTACAAAAAAAAAAAAAAAAAAAAAAACAACAAAACAAAAAAAAAAGTAACGAGCAAAATTATGTAAAAGCGATTTAGGGAAACACTCAACTGAATTATGTAGCAGAGGACCTCAACAACAACAAACACTCAAACTTAAGTTCATATAAAGCAGTCAGAAGCAGCGCAGCAACGTTAGCGTCGCCGCATTTTTTACGCCTAGCCCCCTCTTTCACTTGGCCCCCTCCGCCAAAACCATTAGCCCTATACACATTGCCACTTCAGTTTATTTTGCCGGCACTTAAAACCTAGCTAGTCTTTATAAATGTGGAACAAGGAAGTTGAGGAAATTGTTAAAAATTAGATTGGGAAATGCGGTGCCGCAGCGTGCATGCATAATCGGCGGTTAGCGTCGTTTTTTTTGTAATGAATTCAAGTTCGTAAACCAAACTAAGTCAAGTAACATAAACGATTTGGTGTTTCCAACGCAGTTGTGAACTAAAATTTAGTACATATTTAAAAAACAAAAAAAAATAAATAAAACTAAAAATAAAAGAAAAATGTAAGAACGCAATCTACTAAAAAAATTTCTCAAGGTAAAGCAAGCAAATATTTAACAAGAGATGATATATATATATATATTTGAAAACTTATAATATGTAATGTTAACTTTTAGACCTTCAAAAAAATAAGCATGCATAGGTATTTCGATAGACAGCAGCTGAAACTGAGAAGCACTTTCAAACCACATAGAAATAATGATTTTTAAACTTATTTTGTATATGCAAATTTTTAGTACATTGTTTAAAACTCGATTAGTAAATTTAAATTTTGTTTAGCTTCAAACATATCATTTGTTTAATTGTGCGGCGTTGAAAATTGCGCTATAACTAAATCATAGATTATTTTTGATTTTTGTTTATTATGTTTAGTACACATTGTTTGTACCAGAAAGCAATTTTAGCACTGTTATCGGGGCCTAAAGCAATTCATAGAACATTTTAAATTAAAAAAACTGTTAGTGTTCAAATCTTAGCTCAAAAACAGTGTTGAAAGTGCTTGAAAAATAAAAATAAAAAAACAAGCGAAATAAATTAAATATAAAACGATAAATAACAAATATCGTTCATGCTCATTTTTAAGTAACAAAACTATAAGAAAATACAGTTTGTATAAAATTAAAAACAAGAATAATTATAATTTAATTTATAGGTATACAATTAAAATAGTTGTAAAACAAAAACAAAACTTGGGTACGCTTACCAGAAGTCTTTGAAAACTGATTTCCAATTTTCATCTTTGTATTGTATTAAGACAAAATCCCAGAAGTTATGCAGTTCTAGGGAAATGCCATCGAAATAAAGCATAAATCACAAAAACAATGTCAAGTAAAGCAATATGTTCTGGTCAGCTTGCCCAGCAGTTCCAAATATTTAAAACAAATCGTACTCGAAAATCAAGATGAAACACCAAGCAAAAGAAGAAAAAGGAAAATTGTCTTGAGCAGCAAATAAAAAAACCAATTTATTTTTTAACAAAAGAATCAGAGATTTTTGCATTGAGTTATATTTGATTTTATTGAAAAATCGAATGAAGTTGGCTTTAAACTGATATTGATGCGCACAAAAGCGAACAATCGAGTTTGCATAATTTTAATAAATTAAAAAAAAAAAAAAAAACACCATAAAATCCATTTTCAAAACCAATCACAATTCATTAAAATCTACAAATACAATTCAGTGGTGCGTTTTATACTTATTCTGGTATAAAACATTACACATAAAACAAATCGTAACAATTAAAATGCTGCAATGCGTTTAACTTAATTAATTAAATTATGTTTGAAATAAAGTGAGGAAAAAGAAAAACCAAGAGTTTTAAAAGTCTACAAAAAGAGCAAACGTTTTTATTTATGAGTCGGACAAGTCATCCATTAATAAAGAATGAAAACATTCTTTAACATGCGTATCAAAAATCCTACTAATCATTATTATTATTATTATTATTATTATTATTTGTTTCAGTTGTATGATTTGTGCTGCGGAAACTCGTGTTGGTCGTTTGGTTAAAATATGGCATGTATTTCACATACATTTAGCAAATAGACGAGTTGTACAGTGCAGGGCATACATAAATGTATATAATACTATAAATTAATTGTGAATTCTCTTCATAAGCAGACTTCTTAAATGCCTGAAACAACAACAAAAATATATGGAGACGATTAATTGAAACAAATGCAACTGGTTGCGGCGCATACCATAGGCAGGTGTTGAGATATCATTGGACAAGGCACTAATGTGATTTGCCTGGGGAGTCCCAAAGTTGTATCTGCCGGTTGGTTTAAAGACCTTGTACTCCTTGGCGAGCCACTTCTTTTCCACATCGACGGTGGCGTGATTCTCTATATTGGCATCGCCAATGGCTACCGATGCCTGCTTCTTGGTAGCTTCTTCAGCCTGCACAGACTTATATTCATTTTTGGGACGCTCAGTGTGCAGTGGCTGAGCAGAGATAGGCTTTTGGCCAACTTTCGGCTGCCATACAATTGAACTGTAACTGTTCCTGGTCCACTCCGAGCCAACGTACGAAGGATTGCCATAGGCCCAGCCGCCCTGCGGGTAGACAGGCAATTGTGGCTGATGGTGTGGATAGCTCATGGTTGTTGTTGGAATTGTCGGTGCCACATATGAGGCCCAGCCATTAAAGAAAGCCGATGGTGGTAACGACGTTTGAGCCTGATACGGATTATAGTTCGGATTATAGACTAAGTTATCCATAATGGTCGGCTGGGGCGGAGCATAACCGGCGCATGCGGCACCGCCAATAGGTAGGCGTATGCGTTTGCTGCAATCCAACATCTGGGTGGATTTTTTCACCTCAACAGTGATGAGCTTAATCGAATGCTTGCTTTGAGCTATTGACAGGTGTATAAAGAAAAATAAACATAAGCTCAGGTATTAAGCCCCACCTACCTAAAGCACGCGCAGCGCTGGCTGTATCCTCAAACTCCAGGAACCCAAAGCCACGTTTGCGTCCGGTCTCCTTGTCCAGTAACACCTTGACGCTGCTGATGGTACCAAATTGTGCGAAATATTCTCGCAATGTACTCTCATCGTGACAATCCTTAAGGCCACCAAGGAAAATCTTGTTTGTCTTAATATTGCTGAGATGGCCAATTGCCTTGTTGAATTCATGGCGTGGAAATGCGCGTTTGGTGTCAACAGTTCTGCGTGTAATATTAGTGAAAGCCTCATCCATTTTGGGTTCGTATGACAATCTGAGACTTACTTGCTGTCAATAATATGGGGACGCGCACGCTGGACATTTTCAACAGCGCCTGGTTCAACATAGGTAACAAAACCAAAGCCGCGCGAACGATTCGAAATGGGATCACGCATTACCACAGCGTCGGATACGACGCCAAATTGGCTAAAGAATTGGCGCATCGTTTCGGCTGTGGTATTTATCGAGAGACCACCAACGAATATTTTACGCAAATGCTCGTTATTTTCGGCTGCATTGGCGCTGCTTTGATCGGAATCAGCCATGTCAGTGCCGGTGCCACCAGAGCGACCACCTATTTTGCGCTTCTGCAAAAATTGCATTTGTAGTGCCCGTTGGCAATTGCAATAGGCCATTAAAAAATACTTACCTCTTGGTAGAAGGGCGCATTTACAACCGAGTTATTCACCATTTTTGGCATGAAAACAAATTTCTGCTGCTGAACACTGAAAGAAAAGCACAAAAACTGAACTGGCTAAAAATTAAATGACAAGGATACAGCCGGAAAAGTTTTAAACGTCAAACAAGTGTTGCCGTATCTGAATATTAATCTACATTGGCATATATATTAACTCCAAGCTGGCAACCCTATCGATGTACAAGGTCTCACTGCGTTTATACATCAAGCGACAGCTTAGGCGCTTATCGAAATAACGGTATTCGTCAGCCACGTGATGGCAAAGTAGCAAAAGCTCTCTCTCTCTCTCTTGCTCTTTTTTGAAAATATGTGGCGGCAGTGAACGCAAATTTAAACGGTGTAACCACTTCATGTCGAATGTTCATATCGCATCATTTATCGATAACCGATAAGCATCAAGAACGTTGACAAATCGCAGTTTTGTATCCAACTTCGTTTACAATAAATTAGAGTCTGATACAACACTCAAAGCCCTCCATGCATAAATAATGGAAACAACATTGTTTAAATTACTTAATTATTTTATTGCAATCAAAATATGGCACATACGACATTGTACTGTACTTACCTTGCGACTGAGGCAAATGCTTCAGTTTAGTTGACTGCCAACCAAATTTGTAAGTGAGCCCAAGCTCATTGGGTACCAGCTGCCCGGAATTCAGCATCCAGCTCTTCAAGCAGTCTTGCAAAGAAATACGTAGTGCATTAGTAAGCTGTTGCCAAGGTGTTTAGGGTATAAACTTGACGCGAGGTGCGGTAATTGCTATTATCTACACGAGCGCTTCTCTTTTGTGGCTTCCCATCAGATACATTTGTGCCTACCTTAGTGCAGAACTCTATAAATTTTGGTTTGTTCTGTATGATATATTCATTCCTCTTGCTGTGGGTTGGAGGGGGATTTCTTGTATCTGTTCTCTGTAGTCACAATTCGGGTGGGTAACAGTAGTTTTATTTTCTTGTAGCTTTCGTTTTTTGTTTTACCTCGTAACGTACTAATTACAGAACAAATTTAATGATATTTACTTTTAGTTCTTTTGTACCAAAAATCAATCAGAATAGCTGCTATATACGTCTTATACACTAACAAAAATTGGTATGTAACGTTAATGCATATTCATATTATGCATTTGTTGGAAAATAAAAATGATGTAAAAAATGTGCACAATCATTTTCACGTATCTTTGTGGATTAACAGATATTTGGTTCCTTTTGTGGGCATTTCTCAGATAATATAAATCATAGATATAAAAAGCTTAAATATACAAAAAATTTATTACAAAATAGGTTTCTTTCTATATATTTACTTAAAAAATTGTTTGCTGATTTTCTAAAAAATTAAATGTGTAAAGTACGATCAGTGCTTTATAAACTGAGCATCGTCGACTACGATCTACATTGAATTTAAGGTACACTACCTTTTTTATATATACTGCAGGCCACCAATTTGGCCACCTGAATCCATATGGACAATCGATTCTCGAAGAGCATTGTTGCAAAAGATGCATTTTCAATAGTCAATTTTATAAATAAAATTATATAGTTTTAGTATATTTTTCGGATAGGTTTTTGTTTTTTGTTGTGTTGTTGTATGGTGTGTTAATTTAGTTAAAACTAAGCGTTCAAGGTTCTTAAAATCCTAAACACGAATTGATCATAAAAATTAAATGTATGTATAATTGAGACAAGACATTAGCAATAAATTGTTGATATTTGTTGGTTGAAGTGAGTTTTTCAGGTTCATATCAAACATAATTAGTTTAGTTTCATTTGTTTTGATATTTTTTTTCTCTTTGTTTTTATCGGGATTAGTTAGTTGCTTATAGGCTGGTCTTGAGGGCACATAATGTCGATTGCCTGATAACTGCATACACTTCATTTTCTGTATAGCTGCTGATTACTTGCTTAAATCATTATCTTGTCTGCCTGCCTTGCCCAAATTTCACTGCCTCTCACTGTCATTGATTGCCTGCCTCTGCCTGTCTCACTGCCTGCGCCTAGACTGCCTTTTTGTCTAGCTTGAACTGATTCTGTAAGTGTTTACCTATTTGCGAGAAAGGAGAAAATTTGCATTAGCACTTTTAATATAAGGGTTTTCAGTTAACAACGAAGCAATTCGATTTTTCGTTTGCAACATTTTTTTTTCGTTCGCTACAACTGTGACTTTGTTCGAACGCTTTAAAATACACATTTAAACACACATTGACAAGAGAGTAAGCCATAAACATCATATTTACCTTGATTAGTAACGTCTATTGCCGCCCATATTGCCACCTTGGCTGGTGTTGTAATTATTTCCACCACCAAAACCGCCCTGGCCACCTCCGCTGCCTTGGCCGCCACCTAGATAAAGCATTGGTTAGGTTAACAGTTCCAAAACATGTTTATTCCTTTCGACTTGTTCGACTTACTCTTGTTGAAGCCGCCGCCTTGGTTGTATGGCGCCGGGCGATTGTTGCCAAAGTTGCTGTTGCGCTGCGGACCGCCACCGTAGCTCTGTTGATAATCGTTGCTGAAGCTACCGCCGCCGTTACCGCCACCCCAGTTGCCGTTGCTGTTACCACCGCTGCCGCTGTAGCCGCCACCGCCACCGTTCCAGCCACCGCCGCCGCCGCTGTTACCGCCCTGGTTATTCCAGGGGCCGGTTGGTTGGTTCCAGCCGCCAGAGCTACCTTGGTTGCCACCGAAATTGCCATTATTACCAAAGCCTCCGCCACCGGAACCCCAATTACCGCCGCCATTTTGACGATTGTTACCCCAGCCGCCACCTTGGCCACCACGATCACCACCTCGACCACCGGCGCGTCCTCCGGGACCACCACGGCCGCCACCACCGCCGCCGCCGCCACCACCTCCACCTTGACGATCCATATCCTGTTTGGCAATTGCTTTCTTCACGTCGAGCGTCTTGTTCTTGATGTTGTGCGTCTTCTGCAGGATAATTTTGTCCACAGGATCGTAATCATCGAACTCAATGAACGCAAAGCCGCGCTTCTTGCCCGTGTCCTTGTCAGACACAATATTGACGCCAACAATCTGCCCAAACTCCTTGAAGTACTCGCGTAAGCACTCCTCGTCATGATCGTCACGCAGACCACCCACAAACAATTTCTTTACCGTTGCGCCAGCGTTGGGTGCATCGATCTCCTGTCGCGGCACGGCACGCTTTGGCTCAACAGTGCGTCCATCGATTTTGTGAGGACGTGCATTCTGCGCATTATCAATCATGTAAGACTGCGAGTAAGTGATAAAGCCGAAACCGCGAGAGCGCTTCGTTTTTGGATCCTTCATAACTACAACATCGACGATATTGCCCCATTTCTCAAAATGGGCTTTAAGGCCCTCATCGGTGGTTCGGTAGTCCAAACCGCCGATAAACAGCTTACGTAGCTGCTCGGGCTCAGAAATTTGCTGGGGGAAAAAAAAATAAACAAGAGAGTACAGTTAGTCACAAGTGAAATCGATAATAAAAAAAAGCCGCCCGCCATTTTCTTTTTAACATTTGCATTGCCGCATGTACAATCATTAATTTTTTTATTTTGTAAAATTGAGGCAACCGGCACGACACTCATTTTTTTCTTCATTTGTCCTCTATTAATCGGGCATCGGCGAATAAAACGTAGTTAAAGCACACATTTCACAAAATTATAAATGCGTTTTACCATTTTAAATATGTCGGCGTCGGCACTTGTACATGCAACTATATTAGACACATTTCGCTCACCTCATCATTGTCGTCGTAGTTTCCATTAGAATCATTTAAATCAGCCATTTCACTTGCTTTTATATAGTTAATTATACGCTCAGGGATTTTCTTACAAGTAAAAATTAATTTTTTCACAGTAGACGCCCAGCTCACTCACACGTACAGCAAGAGAAAAAGTAAGTACCTGAGTGTGCTGAAAAATGAACTGGAAAAATGGCGACCACGTATCTGACAGCAGATGCCGGCCGAGATGATCGAACCTGCGATAGTAGCAGTGACCGATATTTTTAAAAAAGTGTGACTGGTGAACGTGACGTTCCTTGAAAAATATGTATGGTGACATATACATACTCAAAAGGCCTTATTATTATCTTACTTTTTAATCTGTACATTTAATTAATAATATCAATGTTTATAACTTGTGCAATATACTGTACATGAACACGTATTGCAAATAAAAATATATCTAACCGTGACAAGTAACTGGTAAATATATGACGTTTTGCTTGGTTGTAAGCCAGGGCTGAAGGAAATAAAAAATATTACAATGCTGACGCCGCATCGAGGCGGCAAAGTAGTTTTTAGTTCAGTGTCATTTCCGTATAAATTGCGTCGAGGTTGAGTCTGAACTATTTTTCGTCTGACGTGCAGTGCGTAAAAAAACAAAAAAAAGTGTGTTTGAGTCCGGCAAAGGAAATATTTACAACCAATACTTGTTAGTAAACGGTATGTTAACAATTTTATTATGAATATGCTTAAAGAATACATCAACAAAGCACTTATCAATGATTTGCTAAAAAGTTCTGTACCCGGTGGCCAACGTTCACGTCGGCGACGCCGCCATCTTGGCAAATACACACACATTCATATAGGCTTATATATAACTCACACAGCCATACATATGTAAATACGTATGAGCCTGTATTAGTTGAAATCTTAACAAAGTAGAAATATTGAGAAGGAAATTTTTATCGTTACGCTTTATACAGCATAATCAACAACAAATATGGTTGGATCACGCGTTTATGTGGGCGGCCTGCCCTACGGCGTGCGTGAGCGCGATTTGGAGCGCTTTTTCAAAGGCTATGGCCGAACTCGTGACATACTCATAAAGAATGGCTATGGCTTCGTGGTAAGTGGGCTAAACAAAGAATTGATAAATCGATATAAGCCAAATGCTTGTTTAATTAAAAGGAATTCGAGGACTATCGTGACGCAGACGATGCCGTCTACGAGTTAAACGGGAAGGAGCTACTGGGCGAACGGTAAGTTTTGAATAATGCGTAAAAGTTAAACTATAAATAAAAAATTGTTATCCGGCTTCTGTTGCTGCAGTGTGGTTGTTGAACCAGCCAGAGGCACAGCTCGTGGCAGCAACCGGGATCGTTACGATGATCGCTACGGCGGACGCCGCGGCGGGGGCGGCAGATATAATGATAAGTAAGTACTGCTGCGTATGCAAAACATAGAATTTGTTCAAATTGAGTGTTAAATGAACGTAATGCAGTGGACCCATAGACTGTAATCTAGAAACTTCCAATATATACCCTCAAGCGTACTTATATAACAAAATTAACTATCTGAAATGCAAATAATACGGCTATTTATGCTTGTAAATTGACTTTGAAAAGTTAAATAATACTCTCAGGTTTTCGTATCTTCGCTATCTCAATGTTCTGTAAGATAAGCTAGTCAAGGGTCTACTGTGATAGTTTACAAATAGCGCCCACTCATTTCCTAAAGACACTGACATGCTGTTTATATATATGTTAATATAACTTTCTGTTCTGCTTAATTTGAAACATATAATAATTTACTTACATGCTGCACGTCCTAATAATCAATCAAATGCACATAATTTACTATTATTAATAATTGAATTGTTGCGGCGCGCCTTTTGCGACTGCCAACCCCATCCTTCATTTTCTTTTTATATATTGAAATGCTCAACTTTTATGCTCTTGCCATTTGGCTAGGGCTAGTAGCATTTGCAACAATCACGAAATGTACATATATATAAAATCTTTTGAGCAGCAGCGCAGTGTCAATACTAATTTTGAATTCATTAAATTATTCACCAGAAACAAAAATTCCAGATCATCCTCCCGTTATGGACCGCCATTGCGCACCGAGTACCGTTTGATTGTCGAGAATTTGTCCAGTCGCGTCAGCTGGCAGGTAAGTCATCTATCTCCGTACTTACATATTTAACTGTAGCCTAAAAAGTAGACTAGTATATATACATATATATATATATATGGTAACAACAATCTAACTGACTCGTCAATTGGGCGCTACTGAAAGAGCTAATCAATCAATCTACCTATAAACTATATTATATATCTAAACCAAGCACTTCCCCGTTCTATCTTCTTATTTTGTTTTGTTTTTGAACTCCATTTCTAAGTTGGTTTTGCTCCCCGAAACGCTTGGCGTTTATTTTGTTTTCTTTCCTAGTAGTTTTTCTCCCAATTGATTATTGAGCTCGAAAACTAACGACGTGTGAAAATTAAAATGCTTACATCGATTATTTTCCAGCTCAATAAACTATGTATTTTATATCTATTATGTTTAAGCTGTATAGTTGACTTAGACTTAAGCAAAAGTTAAACAATGCAAAAGTACGTTAAAAACTGGTACTGATCGTTGCAATCCCAACACTTATTTTTTTCACACCAACCAAAAAGAAAAAGAGTGTGATGTGTATCTGTTACTGAACCGCCCCAGAGCTTAGAAGAGAGTGACAAAAATACAGGCAGTATATGTGTAATGGCCAGAGAAAAGGTGCCATAAACCGAGCTGAACTGAAACTAATAAAACAATAACGTGCTATGGCCAAATACTTCGTCGATGTACGATATAAAGCCTGGCCGGGGGCCTCAACTTGTTACATGTATTACAAGCGGAAGAGAAATCCAACAAAAAACGAGAGACAGAAACAAAACACGCACGCAACATAAAGAGATTCGACGCCTGACAGTGCATCCCACGTTATCATTGTCGGTCGCTTTGTGAATGATCTTCGCTTGGGTTATATAAAAGCTGTATTTCCCCTAAAAAACCATCTCCCAAACACGCTTGGTCTTCGCGCTGTCGTCATCGCCGTCGCCGCTGTCGTCGTCGTTGATGCCTCGTCGTCATCCATGCCAAAAAAAATTAAAAACATACAACTGATGTGAATTGTGATGGCAGCTGCCTGAGATTTGGGCTAACAAAAGGCCAGCCTAAGCGCAATGCCCAAAATGCCAAGAATATGTTATAGCCGTATTGCGTAGGCTTGCCTATTGTACGCTGAGGCTTAGGTATTTAAATGTTTAAGCATTCACAATTTAATTACAAAAATTATATAAAGAATTGTCAAATTCCTTATAGCGAATATGAGAGTTTTGAGGTCATATGACAGACAGAGAGAAAGAGAGAGAGAGGGAGAGACGTTAACAAAAAAACTAAACAGTTAGATGCGATGGGATGATGATGATGACCATTGATGACATGACGATGATGATACTGGCCGACTCTTTAACGCGTTCATTTCATCTTCGGTTAGGCAAAGTGCAACACTGTGCATCCAAAACTAGTGCCAATTCTATGTGTCTGTGTGTTCCCCCTCTTAACTGGCAAGGTCTGGCCTGGCTCCGACTCTGGCTCTGGCTCTGGCTGACTATCGACTAGAGACTCATGGAGCAGCTAACACGCCATCGTCGCACCGCCGATAACGTTCCAGCCTCAGAGGCGCTCCCCAAAACGTATTTCTTATTTTTACAGTTCGTTTCTGTGAGGCCGTGGGAGAGATGAGATGCCGCCGCCTGGTTGACTGCCTGGTTGCGTACTGTTTTGTACTGTGCGTACTGCTGCTCTACACTGCCACTGCTCGCTCTCTCACCCACAAATCCCGACTGCGGCCCCGGCAGTGGTCCTGGCTCCCGGCAACTGTTTCTGACTGTGCGTTTTTTTGGGTCCCACGATTAAAAAGTACATGAACAAACAAAAAAATAAAACAAGTAGCACAACAACAACAAAAATATATATAAATTCAATATAATGATCAAGTTAAAGCACATACATACATAAAAAAAAAGCATTTCCTGGCCAATTCGCTCATCTGCCAAAACTGCCCGAGTGTCTGGCACGGCATTGTGGCCGACTTTGCGTGCGGTTTTCTGGTTGCTGGCCTGGCCTGGCCCGGCCGCCAACATGCTGATCAAATGATTTGATGTTGAGATGTGGAGCTCTCGATCTCGCTAACTGCTCTTTCGATGAGGTCTTGCGGTCCAGCTGAGGGTTGCCCCCATTGGCCGACAGTTACTAGGCAGACAAACAAAACTCTCGGTGTTGTACGATTAAAGCGATGTGTGTGTCCTCTCTCTGAAAGCGCATTAAGTAAGAACTCAATTACAACTTTTGATTTATCATTTTTTTGATCAAGAAACCAAAAAAAAAAATGTATTAAAAAAATATATATATACATATTATTATATATAATTATGCTTACGTTTTGTACCGCGTGCAGCAAACACAAGCAATGAATATTTCAACCGAACTGGCGTTGTTGTGCTCAATTCGACTGAACTGGCAACGGCGCAACTGGCACTTGCACTTCTACCCCCTAACTCCATACCCCCAACAAAAAAAACAAGAGGTGTCCATTAGGCAGGCGATGCGAGTGATCGATCTCATACAGACTGATATTGAGTGGCAAAGAGGGCAGAGCTTTGGTTAGGAAGGCCCAATTCCACATAAATGTTGCGCATACTACCGTTGCAACGATACCAGATCGGGAATATATTCTAACTGCTTGGTCTGCACGCTGTATTTGATTTGCCTTCAAGAGCACAAATCTCTCTAGCTATTTTTTGTACTAATTTACACATTGTTTTTCGTATTATTTGTGCGTTATCTGCAGGATCTGAAGGACTACATGCGCCAGGCTGGCGAGGTCACCTATGCTGATGCCCACAAGCAGCGTCGCAACGAGGGGTAAATATTGTAGAAAGTACATTTTGATTGTTGTTAACTAATTTATGTACTCAATCTTTAGCGTGGTGGAGTTTGCCTCGTTGTCGGACATGAAGACTGCCATTGAGAAGCTTGATGATACTGAGCTGAATGGGCGTCGTGTTCATTTGGTCGAGGATCGTCGTGGCGGACGCAGCGGCGGTGGTGGTGGTGGCGGCGGTGGTGGTGGTGGTGGCGGAGGCGGTGGACGCGGTCGTTCCCGTTCATCCAGCTCACGTTCACGCTCTCGCTCGCGCAGACGTTCTCGCTCACGCCGCTCGTCGCATTCGCGCTCTAAGTCGCGCAGCCGCTCCAAGTCACGCGGTGGACGCTCAAAGTCCAAGTCACCAGTCAAATCGCGTTCTCGCACACGTTCGCGTTCAAAGTGAGTATATTTTTCCAAGGCTAGGCTTGAAGTTGAATTCTAACAATTAAAATTTCTCTTGTAGCAAATCTCGTGATGTGTCCAAGTCAAAGTCAAAGTCCCGCTCACGCACTCGCTCCCGTTCGCCCAAGCGCGACTCGCACTCACGCTCACGCTCCAATTCCAAGCGTGAGTCACGTTCTCGATCACGTTCAAAGTCTAATCGCCGCGATTCGCGTTCACGGTAAGTGTCTGACATATAATTTCTATGTTCTCTTTAATTCTGTGAGCTTTATGTGATATGCTTTCTTTTCGTGCTTTCTTTAATTTTGTTTGGATGTGCAGACCGTGTTTGGTGGCTCCAAATATTTAGTATATAATTATTAAAACTATTTTCAAAAACATCTCTTTTGCAGCGATCGATCCGCATCGGCTGATAATAAGTCACGTTCTCGCTCTCGTTCGCGTTCAGCATCCCCGAAGAATGGAAACGCTTCACCAGATCGCAACAACGAAAGCATGGACGATTAGATTAGTTAGCTGTCCCATTAATTATAAAATTATTGATTTTAGATTTCGACTAATTACTATAGAAAACCCCCAATACAGACACCTTATCCACCAAAATAACTTGAAACAAAACAAAATGAAACAAAACAAAAACATGCAAATCTTAAATCCACTACCAAACATCGTAAACATTTTTTAATATTTAAAAATTATGTTTAAGAACTCGTTTCGACACACATGTTTCGCCAATGTATTCTAATTGTTGAATATACCCGATTGTACGCATGTTAACACAAATTATACAAAGGGCATCTGTCGGTCGAATACTTTTCCATTGATTATTTCTTGTGCAAAGGCAATAAAATGCTTGCCTAACAAATTGTTTAAACCAAATTATCACACAAATTTTTCAATAAAAACCGAATGGATTCATAAAATATAAACTGGAAACGTGGTTCTTTTGTGGTGGGCAACTATAACTACTATATAATATAATATAATAAAATTCTCGAGTAAGATCTAAAAATCCATCGGCATTAAATCAAGCTTGCAGCATGTTTAAGTAAATACAATTTGGTGTTTATTTTCGGATTTGAATATACTCAAATGTATTTTACAAATTTTTTTTATTTTAAATTTTTTGCTTTATTTTCAATGAATTAAAATTACAATTTGTTTTACTTTTATTTGAAATTGAGCAGCTATATTTCATACTTATGAAATTGTTTAAACACATACAGACAATACCTACTAAAAATTTGAAATAAATTGTATATTAAAAAGTCGTACGTTATATATATTTTCTTTTCTTTTTGCTTGCCTTTTGATAATACAGAATTAAATACATAACTATGCCTCACAACTGCGGCAGTTGTTTTTTTTTCTTTAGAAATATTTTTTTTTTAAGTATATCTGTAACTACGTTTATTTACTAAAATATTTACAAAGCACATAAGGATTTTCTTGTGGGGGACATTTGAAAGCGTTTTCTTCTAAAACTGAGCTGAATACCAAGGAAATTATTTGTAGAATGGAAATTTCATAAATATCTTAGTTGGGAATTATCTTCTAAATTAAAACCAAATGCAATCGTTTGCGTTGATGCGTCTAAATGCGTCTGACGATTTGAGGGTCAGTGACTAATAGAATTAAGGACTGCAAAGGGCTGTCTATAGTTAGGATTGGCATCGAGTGGGCGTGGCATCACTCATACCTCGTATCTATATTATGTTTGGCACTCTTTGGAGTCAATTGAGCACTTGGTAAGACAAGTAGTTGGCTGTAATGTTACCTTGGCGTTTTGTTAATGAGACTAATAACTATATTATGTATATTTAGGTATAATATTAAACTAATATCCCGCTCGTGACTAAATACATCATTTATAATCATAAGAAATATATATATATATATATAGATATAAGAATAAAATGGGCATGTTCTAATCAAAAATATTAAGCAAAAATATTTAGTATTTACATAAATTGAATTTGACACGGCTTTGAATCTATATAGATTTATATTCTTAGCGGATCATGTACGGTATCTAAGTGCAGCCTGAAAAAGGCAGTTCTAGTCTAGTGTTTCACACTATAATTTCGATATTGATTAATTTCAGTGGCTGTTGAGAGAAAATGAGAAAGAGAGAAAGAGAGAGAGAGAGAGAGAGCGAGAGTGACAGAAGGTCTAAGTGATCCTTGTGATGATTTGTGTCTATCGCTCGGAAATGGCAGTGGTTTAGATCAATTTTCTAGTGCCCTAAATCAATAATATACATATACATATAGGTAGATATTATCTCTATAATGCTTACTACAGATTGTATATGTGTGTATTTATATATTTATGCACTAATTTACATTGTAAATGCACATAAATATAAGTTCGTGAACGCACATGAATTTGCACATTTTTCATTATTCCAATTAAATATTCACTACCCTTCAGTTCCGAATTCCATTAGGATTAAGTACTATGTATCAGAGAAAGTTTTATCACTTTAATTATTTTTAAGTCGTTTGTGGAGAGGCAGAAAAAGGGGGCGTTTGCTACACGAGTGGGCGTGGCCATATTCGTTGTTCCTTCTGCTGCTGCTGCTGCTCCAAATTTAGCATCTAAATACGAAAAGATAAAAGTGATACATTGCGTTTGAGCAATTTGTGCGGCTGCTTGAGAGGCGAACGATTGCCTGTGTCGTCCACAACATCCAGGCCCATGCCCATGTGGCTGCCAGTCATGAAGCCACTGCCATTGAGGGCGCCTATGGTGTGCATGCTCTGCGTATCATAGTTCAGATCCTGCATGGGCACCACCTCCGGCAGCAGGTGACGTATGTGAGTCGGCGAACGGCGCAGCTTGTACTGCTGCCTGTGGAAACAGTGGAACAGGTAAATGTATTGTATTCATTTATATGATGCTTGATGATATGCATATCTACTGCTTAACAAATTACTAAGAAAATCTGCTTACTCTGCAACGTTTTCACTGGTCGCGTTATTATGCCTGTTGCCAGAGTATTCAGTTATAAAATACGTTTACACAACATCGAGACATCAAACAAAGCCAAAGATAAAGCAAGTGCAAGGCCATAGAAGAAAATACGTTTAAATAAAATCGAATTACCAATATTATTGAAGTAGAAATACACATATATAAAAAATATACACATTTTTTAAATGCATAGACCAAATAGTTTGTTATCTTTGGTTCCCATATTTAAAGTTTTTATATGCTATAAACCATATTTAAAATATGTTGGAAGTTACTTCAAGATCGAAATTCAAAATTGTTAATTACTTTGAGGCGAATCTTAAGCCAGATTAATTAGTAAGTTCATTTAAGAACAGCCAAATCTATTTTTTCATGTATTGAATGAGTTTAATGCGGTTATTTTTTAAGTTGAAAAAATATAAAAAATATAAAAATATACAAATATAATAAAGTGAGCTATTATATTTAATATACCATGGGTAAGTGATTGGTTCAGATTTTTGTAGACTTTTTAGCCATAATTTCAACGAGTTTCAAAAGAGTTTCAAATTTACATATCTTAACTTTCTTCTAGTCCTTTGACTAAATATTCTGCTATATGTGAGTATATAAATTTATTATTCTCCCACATTCGCAGCTTGAACGTAAGTAGACTAAGGAAATGAACCAGGAAACGGAAACCGTACAATCGCACAGTTAGCCCCCGTTTGTCAAGGGTTGCTTATGCTCAAGATGCTAAATGGTCTATGCTTAAGCCCTTTTCTTATGCTTATATCCAACTTAAGGCTTATGTCCAAGTCAAAGTGAAGGATTACATACTTTTTATGCCGGTTTCCATTCAAGCAAATGCAACGGCATGAGCACATTGAGGATGTATTCGTGCCATTCAAAGATTCGACGTCTTGTCCTTCGTAGCCGCTCAGTATGGAATCATTGGATGTTATCACATCGCCCTCCAGTTTGACAGCCACTTGTAGTGCCTGTAATATCATGCCAATATCTCAATTAGTAAACTAATAGATATCACACTTAATAATATATAGCATAGATTGTAGCGCATGTGAATAGAAAGTGTGTGTTCTTGTTGTTGTTGTTAGAAGGTATTGGATTTCGGTTAAGAAATGTGTTTGTTCAGTGTAGATCAGATTGTTAGGCTGCTCGAAGCAGTAGTAGTAGTAGTAGTTGTTGTTGTTGTTGTTGTAGCATTGGTAAGTCATAGTATGTATTTTTAGCTCAAAAAACCGCAATCACCTCATTGGTCCATAAACTGGACTTGGTCATAAACTAAGCGCGCGTTTGCATTTGTTTTGATATCATTAAGTCAAAAGCAACCGAAAATATGACAAAAAAGAAAAAAATATATATTTGATATTCCATTAAGTTCTTTATATTCTGACGTATTAAATTCAATTAACAAGTGAATGAATTTAAACATATTTAATATAAGTTAATCGGACTAATTGAATTGAATAAATAAATGCATGAATTGAAGCATATTTCTTACAATAGCAAATGTGGAAAAACCAGAATGTGCGCGTATAAGTTGATAAATTGTGCAATTAATTGGCAAGCATGTAGTTAAAGGAAATAAATATAATTTATTTTATAAAACTATGGGCAAAAATGTTTAAAGTCAAAGGGTATGCTCATCAGTTAGAGGTCGGAACTATGTACGCAGTTAGGACTAATAGAGTTTAATAAGTTTAGGGTTTGAGGAAAACTGTTTACTACCAATTGGTCAACTTGATAAGTGTATTTTATAGCTTATAGAAAAAACAGTCCGCAAGTCTACAGAAGAAATAGCAATGGCATGGACAATATTGATGTACTATATTATTACGAATAGGTGATAGCTTACCTGCATGGCTTGGGCCTCGTCGCGTCGCTCGTCCTCGGTATTCATTGTAACAAACCTTAGTACTAACAAGTTCAGTGAGGCGGCAACAATTGCCAGCCCGAATAGTATAAATATCAGTGCGAACATAACATATTCGGGTTTTCGATTTAGCGCATTATCCTTTTGTAAAGCTACCATATCGCCAAAGCCTAGAGAGTATGCGAATATAACACAAATATTATTATTATTAACAATTAACAGTTTTGATCGCTTTGAACGCTCACCTATTGTGGTTAAAGTAATAAAACAGTAATATACTGAATCAAAGTAGCTCCAGCCCTCAAACTTCGAAAAAGCCGCCGCACCACCCGCGATCGTCAGCGAACTGAGCGTCGTGACAACGCATATAAGGTCCACCTCTGAGGCAAGCGTTCGCTTGCAGCGCAGCGATGTCCGCACCGCTTTGATAACAAAGCTGATATCGAGAATGGCATATAACGCTTGTCACTAGACTATCAAATGTTATTGGGGTAAGGGTTGGCACGCACCTGCTCAGTCTATTCACTCTTTCTCCGATGCTCTGAAACATGACGAGACCCAAGGGTATCCCAACAATGGCATAGCACATTGTAAATAGTTTGCCACCGCGGGTCGTTGGCGTTGAGTGTCCATAGCCTGCAAATGCATCAATTGAGATTAAACGAACTGTTTTGAATTATAGAAAATTTGGGTATACGTATGTGAAAATGTCATCATTGCGATCTGTTTTTAAAACTCTCGAAATCAGTCATACGAATTATTCTTACCAACTCTTGCATTCCTATATCAAGTTACACAATTTTTTATTACTATAAGCCCAACCAAAAGTTTTTATATGTTTCAGTTTCTAATACTAAGCTAATGTTATTTTCTGTACCCAAAAATAGTAAATTAATTTAATATTGATTTAGGAAAAAATGTATGTTAAGTAAATGGAAACTTTAGATTGTGAAAAACCTTATCTAAGGGCAAGGCTTTGAAATAACTATGTAATTAAATAATATCGAACTAAAGGCAAGGCTAATCTAATCTAATCGAACCTAAACTCCGATATATATACCCGTGTCGAGGGTATTTTAGATATATTATAAAATGAGAAACGCATAGAAGAAAACATCTTCAAACCCATATACATATATAAATATATATATTCTTGATCAGTATCAACAGTCGAGTCGATATAGCCAATTCCGTCAGCTACCTATAGAAAGTTTGCATAGATCTATATAGTCTATATCATATAGCTGCCATTGAATCGATCGCACAAAACTTAGGTTCTTATATGGAAATCTTTGGGGCTAATATATAATCCATATCTCATCAAGATCGTATATACCATATATATCGCTCCGAAGAGAGTGAGAGCGTTGAAAAATAAGTTATTCATTGGTAAAATAAAATTTTAAGATATCTTCACCAGTTACGAGCTTAATTTTGCACCTCACATATCTGAAAACCGTTAGTTATAAGTCTAAAAGAATATTTATGCTTTTTTGTATATCAACAATATGTATTAACTATATACCAATTGTTGTTAGCACTGTCGTTGCATAATAGAATGCGCCAGTGAACTTCCATTGTTGGCCAGCCTTGTGTGGCTCCGATTTGAGAACCACCGTCTCCATGACTTTAAAATCCTCCTGTGATATATTATATTTGCGTATTATCCGATCCTCGACACCTGCACCAGCATGAAAAACAAATGGAATAAACGTTAATAGATATAATAAATAATATATACATATATATGTTTTGATTACCTTGCAATGCCTCCCAGCGGCGTTTTTCCGTCTCCGATTCGAGGGCATCAAAGACGGCGGCGCCCACAAGTAAATATGTAAATGTACACACGATCAGGGATATCGTGCGGACATTTTGTTTCTTCATGCTTCATTTAGGCGAGGTTATTTGCTAAAAACATGCATTCCATTCACAATGTACGTCTGTCTGCTCGATGACTGCTGGCGGCGTCTTCTCTTGCGGTTGTACGGTTTATTGGTATTGTGACTAATCCAGCTGCTGACTTCCATATGTGTGTGTGTGTGTGTGTGTGCGTTGGCCGTTTACGTTGAAAGGACAAAACTTTTGTAAATCAGGTTAAGCGCAGTAACTAACACACACACACGCGCACACACGACGTGCAAACAGAAACACTTGAAACTCGACACCTTGGCCGCCTGCCACTTTTACTCTCTCTTCCTCTCTGCCTCTCTCGCTCGCTCGCGCTTGCTCTTCTGCACACACACACACACGCGCTGACAGCTTCAGGCGCTGCCTAATCAAAGTCTTGGCCGTTGCTGTGTGTGTGTGCGTGTATGTGTGAGTGCGCCCGTTTTTCGTCGTTTAGTTTTAGTTTTTTGTTGTTGTTGTCTACTTTTTGGCGCACGAGGCAATTATCTGAGAAATTCACTTAGGTGTCACTTGTTCGTGCACTCGAGTGCAATTGCATTAAATATGATACAATAAACAACTATAAGTATTTTAATTTTAGCAGCACTTGCAAATGTAGTTGTACACGGCTGCATTTATTTCTGTAACACATGCCGTTGCAACTGCCGTTGCTTCTGCTGCTGCTTCTGCCGCTGCTGCTGTTGTTGTAGTTGCTGTTGCCTGCGCCTTTGTCCTCGTCGTATACGCGTTCATTGCGCCCATCCATGTCCTTGTGTTATTTATAACAGAACTGCTGCTGCATTTGTAACTGCATCATCAGCATCAAAAATGTTCGCTCTGCCCCCAATCAGTTGCTGGCGGCCAGGTAACTGTAACCGTAACCGTAACCTGGCGCTATGTTCCTGCTGATATGGGTAACAGACCTTTCAAGGCTATTGCTGCTATAGACGGTTATTTTGTTGTCGTTGCTGTTGTTGTTGCTGCTGCTGCTGCTGTGCACACACATAGCGGCATCTCGTCGTTGCAATGTCCTTCGGCTGCAGTTGCGTTCTGGCTACGCACTCTGTGGGCGGCCCGGGTTAAAAAAAATGAACATAAATAGTATTTTGTAGTATGCTCTGGCTAAAAATAGCGCACTCAGATTGACGTTGAATGTGACAACAGTTTTGGCCACATCCTGGCCATTTGCTGGCGGCTAACGATGCAAATTGCCGAATCTGTCATCGTCAAAAAGAAAAACCCTGCGAAACTGTGCAAACGACACATACAACCACGACACAAGCCAATACATATATATATGTACATGTAAGCTCACTAACACATGCGTGCATGCAGTATGTGTGTCAAATTGGCTACAACATGAATTATTTAGTTGTATGCGCGTATTTCAGATAAGCGCCAAGATTCTTGGCACCCAAACTGGGCCACAAGTGTAAAACTGTAAGCAATTCTGCAGATTTGGCGGCAACTGTAGTTCCTGAATTATTAAAAAATACACAAATTTTGCGCCAAAAGCTTAAACGAATAAATGAGATGAAAGGGGGCCAAGCCGTGGCTGAAAAGAAGAAAAAAACAGCAAAAAGCTCATCTGAGTGCGTTCTGTCTGAGTCTGTCCTGCAAATGTACATACGTGTGCTTTTGTAGGCAAATTTAAAGGCATGCTATATTGTTAAGAAAAGCGAATTGTATATTTTGCTGCTGGCCTGCTTTTCAATTTGGCTAACAAGTAGGCAGCATTGCAGTACCATTAAATTATTCATGCATCAGTATTTGTATATGAATTTAAGCGTGTACGTCTGTCTGCCTATATGTGTGTGTGTGTGTGAGTGCGCGCGTGTGTGCGTGTGAGGGCGAGCTGTCTTCAGTACGTCAACGTTGCGCGTTGAAGCGTACATCACACACAACACACACACACACACACACACACACACACACACACACACACACACACACACAGGCACAGGCACATGCTTTTTTTATAATTTATTGAGCCAAGCCACAACGTAAGCACAAATTCGGACCGTGAGAGGGTGGTTGAACATTGTGGATGCCACAACACATTAGTGTGGCAAGCTGTGTGACTGTGTCGAAATTTCTGAAACAGCCCACAGTACTTCTAGGTGGGATGCCAAACGCCCTTAGTTAACTTTTTCTTAGTTTCCCTATGCTACGGTGTTGTTTTTTTGTTCGTTTCAAGTTTTTTTTGTTCGTTTCAAGTTTTTTTTTTCTATTCTCATTATTTGTTGCGCCACCCGCAAGCGTAATCGCGCAGCCTCCGCCAGTCTCGCATTATTTGTGCTGTCGTTGACATTTGCTGTGCAGTGGCAATGACAGTGACACTATCAAGAATCCTGTGGTCGTCTATTTAACTGCCTTATGTATGCGCCTGACTTGTCCCCTCCCCATGCACGGGCACAGCTTCGCGAAATGAAAGATCCAAGCACCAAAAAAATAAAAAAAATAAAGGGGAACTGGTATTCATTATATAAAACATTGTACACATACACAATAGTTGGACTTTTGGCCAAATTTACAGATTCAAAAAATGTGCAATTTTTAGGTATTTTGCAGGCACATCCTTTAATTTTGTAATTCGCTTAGCTTCTATATTAATTACACAAATTTTCACTACAATAATTTCATCTCATTTCGTTTGTCGTTGGCCCGTTTTCCCGTTCGCAATGCACGCACATTCGATTGTAATTCTCAACTGGCACGGCAACGGCGCACAAACTGACAGGCTGCTGGATCCTTTGTGGTTATTAGGGTTGAGCATCCCATGCCGACGCGGAGTAGGCAGGCGCAGGCTGGGGCTGCCAACTTGCGAAAGCTTAGCAAAATGGCGCGCATTTGAATTGATGTACTTTCACACTCAGTCCCAACCCCCTGGACCTATGCGCCTTAGATATTTTGGTGTCATGGCTTGGCATAGTTAGTCAGCAGCCGTTGCAAACTGTCATTTCAATGCATTAGGGCCAGCATTGAAATGACATATTGATGCTTCGCAAATTCAGGCCACGAATTCTACTTCAATGGTTTAAGGGAATTAAATTACATTGCCAAACATTACACGCAATAAAATGTAAAATAAAAATTAAGAACTTAAAATTGTATAAATAAGACCTAATATTCCATGGGCTCCGGTGGCAGCACAATGTTGCAGCCGAGCAGACCCCGGCCGCTCCATGCTTTGGGCACAAGTATCAAATCCAGAAACTGTTCGCCACGTTTGATCTTTAGCTGCACGTTTTGATTCTGCATGTCGCGCACAACTTCACCAATTTGTGCTAGGCTATTCTTAAAGTTATTTTCGTTGATGGAGCCAAAACGCATGATTTTGTCGCCCACACGCAAGCCCTGCAATAGAAACAATTAACTTTCCACGATAATAATTGGATTATGTGACATTGCACTGACCGCTTCCTCGGCTGGCGAGTTGGGGCTTACAAGATTGACGACAACTAATGGGCGTGTATTCAGTGGCATTATGAGTGCTCCGCCGCCTTCTCGCCCGCTGTTCAGTTCCAGGGCTGACGCGCGATTCACCAGCTCAGGATCTGTGGTAGCTATCTCAGCATGGTATTGATTGAGCAGGGTTTGTATTTGATTCATCAATTCCTTGTGATCATTTTGCAAACAGATAATGGTCTGACGCGCCTGGCGCACTTGATAGATATCGATGTCGTTGCGAGGAAATCCTTCAGCATCAACAAGTGAACCAGTCATGCCAACATTATCGTTCTGTAAAGATCATACATTAGTAATTGTACAGGCATAAATATGAGTATGCAAGGCGCTTGGACAAGGTCATAAGATAGGCTCAGGATTAAAATGATAGCAATAGTGCCGCATTTCTGACGTCACATAACTTTTTTTGGTACCTTGATCTATGTCACCTTGCCTACATACTTGTCTGAGTATTTACCGCGGCCAATATTTGTCCATTTTTATTAATTTGTGCCTCCAAGTCCACCTTCGCGGCCATTAGTCTTTCCAATCGCGCTTTAGTTGTGATTTCCGTTGCCATGACTTGCTTTTTCCTTTCGAAGGATTTTAATATAAGTAAAATAAAAACAACAGTTTTTTGTTGCGCTGCCGATAAATTGTGTTAGAGATGAGCTTAACACAACCGATCTATCGTATTTTTAGCATTAGTTAACACGATTCATAGAGATATTCCCGCTTCTCATTTATATTTTCGATGCGATTCTTTTGACTTTTCTTCAAAATATTTAAGTTATTTTAAAATTGATTTTTTTTTGTACCTAAAGCTAGTGGCGTTTTTATTCAATGATTGTGTTTGTCATATAACTTTGTCTCAAGCCACGTTATGTGTTATCGATAGGCTGTGAAAAATTAAATTTAATCAAAAATGTGCGTCAAATTACAGGCGGTGACTTAGCGTCGATTTTTGGTACTTGGTAACGGAAAAGGAATCGATCACTTTTAAATGCATTTATTTATGTTTTTAAGCACAGAACCTAATTAATTTAAATGCAGAATTGTAAAAAATTAAATTATTTACTGCCTACATTCATTTGTTTTTGAATTTTAATTTATAATATGGGTAAGCCAAGGGGTTGAAATATTAGGTTTCCACCATTCCATAAATATCTAAATTTAGGGATGATGGCCCCGAAAACAGCATATACACGATTAAAGCCTATAGTTTCACCTAGCCAACTGTAAAAATTTGATTAAATGACCGCAAAAAATCAACCTTGTTTTCGAGCCCTTTTTTCTTAACTCAGAGACAATGGCCCTCAATCAATGTTATACCCTCTTGTAGATACATATTTTAAGAAACTTTAGGCACTAATTTTAAGTAAATAGACGGTACAGATTTTGAGAAATTCTCATTTTTCTATTTCTCTCATAACATCCTATGTTAATGCAAAAAAACAAGCTGGCAATATTATATATCATACTGTTAAATGGCAGCCATATTTTAAACTTTATTATTTAATTTCTCCGAAAACGGCCCCAAATGCACGGTAGTTGTGCATATAGAGTACGATTTGAATGTAAAGAAAAAAATGGAAAAATGCAATTTTTCCATAAACTGCGCTATTGATTATGACTTAGTACTTCTCATATAATTTGCTTTGACTTATTAATTTAATTTACTGTGAGTCCTTTCCATTTTTTCATGATTACATATAATTCAAATTGAATTGGTTCCCGCTCAGTTCTGCACAAAATTGTTCAACACTGATGCCAGGCAGTGATTCAGTTCACGTAGGAACTAGCAGTTCGATAGACTTTTTAATGAACTATATGAGGTTGGTTTACAATTAATTAATTTTCTCAAAATCTGTACCGTCCATTTACTTAAAATTAGTGCCTATAGCTTCCTAAAATATGTATCTACAAGAGGGTATACCGTGCATTGAGGGCCATTGTCTCTGAGTTAAGAATTAAGGGCTCGAAAACAAGGTTGATTTTTTGCGGTCATTTTATATGGGGCTGACTTGGGGGTTGTTGCACTCTTTTCCAAATATCTTAAAAATGGTACCTACGATTTTAATCTAATTTTTACAGTTGGCTAGGTGAAACTATAGGCTTTAATCGTGTATATGCGGTTTTCGGGGCCATCATCCCTAAATTTAGATATTTATGGAATGGTGAAAACCTAATATTTTAACCCATTGGTTTACCCATATTATAAATTAAAATTCAAAAATAAATGAATGTAGATAGTAAATAATTTAATTTTTTGCAATTCTGCATTTAAATTTATTTGGTTTCGTGCTTAAAAACATAAATAAATGCATTTGAAAGTGACCGATAGTTTTCCGATAACAAGTACCAAAATTGGCCGCTAAATCACCGCCGCTAATTTGACGCACATAGTTTGTTGAACTGACATCGATATGTTATCGGCAAATAAAAAATATACATCGATGCCAGAACGCCATTGAATATTAAACTTGGTATTTTCGTGTTTTAAATAGTCTTGTTTTCGCAAAAAATTTGCTAACAATTTGACAACTTATCACTGGATAACTAATTAATTTAAAGCTCAAGTGCAAAATGTAAGTAAAAGTGGCATTTTCGTAGCGGTGTTTCATGACCGACATTTTTTCCTCATAAGGGCGCGTGCCCGGTCTCCCACCGCCGAGGGCGAAAAGGAAAATAAAGAGAAAGATATTAAAGAGAAGGACGCAAAGGCCGCTACATCCAATTCGTCGCGCCGAGAGCGAGAACGCAAGCGTCGAGGCTCTGCCTCCTCAAGCAGCGACTCCAGCAGAAGGTGCACATATATTTCACGTATTTTTGCCGGTCTAACGCAAACGTTTACTCCATTTTGTACAGCTCATCAAACAGCTCATCATCGCGCAGCAGCTCCGGCTCCAACTCACGCTCCAGTTCGAGCAGCTCAAGTGATTCGTCCAGCTCCTCGTCCTCATCGTCTAGCGATACCGATCGCAGCGAGAAAAATCGACGTCGTGGTGCCGGCGGCAGCGCAGCAGCCGGCAAGGATACCTCTCGTTCTCCGCGCAGAGCCTCCAAATCGCCACGCCCCAATAGCAAGGTTCGCAAGGAATCAGAACGTGAACGCACGGAACGCGATCGGGATCGTGTGCAGCGTAGTCGTAGCCGTTCCAGAGATCGAGCACGTCGCAACTCAAACGATCGTGGTGCTGGAGGCGGCGGGGTAGCTGGTGGCGAGGTAAATAACGTGAAACGCGAACGTTCCCGCTCGATCAGCCGCTCGCGTTCGCCACGGCGCCGTGGTGGTCGCGGCACCGTCGATCGCACCCCGCCGCCCAAGCGCCGCGAGCGCTCACGTAGTCGCAGTCGCACCCGTTCACGCTCACCCACACCAAAGCCGGTGCGCATCCATGTCGGCCGACTGACACGGAACGTGACCAAGGATCATGTGCTAGAGATCTTTAGCAGCTTTGGCACTGTAAAGAATGTGGAATTCCCGACGGATCGCTATCATCCAAATTTTGGACGTGGCATGGCCTATGTGGAGTACGCCACGGCCGAGGACTGCGAGTCGGCCATGAAGCACATGGATGGCGGCCAGATCGATGGCCAGGAAATAACAGTATCGCCAGTTATTGTGCCAAAGCAGCGACCGCTCATGCGACGACCATCTCCACAGATGCGCCGTCCTCAGGGCGGTCGCTGGCGTTCCCCGCCGCAGTTCAATCGCTTCAATAATCGTGGCGGCGGCGGAGGCGGCGGACGTCGTAATTCACCACCGCGCGGCCGTCGCTCGCCGCGACGTCGTTCACGTTCACCCATACGCCGCAGGCGTCGCAGCAACAGTTCGGACAGTTCCCGTTGAAGAGAATTTAGTAACAATATTTCATTTGAATTGGTAAACATCAAAAAACAATCACAACAAACCAACAGCAATAACAAAAAATGAATTTGAATTAAAATTTATATCCGAAACAATTATTTAAAAGTAGAAACAAAATATATTAAATTACAAAACTAAACCCTAAGAAGATTCTATGTTATAAAAGCTCGTAAATATGTTATATATAATTATCTTTGGGATTCCGAAAATCCAATACCCAAACTGAGCAAGACAAGATATAATAATTTTGCCATTGGGATGTCGTTCTTATGTTAATCTTTAATTCAATTGGGCTTTCCTATTGTATAATTGTATTATTTTCGACAACTCTATTTAATTGGAATACAGTTAGCATTAAAATCCAAATATAATACATACATTACAATTATTTTTGCTGATTTTTATCAAAAAATAACTCCAAATTTCCATATCTTTCGCGAATAAATATTACTAACTCAAGCCTTTGAATTGGCAATCATCCACTGTATTAATAAATGGTTTGAAATTACACATGATTTTTTTAAATTTAGTTTTAATGACGAATGTTTACAATTAATGTATAAAGGAGCACTCGCTATCTTTTAACGGACAGCCCTGAGGATGGTGTAGCTTAAAGAAACAGGGTCGTTTCTTAGTCGTTACCTGCTTTCCAGTGCTTTCAGTCGCCGCAACAGCTTTGGGCTTACGTATGCGAATACGATCTTCGCCGCAAAACTCAAATACTTCGTGCTTATTTCGCAGCAGTGTTTTAATACCGCCGCACTCGGACTTGATGCCGCTAAGCTCCGCTTTGGTGAGGCCCTGTGCTATGTCACGCATTGTCAACTGTTGTCCTGGCAGCCAATCGTTATCCATAGGATTGCTGGTTGTATTTGCATTGGCCAACAACATGCAAAAGATTTTCAAAACTAATGAGTCAATTATGCTCTTTTCCACTTGCGTGCAATTTCTCACGCTCTCTGCTTTCTCGCGCAGCTTTACTGAATTCGCCGCGCTTTCGACGCCCGCTTTGTGCTTTTGCAGCTCTTGCTGCACAAAATGTTCCAGGCACTGGGACGCTTTTGTTGTGTGCTTTAAGCCAATTAAGGCTATGCGTTTGGTGCTTGGTATCTTCAGCCGATCCTGCAGCGTTTCAAAGCCACACTTATCCGAGATTTGTCGTGCATATATCAGAAAATCCTGATAAGCGCTGATGCTAGTGTTGCGCCGCTGAAACTTAACGCCGGAAAGCTCAAACGGGCAGCACGGCAGCAGAAAAAAGCTGGTTTTCAAGCGAGCCGCCAACACTGGCAACCAGGGTGACAACTCATCAGAATGATTGCCTATTAGCCAGTCAATGTCCGGATAATCCAATGAAAAGCTATTTGGCTCCACAGTTTGCTCGATGAGACTCGCATTCGTTTGCGCCGGGTAAAGTGACCACAGTTTACGCCTGCGTACATCGTAGCCGTATCCCTTGTAGCCCTCCGCATTGAGCACATGGACGAGCAGCCCATTGCCACAGCCCAAGTCGGCAAATGCTGTAGGCTGCGATTGTGTGCAGTTCCATAGGGTGATTAGGTATGCGGCAATGGCTAAATCCTCATATATAAACTTTAACGGATCTGTCGATTCGTTTGCCGTTTGCCAGCACTGCAGCAGACGCTGCGCGTGCTTTTGCTTGAGTTTTTTGTACAGTTCGCTGTACATTTCTACATCCAATAAATGCAACGATTTCTGTGCGCTTTCGTCCCGCTTGCCCTGTGACCAGTTGTATAGCTTAGGCTTAAGCACAAACTCCGCCCAGCGAGAGCTTTGCTCGCTGTCCAATTCCACTCGATGCGGCAGAGTAACGGCTTCCAGCTGGTCACCAATTAAATTAACGGAGAAATCATCGAAACCGGCATCCCGTAGGAAATGGCATTCATAGCTTTGCGTGCCAAAATCTGTCAATTAATTTATATTTTTAAATTATATCATTCAAAATTAATTTAGATTAAACTCACCCACAGTTCCATTGGCCAAAATATTTGTGGCCAACTTTTTGGTCAGCATCTTGTAGCCAATCCTAAAACCCTCACACGTTCTCTCATTAGCATTGGTTCGCAGCTGCTGCTCCAGCTCAGCCTCGTTGGATTCATATAGTTTACCCTGCTGCAACTTTTGCACCTGTGTTATAAGCACCTCGAATATTTTTTTATTCAACGCATGATAGTTTTTTATTAATATTGCTATGGACTGCCAGAATTGCGCCTCGTCGAGCTTCACAGCTGCCATGTCTTGCAATGTTTACCAACACTTGTGCGGACTAGTATGCTAATCAAGTATAGCAAAAGCAAAGCAAAATGTGCCATAATATATATATATATATAAATATTTTGCATAGGAAACAGTCTTGTGCATAAGGTGATTAAATGTAATTTAAAATCACTTGTTGAATATTATCTGCCCAAAAATTGACGTGAATATTAATTCATAAGAATTCGTTTCATGCAAATTAAGCGCACAAAGGTTATATGCTGCATACTAATCCTAAGCGCATACCTGTTGCGTAACGCAGCTGATTTGTAGCACAAGGCAGCAGCAGAGCACGACGCAGCATAAAAAAATAACATACAACATATTTCTTGCATTTTGTCTTGCCGTTTCCGTTATCCTTTTTTATTCGTAAACATGTCATTCCTGCGCAAATCCGTTCAACTTTTAACTGCTGCCAGACAAAATGTGAAAACGGTGCGTATTCCAATTGGAACTTAAAATACCTTGCGGTTAGTTGTTTTTGTTATTTACTCTTTTTACCTTTGAGCTTAGCTTGGGGCAGCGAGTGCACACAGAGGCTACAGTTCCAGTGGAAAGTCAGCGGACGATCGTTACGCATTTCCAGGCGCTCGTGATGCGCCATTTATTAACAATTTGAAGCTGACATTGCCCGAGGACTATTCACCCATACCCATCTACCGGGTATTGGATCGCGATGGCTACATACTCAATGAACAGGAGGATCCACATCTTAGTCAGGAGGTCGTTGAGAAAATGTTCCGCGACATGCTCCTGCTGTCTACAATGGATAAAATACTGTACGAATCGCAGCGACAGGGCCGCATCTCCTTCTATATGACCAACTTTGGTGAGGAGGCATCCCATATTGGCAGCGCCGCTGCCTTGGAGATGCGCGACATCATCTATGGCCAATATCGGGAGGCGGGTGTCTTGGTCTGGCGCGGTTTTCGCATTGATCAATTCATCGATCAGTGCTATGGCAACGATGATGATCTTGGACGCGGAAAGCAAATGCCCGTGCATTATGGCTCCAAGGAACTGAACTTTGTGACTATCTCCAGTCCGTTGTGTAAGCCGCAGCTATTTATTTATCCTTAAAAACAATGATAATCTTTGATCACACACTTGCCACTGTTTAGCCACGCAAATACCACAGGCTGTGGGCGCCGCCTACGCTTTGAAGCGTCAGCCCAACAACGATTCCTGCGTTGTTTGTTACTTCGGTGAGGGCGCTGCTTCTGAGGGCGATGCACATGCTGCATTCAATTTTGCCGCCACGCTAGAGTGTCCAGTCATACTGTTCTGGTGGGTATTTCAGTAGCATCTCGGTGAATACCCAAATGTTATCCCTGACAAACTACTTACAATCCCTATGATTGCAGCCGCAACAATGGATTTGCCATATCCACGCCGTCGAACGAACAATACCGGGGCGATGGCATCGCTGGACGTGGTCCCATGGGCTATGGCATTGCTACCATAAGAGTCGATGGCACCGATGTCTTTGCCGTTTATAATGCGATGAAGCGGGCCCGCGAGTACGTGTTGCGAGAGAACAAGCCGATTGTATTTGAAGCGCTGGCCTATCGTGTGGGTCATCATTCCACGTCGGACGACAGCACAGCTTACCGTTCGGCGGAGGAAATCGAAGTGTGGAACACACTGGAGCACCCCATCTCAAAGCTGAAGAGCTACATGGTGCACAAGGGCTGGTTCAATGAGCAGCAGGAAACGGAATTTGTAAGTGGTGTGCGCAAGCAGGTGCTCAAGCAAATTGCCATCTCCGAGAAGAAATTGAAGCCCAATTGGCGTGAGATGTTCGAGGGTGTGTATGATGTTATGCCCGACCATCTGAAGCAGCAGCAGCGCGAGCTGGAGCAGCACATCGAGGCGCACAAGCAGCACTATCCGCTGAAGAGCTTCAAGCAGTAAAAGCATGGACCAAAAAGCAAACGCTTGAATATCCTACAAAACTTAACCGGAGAGACTCATTAAAAAGTGCATTTATTAAGCTTAAGCAACCTTTTGTTCAGTTTTAAGGGTTCCAAACCATTTGCGATTTGTTGTTAAATATGTAAACAAAACTGAAAATTTGTTTTTTTATTTAGAGGCATGCCAAGCAAAACCGGTATAATATAAATTTTTTGGGCTTTTATAGTCGTACATTATTCGAAAACAAACAAGAAATACCACATATTTACTCGAGCTTAGCCTTAATTACATTTGAAAAATATTTTTAAAAATTTATTAGTTTGATTTACATATTAAATACAAATACAATACGCAAAAATAAAACAATACATATGTAATAATAGTTAGGGGTATTCCGGCAAACGTCTAGGCTAAAATGTATTGCACAAAGTTGTGCAGAAATGAACTCAGATCGTTTCGTTAAGCTTTTTTTTACGGCATGCAACAATACTTAAATTTATCTACAGTGGGCTGTCGAACATTTTTGGAGTCCAATATTAAAAACTGTAATAATATTTTATATTTAACTAGAAAGGTTTTTAAAGTCATATTTCAAGGGGCGTTTTATAAAATCTATATTGAAGTGTTTAAAATCGAAGAAACTTGTAGAAAGTATGTCTCAAAATTAAGATTTTCTAATTTTTTTATTTATATATAATCAATGTCAAGTTTTTAAAAGATAATTTTAAAATGTGTGTGCGAATGTCTTGCACTTAATCAAGGCTTGACTATAGTTGTTTTCAACCACATTAAATTTTTAGCACATTTTAAATTTTTAAAATCTACTAATGAGCTACATTAAATTGTTGCATATTTATTCACAAGTTTAAATTAAAAATATGGCTAATTTCTTGAAGTTTTAGTATGTACAGCCTAGGCCGGCTTATATTTGACCCAATTTAAAGCTTAACAAAATGTTTAAGAACTTTGATATAAAACGCTGAAAAATCGATTTACTAATCAGCTGGAAAAGCTGTGCGTTTGCGGGAACAACCTTTTCAATATGCTTTCGACTTAACGCACAGTGTGAAGGTGAGGCAGCTAATTAACATACTCCTAACTCAAATTGGACACAACAAGGTTTTTCGCTTAAGCTTGGCTGGAATGCGCGCGTTTGTGTGTGTATGTGTGTGTGTGTGGACAGGGATTAGTTGGTACGTAGCTGATAATCGCCGTTTTGAGTGATATAACGCACCCAGGGCAATGCCTGGTAGCCGCTCTTCTCAATGATCTTCAGATAGCGCACCTGTATGCCCGACGTCGTGAAATATGGTATCTCGAAGCGCACCTGTATCGGTGGCTTGCCTTCGGTGTTGTCCTCGCTCTCCACGCTGGGCAGGCCAAAGTGTGCACGCATTAAATACTCCTTGCCTCCTGGGAACGATTTGATTGTCCATATGATAGCATTCTGCTCCGGAGCATATTTGCAGCTGCCAATGGTTGTTTTGAATTTGGGTGAATCCGCATCTGCGGGCACGGGTATAACAATTTCCACATTATTGGCCGTTGATCTGCGCTTAAATTGAGATTTTGCCTTAATCATGTACTCGACGCGCGAGTGTGCATGTCGCTCAATTACCGATTCAATCCAGATCAGTGGCTTGACCTGCCGCGAAGGGAGGGGATAGGGGACAGCGGTATTAGATGGATTATTCTAGATAACATATATTGTATTCACACTCACATGCGTGTTGAGGCGATAGGACATCAGCTCGAATTCGCCATCCGGTGGTATAAACGAGATTGTGCGATCATTTTCGAATCGCGACAGTCGCACACACTGATGAAACTTGACATCCTCCAGCTCCACAGACTTAGATTTGCCACGCCCAGTGCTCTCGAAGAGCACCTTATCGTTGAGTCCCAAACGAAGCTCTGGCATGCCAGACAAATAGACGCGCATTTTAATGGCGCCGACGATTTCGCTGCGCAGCACATTGCCATTGGCATTGGCAAGCAGATTGACCGACTCGATGACATCAAGGAAAACCTCATTTTTGCGATACTTGATGCCTTCTGAGCGCCAGGATACGGCATTTGTTACAGCTACGGGTATGCGCGGTTGCAGCTCTAATTTGTGACCCTCTTGCGTGATATACTCCTGCAGTATTTTGGAGTCCGTCGTTTGTGGATAGCCAAAGTCAATAAGCTCGTCGAGCAACTCGTATATTATAACGAAATTATCTCGGATGGATTCCTCCTCCAGCTCCTTGAAATACTCCACAAACACCTGTGCGATTTTGTGCAGAAATACAAAGACCAGGGCAATATTCACATTCTTATTACGTGGCGTCGTAGACACAATATACAAATTATTTGTCTTTATATAGGCAAAAGTGGTCTCTGAAGTCTGCAGAATGGGCGTGACGAGACCTTCCTCTTCGCGTTCCATGAGCAGTGGCATGAATTTATCGATTACAGCCATGTCAATGTTGTCTCCGCGATAATTACGGGATATCAACACCTTGCCCTTCACGTCCAGCACAAATATCGCTGATGAAGACATGTTTCCTCTTTTGTCTTTCAGTTGCTTTTTTTTTGTCAAAAAGATTCCAGCTGCCACTTGTTCTTGTTGCCCCAAAACGATGACTGTCAAACTCTTGTGTTTCGGAGCCTGTGAAGTTGATGAAACCATGTTAAAATAGCTTGAAAAAACCTTGCGCACTTATATATTACATTATTATTAGAATAACTGAGAAATTGTCGATTAACTGCACAAGTGGAATTAAAGTTTAGTCACACGAAAATTACTTACGTCGTCGACTGGATCTTCTTCTTTATCCGCTGATTCGCGTTCACCATTATAACATTTTCCAGCACTGTCATTTTAGCAACGAGTACAAAAGTATATAAATGCTGGCATGTACAAGATTACGCCGGTATCGTTAATCAAAGTTGTAGTTTTGTGAATCTACTAAACTATGTAGCCAACTTGTCTTTGAATGATAAAAAATTTAATTTTTCTGCTATATTTAGTACAATAAAAACAGCATGTTAATAGAGCTGAATCATCATAGAATAGATAATCGTATGCAACTGTGACGTCACGGGCAACTGTTGCCACTACTGTCAGTGCCTGGCGAATCTTCTAACACCTATTATTCTTGTGAGTATATATTTCTCTAAGCAAGAGTATCGAAAAAGACGTTCTCTTCGAATGTAAAAAAAAATAAACAAAAGGGGCAGACATAATTAAATATTTGGAGCATGCAAATGAATCCGAGCATCACAATTGAAAGGAAACGCGTTGATTGCAACGCACTACCAAAAGGCTGGCAGCGCGAGGAAGTACACAAGAAATCGGGCTGTAACACGGGCGTTGATGTATTCTACTACAGGTAACCAAGCGAATTACTTGGCTGAACTTTAAGCAGGTACACGGTGAAGGTGAAACCTGGAAACTAACGTAAATTGTAATATAAACACACACATACACACAACGAGTGCACGTGCGATAACGAATACGTTTAACTCACTCTCACTACTTTTTTTGTTATTACATTTACTACACATACAAACACGCACACACACACCACACATTACCTACCCTCAACCATACCTGCCCCGTTCACCAATTGGATGTGTACAGCCCCACAGGCAAAAGAATTGAAAGCAAGCCGCAATTAGCACGCCAATTGAGCGCCGAAATGTTTGACGTTAGCAATTTTGACTTTCAAACTGGCAAAATGCAGATACAACGGCAAATGCCCTCGCCATCCATATCACTATATCGTTGCAATGCAGCGGGTGCCATTATCAGTAACGCTAGCCTAGGTGGCAACGCTGCCATTGCGCTCAAACGTAAATATAGCCGAGCTCAAGCACAAAGCTTCAGCAACAACAACAGCAGTGGTGGGTTTATTGCAGCATCGATAACACCAGCAGCATCGATAACAGCGACATCAGCAACGACGACAACATCTGCAGCTAATCTGCGCCAGCAGCAGCAGCAACAACAACAACAGCAGCAGCAACAATTTGAATTCAGGTATAGCCAAGTTGATTCTTCTTGGCTGACCGAGCTCTTGCATGCGCCTATCTACCTAATTTTGTTAAACTAACCACTCAAATTCTTAGTACAATCACAGTAATTGGCCAAATTATAAATAATTGTTATCATTTTCTATTTTCCTTCATAGTTCTTAATCGACAAATATGTAATTGCATGTACTCTCATATTTCTTATGTGTTGTCCAAATTTGTATACGTCTTCCAAAAGGCTGAAATCTAATTGGTAGTCCCATTTTTACAGCCGTGCTCTGCGCACAGATGTCTCCCTGGTACCGCCCATACGACAGACTGCCTCCATATTTAAGCAGCCGGTGACCGTGGTGCGCAATCATGAACCCAGCAAAGTCAAGCACGATGCCAAACACGGTGGCCAGGAAAAGCCAAAGCAGCTGTTTTGGGAAAAGCGTCTGGAGCGTTTGCGTGCCTGCCATGACAATGGGGAGGAACTGGACGACATAACACTGCCAAAAACCATACGCACCGTCGGTCCCAATGTCAATGAACAAACCGTATTGCAGTCGGTGGCCACAGCGCTGCATATGCTGAATGCCGGCGTACATGGCCAGAGCTCCACAAAGGCGGAGCTAACCAAGAATGCGATGGCTTTCATGAATCCTGAACAGCCGCTGATGCATGCGGTTATCATCTCCGAAGATGATATACGCAAGCAGGAAGATCGCGTGGGTGTAGCCCGACGAAAACTACAAGATGCGCTCAAGACATGAATGCCAATTGCTTGGTCATTCACTTAGATATTCCATTATGGCTTCTATATATTGTATAACTTATTATATTCACTTCCAATTCATGAGGTAAACCAATAACTTGATTTTCGTTTCCTCTGCAAAAATCAATGTGAAAACTTTAATACTTAGCTTAGATTTTTAATAAACATTAATATAGTCAAGCAAAAAACACACATATAAAATGGGTATATATCATTAAAATAACTGAATAATTCAATCTAGTTACAATTAACGTTAGCAGCGTCAGTTGTACGTTTAATCACGTTTTGGTTGCTGCTTATTTTTTCTTTTTAACATACAATTTCATATAGGGTAAATAGTTTAAAAAAACAATGAATAATGGTGGAGGGCGCATTATTAATTTATATAGCTTCAAATCGTATATACATATATATATGCGTGCTTTTTAAACAAATTGCTTAAACACAAATTTTTGCAGTGCCTTCCTTTTCACTCATTTTCGAAATATTTATAAATATACATCGATGGTTAAAATTATAAATGTACAGAGCTGAAGCTAATCCAAGACCTCCTCCAACTCATCGTCCTCATAGTCGATGCCGTCATAATCCGTTGACGAGCGTGTTAACTGAAAATGAAAAATTGATATAAAGCAAAAAATATCAACATAACTTAAAGTTACCTTAAAATTTGTTTGCACCTAAATTTAAACTTGATCTATTTATTTTTCGATTACAGCATTCGCTTTGCAGTCAAGCAAAATATTTAATCTTGAACTTGCGGCAAAATGATGTTAAGAAAATAGATTTTGGATATCGCAACTGTTGCCTACCTGGGTGTAAATGCCACGCCAAGCTGCAAATGCGCCCATCGCAAGCACAGCGCCAACGCCAGCAACAATCTTTGTATTTAGCTCCGTCTCCAAGAATTTGCGCTCCGACGGGGTCATCGTATTGTCTGTGTGGCTGGAGGCTTTGGTTAGTTTGGTGGAACTATAACATTCATTGCGGAATATATCCTTGGTGATGCGATTAATGAAATTGACTAGATTTTGACAGCCTTTTATGTGATTCTGTAGCGGATTATTGGGCAGTGTTATTTTGTAAATAATCGCCAAATAACTGTAGACAATGGCGTCCAATTCGCTGTAGGTGTCACCAAAGAACCAAACCTTGCGTCCCAATTTACGAGAAAGTAAGTTAACACACTTTTTGGCATTAGCTGTCAGCTGGAAACAGATAAGAAATTCATAAATTTAATTAATATTTCCAGGTTGCCGCAGATTAAATGTCCCTGCAGACATATAATAGGTCTCGATGCTAGGGACAGTTTTGTCTTCTATATAAGGACTAATGTGAAACCCAAAATTGCTGAGTTTGGTGACGAAATCGAAACAAAACATAAGAACGTAGAATTTTTTGTTTGACCAATTGTTTCAACGTCAGCCTACATAATATGGGGATTCGAACCGGTCGAAAAAATACGAATCTACGCGGTTTCACCAAGATAGCTTCCACACTGGAGACTATCTTTTTACACACAAGCTGACAGACAGATATAAACTTAATGACATTAAAGATGTTTGCTTCAATGGGTTTAATGGGTATACACTTACATATTCGGCCTCATGCTTTTCCAGCTTATCGTTAATGTCGAAACCACCCAGCACCTGGACTACATCGGTGGCTTCGCGCTGGTAAGTTGAAGGATAGTAGAAATTAAATGGGAATGGTGTGCGCTTTGCGTACAAGCCACGTGTGGTTGTATCATAGTTGTGGGGTTCACCGTACAGGAAGTAATGGTAGTAGGCATGCAGTTGTGTGAATACCCAGTTCGAGTATGTAGTGGACAAGTGCTTTTGTTTTATATTTAAGTGCGCATCGACCGGATAACCCTGAAATATACAAAAAAAAAAAAAATTCGCGCTCAATTGGAATAAATGCAGAGATATGTAAGAGCTGTCGCACGTGCTATAAATAGCCAACAGGTTTATTCACCCGGCTATTTTATGCTTTGTTCACCTCAAGATCCAGCACGCGTTTAATTTCCTTATATCCAAGAAATTTATCATTGCCAATCTGTAGATAGGGCAATTTTCCAGCGCCCGAACGCAATGGGTTTGTGTTTGTTTCAATGTCCATGGGGCAGCGGGTAAAGCGCAGCAGACACTGTCAACAATTTCGTCAAATGACAATATATTTATTAATATATATATACCACTTGATATCGCCGATAGCGAGGAGTTGCTGATTATGATGCAACTGAACTTACCAAGGCACGCATACATTCGAAATCAATGGACGGCAGTCCCCACTCGCCCTTGTACACATGAAGCTTGGAGCCCAATTGCATTTTGTGCTTTTAATATTTCTAGTCACTAAATATGCTCTTTTATCGGTCGTTTAGCAATGCACATGCATTTGCATTGTTGAAAAATATTAATCAAAAAATAAATAGATCTGCCTAAATGTGCCGGACGATTTGGAGAGAGACTTTTGATTGACACTCAGTGTGAGTGTGAACGTACGCAGCAAATCCAAAAAAAACCGAAATTGAAAAATATTGTATTCCACAAAAATACCATAGAAAATGTCGAAATGCCTTGTTGCCTACAAAATATGGATTTTATCTAAACTTATGGTCATACTATAAAATTGTGGCAAAAGCAGCATAATCCATGTAAATAAAAAAAATAATGAAAACTTAGCATGATGGCTCTGGTGGATTATGGCAGCAGCTCAAGCTCAGAAAGCGACGAAACAGAAAACAAAGCTCCCGAACCGATCAGTCTGAAGAGGTAATGTTAATTACTTTTAATATACTGTTTCCTAAATTAAAAACCCGCCAGACCGGCATTACCCACAGCTGCCTCTTTGCTGGGCTCTAAGATAACAAAACCTGCCGAAGATAAGGAGCAGGAGGACGATTTTGATAATTCTGAGTTGCATGGCGGGCGCATACGTAGCTTTAAGCATGAGCGCGGCAATTGGGCGACTTTTGTTTATGTGCCCGTTCTGGCTTGTGCCGAGCAGCTGGAGGATTTTCAAATAGAAGCTATAAAGAGACTTTCCCCGGACCTGGAGCTGCGGGCCAATGAATCACTGCATCTGAGTTTGAGCAAAACTGTGGTGCTACAATATCATCAAATTGATGAGTTTCAGCGATCTCTGCAACAGACGTTGCACAGCTGTGTGGGGTGCGTAGTTTTAATCATTTAACTATCCTGTTAATGTATATTAAAGTTGTATGTTCTCTGAATCTACACAGCTTCAGCAGCACGCTGAATTTGGTATGTATCTTTCGCTACACCAGAAGGCTAATAGTTTATAGACGTATAAAGTATTTTCTGACCTAGCTACGAGTCTACACAAATGAGGAGCGCACGAGAACCTTTCTGGCCGTGCAGCTTGATGCTGCTTATGGGACAAAAATGTCTACCCTTTTGCGACCCGTGGACTTAGTTATGCGTGACTATCGCCTAGCGCAATTCTATGAGAATCCTTCATTTCATGTCAGTCTCCTATGGTGTGTTGGTGATCAGCAGCTCTTGCTGCAGGATAAGCTGCAGGAGTTGCAGCAACTGCTGGAGGATCATGAGACGCTCAAACTTGCCGTTCATGAGCTGCGCTGCAAATGCGGCAATAAGGATTTTATTTTTAAGTTAAAATTGTAATAGAAAGCTCAGAAACTGTATTTAGCTTAATTTAAGCCTTTCTTTTTGTTGCCGTTGCCCTGTTTGGCCTGCTGTGCCTGCTCCTCGAGCAGGCGCTCCTCTTCCAGTTCCAGAAAGCGTTGTCTCCGTCGACCCAGCGGAGTTTTAGACCACCATGATTCGAAAGCTTCTTCTTCCTCCCGATAAACGGGATCACGAGTGCTGTAAGGATTAGATAAAGATGATGAGCACAGTCTGGCTGGATCAACCATCATACCTACCAGAGCACATTGATGATCTCTGCATTGGTCAACGGTTGTGAACGCAGCTGCAGCTTCCGCTTGCAGGTCATCACCTCGCGTAGGCAAGCATCAACAGCACCTATGGTATACCCATCGGATATTTTGGCCATGGCACTGGTGTCCAAATTGGAGATTCCGCCAGAGTACTCGCTGCAAAGCATTGGGATTAAACACAACCACAGAGTAAGCCATATCGAATACTCACTGGAGCAGCGTTTTCCAGGCGTGCGACATGGCGCCATAATCTGGGCGTGGAATGTATATAAACCGATTGTACACAGACTGCAGTAGCTTCTGATCCGCCTCCCACGGCAAATTAGAGGTACCTATAAAGACAACCCTATCCTCCGGAGCAATATTCTTAATCATCTTGGGCAAATCCTTTTTCAAGCGCTTGGGATCGGTTCGATCCGTTTTGGGTATTTTCTTCATAAACGGACGTTCTGCATCGCCCATGTATATGACCGCAGGCTGCAGAAGCCTGGACACTTTAAGCACCAGATGTATAAGCATGATCAATCCAGATTTGCCCGGATATTTTCCAACAATGTTAGCTGGCGTTAGATCAAACAAAACGGCGCCAACCTCCGTGCAGATGGCATGAAGCAGCGCCTTTTTGCCAGATCCTCGCGGACCGGCCAGCAGTACAGAGCGTATAAGTGGCGTACAATTGTGTATGGCCTCCGAGCCGAGCGGCAGAATGCAGTATTCGGTAAGCACCTGGCGAATGTCACCCGGAGAAGGATTTGTACCGTTGCGTGCGGTTAGCGCCTTGTCGCCCAGAAATTGCTTCAATTTGAGCTCGGGATGCTTGCGTATAATACCATTGGTGACCAGCTCTTCGTACAGCGATTCCGTAGTCCGGTCGGGCGTCAGATCCTTTTCCTTCTTCTTTTTGTTCTTCTTGCCTGAACGGCGAGTCTTCTTGTTGCTTTTCTTGACTTTTTTGCCTACCATGGTCTGGAGTAGCTCGAGCTCTTGGCGCATAACATCGTCGACGGCGCGTCGGAATTCCAGCTCCACTTCCTGATACTTTTCGGCATAGATCATGTCCTCGTAGGGCGCCTGGCTAATCACGCCAGACTCATCCTTGTCACGCCAGGTGTCATTGAAGCTGTGGAAAGACTATTTATTTTTTGATTGGATTAGAATCTCTTGGGATCGCTTACTATTCAATTTCCGCACGTATATCGGGCAGGCAAGCCGATGGAGCCGGTTGAAAGTTCATATCCTCATCCTGATTTTCGTTAACATTCAAATCGCCGCTGCGCGCCGGCGATTTAGATTTATCCTTGGTTTTGCGCGACTCCTTGGAGGAACGCGCCGAGGAGCGACTGTGCTCGCTCTCTGTGCCGGGACGACTGAATATGTGCAGCGAACCGCCCTGATCCTCTGACGGGAAATCGGGCAGCTTGCCCGTCTTGTCATAACAATCCTTTATCCAGGCGCGTATTTCATCGGCAATATCCTCCTTCATGGTGGGGCCATGCTTCAGCCTAATCTCCTCCTGTATGGCCACCTGGCGCGCCTCGAACTGCGCTGCATAGGTTTGTTGTGCAACATGCCGGCGTCGCACGTCTGTCTCGTTGTGCCTCTCCACCTTCTCGGCACGTTCCTTGAGCACCAACGCCGGTGGCGGAACCATGCCAATCAGTATCATCTCATCCATCTTACGGCGTCGGGTGATGCGACGTGCCGTATGGCCCCGCCACATTTTCTGTATTTTCATGGCTGCCAGTAGGCCGGAGTCGCTACGCTCCTTATCGCTCCGATCCTCCATTTTGCCCTTCTCCTTGCGTATCTCCTTCATAAAGTGCGCGCGGAGACGACCCTGACGCGCACGCTCGTGCATCTGCAGCAGACGTATGGCCTCGATTTCAGTGAGCGGCTCTTCCAGGGCATGCTCCTCCAGCCAGCCCAACTTGATTAGAAGCTCATGCATGGTGCGCTTACGGAACTCTAGCTCTTGCTCACGCTCGCGCAGAAAGTAGCGTGGAATGCGCAGTTCCGTTTCCATGGGTGTAAGACGCAGACGCTCTACCACCTCATCATTGTAGCTAAACTCCATGAGATCAATGTTAACCAGATCATGTTTCAGTTCAACGACACGGCCCAGGCAGGCGTCCAACAGCTTACGCACCAATTCACGTTTCTGGGGTTGAATCATCTGGGGTGCAAGAAATGGGGAACCAGGGAGAAAAAGAACCTTACTTAAATCAATTATTAAGTTCCACCTTAAGCTAAAATGTTAAAGCTCATTTGAAATCTCAAATGGAATAAATCATATTCAATCTTTTCGGGGGATTCCCAGGTCGAATAATGACCTACGAAAACATCTCCATTGATATTTTCGTTTTCGTTTTCTTGTATCATCTAAATGGGTTCTTTCTTAAAAGATTACTCGAGTAATAAGCCTTGATACTTGCATTATCATAGACTTCCTCCAGGCGATTGCTCAGGCATATGTAGCGCAGATAGAACTCATAGAGGCTGGCCTGCAGCAGGGCTTTAGATTCGGCCGCAGCGGCCACGGAGCTGGTAATGACACCAGCAACACCACTTATGGTGGCCACCGTGGTGTCCACATTTTGGTGCTGTCGCTCATAGTCGAGAATGGCCAGTTGCTCGCATTCGTGCTGCGCCTGATGCCAGATCTCGTTGAAATAGGTGCTGGACATGGCTAGCTTAATTTTTACAATGTTATTTTGATTCGATTTTGCAGGTGCATTGGGTAGCCGGCGCAACCGTTGTCATGGCAGTAGACAACCATTACCATATTTAGTTTTTATAATGCATGCCTGCTTCTCTACACCTGAAGTTGTTTACATTTGCATTTCGGAATCACTTTTTGAATAACTAAAAAACGTAGCTAATTTTATCTCTTTATGTATATATAAAGTATGTTACATATATTTTTTACATAGTATTTAGCAATGAATTAAAAATATAATAAATGGTTTAGATTACACATAAATAGTTAACAATAGCAATAGTTATTTTTAAGGAATCAACTCAGGCTCTTATATGTTATCTGGGGAGCAATATTTTAGCATGGATTTGGTATGTTTGAATTGCGTGCCACTTGTAGCTGCCAGCACTTCGTCGATGAAGCTCTGGGAATTGTGTATGGTGGTGCCGCCCAGAATCACCCTATATCCGGCATTATTGAGCTGATGAACTGTGAGGGCCTCCTCGTAGGTTGCGCCACCGATGATAAAGACAACCACCTCCTGTGGTGGCCTTCGGTATGGCACAAGCTCCGAATTGATGGCTGGATAAACTGGTTCCAGCTCGCGGCCTTTGAAGACATCATCCAGTGTTTCCTTCAGAAGCGGCGTGTGCTGTGTGAACACATTCTCGACACCCTTGAGGCCCTTGATCAGAATCCTTGTCAACTTGACGGCATCCGTGATGCGCACCATATTAAATAAATCGCCCTGACGCACATGCATGCCCGCATACTCAATCAAAGCGGGCACAATTTGTGTGTTACCGCCGCGTGTCTTGATTATCTGCAGGAGACCGGATGTATCGCAATTCGCATGGCGCTCGTAGCGCAATGCGTACAGTGCTACCAGTTTGATGGCATCATCTACGTTGACGCGCTCGTCGGCTATCAGTTTCTTGATGCGCTGCAGTTGTGCCGAATGCTCAGCCTTGCAGGCAATCTCCTGCTCCAATTCGGATACTTCGAACAGATTACGCTTATTGGATATGCTGGACAATTCACCCATGACGCACAAATGCTTTTGCACGGTGCCCGACATTTTCTTGAACTGCGGATAGGAATCAATGAAGTTCTTCATATCGGCTATGCTCTCGACTTTTTTGTGATCGTTTGCCTTGCGCTGAAACTCCTCCATTAGCTGTTTAATTGTGGAGCCGATTTCACCATAGTTTGCATACATGTTGCTGCCATAAAACTCATCCTGATCACCGGATAGAACCAGCTCCTTGAACTCTTTGGGCACATTGGGACGCTCGGACATGTCGACTCGATTGTTGCGTATATTGAGTAGCTCATGCACCATGGCCTGATACGACCACTGATGCAACAAGGGCGTTACTGGATCATCCCTACGATCAAGCAGCAAGAGCAGAGGCGGCGCAGCACCATCCACATTGCCGCGAAAATCAAATAGCGATGATTCCTTGGTCGTTTGATCGTAGATCAGCTTGGCCAGCAGCTGCGCCACCTGCGAGCCGGCGCGATAGCGTATGACCGGATTAAGTTTTATCGACAGCAGCACGGCCGTAATGCCCTGCACGCTGCGAGTCAATGCATCTGGTAGCCAGTTAAGGTTTGTCATGCAATTCGGCATGTTTATGGAAAATAAATTGGGATTAACGCACAAATAGTCCGCATACAATTCTTTCACTTCGCGCACCGACTCTGACTCATCGCATTCAGCAAGGTATTTGATATCAGTGCGTGGTATAATGTTGCTGAAGTCTGTATAGCAGGATTAATTTACGTTATCAGGCAATCTTTGGCAACTGTTATAGCACACTTACATATAAAATAGGAGCTGTATTTCGGATTGCGAAGCTCATTGGCCAGCAGCTGGATGTTTTGCTTTGTGGGGCGTATAAAAACAATGCACTTTAGATACTTCAAACGCTCGTTGGAACGGCCGGAATCCAAGCGTTCGAAGAGATAGACCTCGCGTTGCAACATATCAGATTGGCTAAAGGCCATGGAAATTATGCTTGTCTAAAAAATTTAAAGAGTTGGCAGTGAAAAATTTGTCACATTGGAATTGGGGTTCTTATTACCGTCTCCTTGTCTAGCAATATAATTTTCATGCCCGGTCCAGACTCTGTGCACATCTTTTCAATGTACAATTTAATACCGCTTATTAAATTCATAATTGAAGCTGGTTTTCTACTAAGCGAATCAAATTGCAAATATTTTATTTGTGTGAACAGCTGTTGACAGCATTGTGTAGAGTTTATACCACACACCTCAGCCAAAGTACTTATTAGTTATCGATAGTTATCGGGCGGCGCAAGCGCGCCTCGATTCAACTTAAAAGCTCGTTTATTTTACATTACCTTCTACAGTCCTGAGAATGTATTTGTTTATTTCTCTTTTTACTTGACAGAAATCACAAAAAGTCTATTAATGCTACGAATAATTACAAATATACGCGAAGCCTCCAACATTTACAAACTTAAGTAATACGAATCACGTTTTGTAAGGCAACAAGAAACCACCGAATAAAAATGGTCAGTCGCTGCAACTTAAACAACTTAATATAAAACGCAGTGGTTCGATATGCGTCTGTTGTGTTATACGGTGTGCGTGTTCACATCCAATTCATTGAGTTATCGCTGGCTTTTCGCTCTGCTCTTTCTTCAGCTTTTCCTGCTCCAACTGATAGTTATATGCACGTCCCAGTTGTACCAATTGTGTTAGGCCCACAAACAAATTGACGGCAAACAAACTGTAATTTTTGGGTATAATCACCAGCGAATACCGTGACCAGATAATACCCGTGGCAGCCAGTGCACCGCATCCAGAAACAGAAATGGTGTCCGCAGGACGGGCCAAATCACTTAGTCCAGCGGCGACTAGACCCTATTTTTACGTTGATAGAAAAAAATTAAAACGTAAACATATTTATGTTAATTAACATTAAAAGTTGCGATTACAGCGCTAGCTTATGCTATCGTCATTTTGGCGTGTGCAATATAATAAATATAAATAAATACTTATAAAGCAATAACAATTCCCACACATACAACCACACACACAAACACACTATGATACCCTTCTGTAGACTTATCGCGTGCGCTCTCTAAACGGGCAGCTGTCTAAAACAACACCCGACAAGATTATTCTGCTCGAATAAACAAATAGTCATAAAAAGCAATTCGCACACACTCACAGATATCTGTATTAATGTCATTAGATTTTGTATATCAGCAGCAGACAGAGATAATGAAAATTAGCGAAGGTCACGCAGTCGAAATTATGTAACAGGCTGTCCGTCAGTCTGTCTGATAGATAACTTACCCATTTAAAAATTGGTGCCCAGAAGAAAATCGTTTTTGGACCTAAAAACGGTTTTATGTTAAGCAAATGCGACACGTGGTATATTTCATTTAATTGTTGTTGTATTTAGCCCACCTGCGGGATGCATCCAAAGTGGCCGCATTTTAGCTGGCACAAATTTGTCGCAGACACCAATCAAGCCATTGTAGAGCTTTGTATGGATGCCCTTTCCAGCAGCGGCAGCAGCTGATGAGGGTGGCGGCGGTGCGGGTGCGGGTGGTGGCGGCTGTACGGCGGTCGACGACATTTTGTTTGTGCGAAATCAGCGGCGATTTCAGGCAGAAATATAATTCAGACAACTGCGAGCAGTGACTAGTGTACGGACAGACAGCCTTACCCGTACTAAATTGAATCAGTGGCGGACCTGTGTGAATAACAAAAGCGCGTTGACTTGATTAACATTAGCGTCGGCGCTCTTGCTCTCACTGTGTGCATGTGAGAGCGGGTATGAGGGGGCGCGAGAGCTCACACTTATACACACATCCAAAAACAGCTGAGAGCGCTATTACATGAGTTTTTTACTTTCCAAATATTCCAACAGAAACAAAAACAACAACAAAAACTGGTTTGACGATCCACTTTCTGACTGCTCTATTTTCCCGTCAAACTCTCAACTCAAATGGGAAACGCAACGTCCTTGGCCTTGACAATCGTTTAATGCCAGTGCCAATTTCCGCAGAGCACCGTTCACGGAAGCAGCTAAATACGCACTTAAATGCATTCACAAATACATTCATATAATTCTTAAAATAGACATTCAAATGCAGGTTGTGTCGCTTTTTGCTCTGACTGCATCACGCGACAATATTATACTTGCTCGCCAAGCACATATCTGTATATCTATGTAGGACTACACACGTTTAAAATCATGATAATAAACCACTTCTATGTAAAATCGCGACGAAATTCAAAGCTACATAAAGCCTTTTTCACGGCACGTGATACTCTTAGAAGCGATTAAAAAATAACTTATATAACGTTTTATTCTATCCATTTTAAAAACTGCGATAAATAAAAGTCCACAATAATTCCAGAAGCAAATCAAATCATTTTATAGACAGCAAATCTAAAGGCTAGCTCAAATTGGATTTGAAACCATGCATGACGAAAAGGTCAAGACACTTAAAAAACACTTTAGTTTATACCAATTTAGGGACTATGAGCTCTAGAAGTCGTGAATCGTCAAAGTCTATAATTGTTCCGCTACAACCAATTTAAATATATTGTATGTTTTCAAAAATCATAAAAGAATTTTCCAATAATTAGGTGTATTTTAAACAATAATATTTAAAGATGACAAACATAAGCGTTTCGTGAATCACAAATGATTTTAAATGAAGCTACGGAAAGCTTTCAAAAATTCATACAAATAAAAAAACTTTAACTAAAAACTATCGAAAACTACATAACTTCAAGATCAATCGATATTATCTTGGTGTTTTAGAACATTTTTGTGTAGCCATCGATAATTGTTTGGTCTAAGCTGGTTGATGGATTAACTACCCAACACTTATCGTGTCGGTAAGGCTCACCCTAATGCTAAGTGTATATGTGTTGCACAGCCTCTATCAAATTGGAATATGTATACACATCGTGTGATTTACATATGCAAAGCAAACAATCAACTCTCAGCACAGTGTGGCAAAATAAATGAAATATATATACATTTTGGAGCGCCTATTGCGCATCAACACATACCGTATGTACATTTATGCCTGTGCGTATATACACGTGTATGTATGTACATCTTCTGTAACTTGATTAGCTATTTGCCCCACCTTAAAGCCGCAGACAAATAAACACAAGTGTTTTCTTTCTTATTTTTTTTTAGACTGCACACATCAGGTGGATGTTTAGAATTTTCCTGCAAATGTAAATAAAACTGGAGAATATGTCCGTTTTTTTTTTATCGTTTTTCATGTTAGAAATGTATATGTAATTTCAATTACAAATCAAAGGCGTACATGTCATTAAAATTATTCATTACAAATCAAATAGTTCTACAAATTTTATCATTCCTGTGTAATTTTTTGTTTGTTATTGTTATTTTTGCTTTGTTTAGCACATATGTTGCAGTTGCAATATTTCGTTTGCGCCTTTACAGCCCTATTGAAGAAGTATATACTTAATATTGAATGACATATGATTTTTAAACTTATTCAATTGAATGAAAACATAAATAATCTAAAAGAGGATTTCGCTATTGCAACATGCATCAGACAAATTTAACGAATCATAATAATTTTTTTCATTCTTATTTTGTTATATGTGGACATACATAGAGTTATGTATGCTTGAAAACACAAAAAATTATTTTTAAAAAAACTGTTTTGCTGCAACGATTTTAGTTCGTGTGTGTGTATGTATAATTGTTATTGTATAATATAACCAAGCTGTCATATAGAATGTGCATAATAATTATCCCTTTTTTTTTGCTGTCAGTGTGGCTGTTGTTTTTGTTGGTAAATGGGCACAGAGTATCGCTCGAAATCGTATTGCTTTATGCTTTCAATCGAGTATACACCAAATCAGAAGTGTTTGTGTGTTTGTTTGTGTGTATACGGTACTGCTCTCAGCCATTGGTATTAAAAGTTGAACGAGTTCATTGGTAGTTTGTCTGTATTCGGATCAAAGTTGTATTCTGTGCCATCAGAAGTCGGTGCCAGGTTAGATTGTTCGCCCTGTAAGTGCCAAGTGGAGACGGGTTAATATTTTGTTGAAGCAACTACAAGTATAATGTCCTACCTCTGTAAAGTATTTCTCAATAATTTCGTATGCCAGCTTGTAGATCTCAATATTCTCATGGTTTTGCAGACGTTCAATTTTGGCGAGTCCTTCGCATTCCTCAATCAAATTGGCAACCTCCTCCACATGTGATGCGGCCACTTTGAGCATATTGTTGAGACCATCGAGCACAACCTGCAAAAATCAACATAAGTGAATATTAGATGCCAGTTGTATTATTTATGATATCAGCTTACATTGATCACTTGTGTGTCCTGGCACGAGAGCAGATCGCAGAATGGCGGTATAACACCCTCCTTGATTAATGTAAACACTTGCTCGGGTCTGCCACTAATGGTAAGATTACTTATGGCCCAAGCTGCCTCTTTTTGTGTCTGGAATTCGCCCTTGCTCAGGTTGTCAATGATTTTCGGCAGCAGGCCAACATTGATGACAGCCTGCACCTGGGATTCGTTGCCGGCGGTGATGTTCGATAGAAACCAGACAGCTTCCTTGCGTATCTTTTCCTTCGGATGGGACAGCAGCGCTGGGAAATACGACAGTGCATCGTAATTGAGTACCACTTGTGTCTGCTCATCCGATCCGGTAACAATGTTGCCCACAGCACGCAATGCTGCCGTCTGTACCTTAACCTCGCTGTTGCCCAGCAGCGGTATCAGCTTGGGCACCACACCGCTATCGATAACCATTTGGATTTGTTCGTTGCCGCCATCGGTCAAATAACTGATGGCCCAAACCGTATCGACCAAGATGTTTGTGTCAGTGTGATGGATCAGCACATTGAGTGCAGGCAGGATTTCATGTATTGTGGCAGCTGGTGGCGGCGGATCCTTGTTTCTGCACAAATTCACAATCACCCAGGTTACATTACGTAAGAAAGATATGGGTATATCGGGCTTAATGAACGACAGCAGCGGCTGTACAACGCCAAGCTTAATAACGAAATCGCGCAACAAGGGTCCATCGCCAATGATATTGCCCAGCGCCCATACGGCTTGTTCGCAGACATTCGGAGCGGGTGAGTTCAGTAATTGAAGGAAGAGCGGCACAGCACCTGCAGCAACCACCTGCAAAAAAAATATAGATAAATATTATAGATGCGAATTTTCAACTGCTGACAAATGTGATAATTCATTTGGCTTTCTGATAGCTATATCAGCAATATGAATTACATATATATATGTATGGGTATATAGGTAAATGTAAATACAAATGTTTGTATTTCTTAAGCACAGAACCTGTGGAATTTTCGATGCCCTCTCAATTTGTTTATTTCGCTTACATTACATTACCGCCACATTACTGACCTCATAAAGTATATACAGATATTCTTAAATAGTATTAAGAGCAGATTTATTTGCCAAGCTATATTAATGAAATTTGGGTCGATATCCGTCTTTTTGGGCGAATTTGCATATCATAGCTGTATAGGAAATATCTTTCTTGTGATATGTGGATCAAGCTTTAAAATTCTAAGATCTTCTAGGCATGAGCCAACATCAGACTACTATATCATCAGTATATGGATTTTATAGGTACAAACGGAACCAATAAATTTCTGTATTTGTATTTTTTTCGTATATACAATATACTTAAATACGGCACTATCTGCTAAATTCTGTAATATTATTACGTTGAAGGATATCGACAGCTCACCTGATTGGTTTGATCGGAAGTCCCTGATGCAATGTTGGTCAATGCCCATGCGGCCTCAAACTGGAGCATTGTGTGATTATGTTGCTTCAGGCATTCAACCAGAATGGGCAATATATCGCTGTTGATCAGATCATTAATGGGTGGATTTTTGTCCGATGATAGCAATTTGCGTGCCGCTTGAACGGCGGCCAACTGTTGATCCGGTTTTGATGGATCAGCGGCGGCCTGAGCAAGTTTCTTGAGATTTATCGAGTTGGGCAATTGCTCATCCTCATCTGTGTTGGAGTCCAGGTTGGGCACATTGCGACGCTTCAGAATTGTCTCGTCGCGCTTATTTTTGCGCAACTCCACGGTAACTTCATTGCGGCGACGACGCATCTCCTGTTAATTAATAATTAATTAATTATAATTTATTAATGCAAACTAATAGAGAAGCGCAACATACATCTTGATCCTTTCCTTTGTTTTTAAAGTTTTGCAAGCGATTTTGATCCAGCGATGTCATTTTCACTGTATATGTGTGTATATTTGTATATATGCGACTTCCAACAACTTCCAATCAAAATCGAAATGCCTTTCCTGTTAAATTTCTAAATAAGTTCGTGGCTTTTATATTTTATTCGTTGTCCACTTCTGCTTCAGTTATTTCAATTACACGCGCAACGAAAATTTAACCACATACAAACGCACATACACACAGACAAATACCGACACAATCATAAGGCCACAGCACGGGCATGGCAGAGAGTAGCGTAGACAGACGTCCGTTCGTTCGTTCCGACAAAATCGACATCGAGAGAACCAACACAGTTGCATGGCAGAGCAGCACGATGACAATGACAGTGGCAAAAGAGAAGGAGGAGGAGGAGGGCAAAGCCACCAGGCGAAGAGGAAAAAAAATAAAAAGAAATGGCGTTTAAAAACGTTGCCAATTTACAGCCAGGTGTACGAATCACCATTGTAAAATAGAGCTGTCGAAATATTCACTTACATTTTCAACCAGTATTCTCCGTAATTATAGTTGGACTGACACCGTACAGGCCTATGATATAGTGATTAAACCTTTTCTTTTTTTTTGATATAAAAATTGCAATTCGTGACAGCGACGTGACTAAAGTTGGCTGCGCTTCAAATTGACAGGGCTGTCAACTTACAGCTACATAGCTGCAAAGAATTTATCGTTATTGTAACATCACTATTAGGTATGTGCAATATTTTTTGTAATATTTTGGCCATCAAATGTATCGATTGATATGATTTAGGCGTGCAAAAACTGAACTATTTCTGTATATATGCACATATTAAATATATTCGCTGCATGTTGCTCTAAGTGCATGCATTTTCTTAAACGCTACCAGATGACACCGATGCGATGACTGAAAACACGGAGAGCGCCAGCACGCTGGAACAGCAGCCACAGCAATCAACGCCCGCAGGAGATGTACCACTGTCCGTCATGGTGAAACGTGAGATGATTGACGCAGAGATCGAGGCGAAACTTGTCGCAATAAATGCGAAGGTCAAAACTGAAAGTACCACACCCCCAACGGCATCGGGGACCGACAGCGACGCGAGCAACAGCAACGACTCGTCGCAAGACGATAAAAAGCAAATAGCGCCAGTTAAATCCTCAAATGAAATACTCGCCGAGCTATTTAGCGTATTCAATGCGGCGCCGCCCGTGGAGCTGCTGGACGACAAGAATCTGTTGAAGAAACACAAGAAATCAAAAAAAGAGAAGAAGAAAAAGTCGCGTAGCAAGCCGACCAGATCCGATGGGGAATGCACCGATACGGATGTGGCGCCCGCTGAGGAAAAGTCTAAGCACAAGCATAAGCGGAAGAAGCACAAGCACAAACATAAGGACAGCAAGGACAAACTCAAGGACAAAGATCGCGAAAAGTCTAAGGAAAGGACAAGCTCAGTAACAATCAAGGCGGAGGAACGGATGGAAAACCGCAAAAGACACGCGCCAGCGGATGAGGAAAAGGCACCTGTGCCGGCCAAGAAGGAAACAGTAGAAGAGCACGAACAAAGTGACGAACGGGAGAGGGAACGAGCACGTGAGCGGGATCGGGAGAGGGAGCGAGATCGCGAACGTGAGCGTGAACGTGAACGTGGTCACAATAGCTTCTATAACGGCTACCACGAGGACAAACATGCGCGTTCCAAGGCGAACAACAACAACAGGTCCTCAAAGATAAAAGTGGAACGGCGTGAGTCCGACGAATTGTCGTTGTCCGATGAGGAGACATATCTGCGGGAGAAGGCCAACGAACGACGTAGTTTCTACGGCGTCGCCAAGCCGGAACCCAGCGATAATAAGCGCCACAGCGTCAGCACTCGTCACCAGAGCGGCAGACAGCGAACGCGTTCCCGCTCTCGTTCACGAGATTTGGGAATCGATAAAAAGCGTTTGCTGGAGATCGCGCGTCGCAATGCAATCAACATGTTTAAACGTGGCAACATGGCCGGAGTGGCCGAGATGACGCCAGAGGTGAAGGATAAGGTGCTGCTCAAGATGCGCTACGGTGGACGCACCGTGCAGGATCTAACAGATTTCTGTAAGAAGATCTCCAACGGCGAAATGCTGTCCGATTTTAGTTCCGACGAAGATTCGGATGTGGATAAGAACGGGAATGCCAAGGCCTTCCATCATCCGTTTCAGCTAAAGGAGCGCGAGCCTATTGTCATGCATATACGCAATTCCACTCCAATAGTGCCGTCCACGCGTCGCGATGAGCAGACCAAGGCCATTACCATGCAATTTCCAGTCTCCTCCGGTCAGGTGCATCGCATGTCCGAGGTGTGGGTGCCTGTAGAGCCAAAGGACTCACTGGCACCGCTGCCTACCCTGCCGCCGGCCAAACAGGCCACTAACATTTTCAAAGATGTGCAGCGCAATGTCTTTGCCAAGACTATACCGCAGCAGGAGCAGCAGGAGCCCGCCTTCAAGTCTGCAACTAATCAGCCGGATGCCGTCGCCGGCGCAGTCGAGAGCAATAGTCTACAGAGCAGCGCAATACTGCCATTGGCCGTGCCGCAGCCCGTGCCTGCTCCAGCATCTGCTCCTGTTCCGTCAACGGCAGTTGTCCAGAAGCCGCCTCCGGCTCCCAGAGCGCCAACGCCTTTTGTGCCCGAAGTACCCATACCATCCACAGCACTAGCCGCGCCGAGTGCTTCAATATTTCCACAGGCCACGGCGCCGAGCATGGATGTGTCCAGCATTATTACACAGCGTTTGAGTGCCATACGACGTCTGCAGGTAAGCAGCCGGTAGCTTTAATCCAATAAAAAAATCCCAACTAATATTAAATGTTCAACAGGATAATCCTGCGGATTCGGAGGCTCTGAAAATGATGTTCAATGCGCAGCGGGACATGTCTTCCTGGGCCTCCTCAAAATTTTTGCCCGGCCAGTTTACGGGCAGCACTGGAGCTCAGGTGATGAAGGTACATGAGCTGAACAGCGGGCCGCAGTTGTGGGCGCGCCGGGACCAGCTGACTTCAAACAAGCCCGTCACGGGCGGCATGGGCATGGCTCTATTGCAGAAAATGGGCTGGAAGCCGGGCGAGGGTTTGGGACGCACCAAGACCGGGTCATTGCAGCCGCTGCAGTTGACGGTCAAGCTGGACAAGCGTGGCCTAGTCTCCCGCGAAGATCTTAAACAGCAACCGGCTCGCGCCCAGGCTCCACGTGCGCCCAAAAACACAAGTGCTTCAAATATCGCTCAGGCTGCGCTCACCGCGCACGACAAGCATCCGGTTTGTGTGCTTAACGAACTGACATCGAAAAACAAATGGACGCCACCGCAATATACGCTAAGGGACGATTCAGGTCCATCGCATAGCCGCATGTTTCGCTTCTCCGTGGAGATTAATGGACAGACATATACGCCCGCCCAGGGCTGCAACAGCAAAAAGGAAGCCAAACTGAATGCGGCCAAGTTGTGTTTACGAGCTTTGGGTATTTTGCCGCCCAGTTAGTAGGAAATCTTCGATCTGCTGGCGGCATTCTTAATTTCTGCCTATTATAAGTGTATAGTTAGAAATATTGTATACGCTTCTGTATATAATTAAGAATAAACTACGATTAAGTGAAACATTAATAGCACGTTTTTTTTTAGAAAGATATAAATTATATAACTTCAATATTTTAGAGAAAGAAAAAGGCAAATAGAACTGGAACCATTCAAGAATTCGCATACTTTATGGGTTCAAGAGATCTTCTATGCAGAGTAAAAAAACTTCACCATAAAAGCTCTTGTGAACAAATATCGAATTTTATCGACCGTTAGAGTTAAAAAGCTTTTGTGGTATGTGGCCAATGGGAGAGCACAGTGGTACAGCATTGTTGGGAGGCAAACCTCAAGCAAACCTCTTGACCGAAACGTATCTCTTGTTTTGCAAATTATTAAAGCTTTTGCTGGCTTTTGCGCAAGTACACAAACAAATCAAATCAGCTGAGCGGGGCAAAAAGCTGGGGTTGGCCAACACCGACACATGCGCCCGTTGCAATTCTGTGGGCGCTTGTATGTGTATGTGTGTGTGTGTGTATGGGAATTCAATCTCTACACAGAATGGCTTAAGCACACATTGAAGGTCAGTTCAGGCGGGAGTGTGGCACAGACAACATCTCGAATTGCTCAGGATGTGGCTAAAGCATCCCGATTGCTGCTCCCTTCCATTGGTGTACAGCCACAATTTTTTTTCGAGTGGCCCAGGTTCGCATGGCACAGTTAGGCAGCATCCAATTGCTTAACTTTGGCATAAAGTTGCACATGGAGCAGATGTTGGCAGCCGACGCCAGCTGTGGCCAAGTTTATAAGTTGTATGTGTGCGGTTGTATGTTTTAGAGTTATTTCTGAAGTTGCATAACTTTGCGTGGGCACGAAAACAAACCCATAAGTACATATGTATGTATGTATGTACATGCAACCATTTACATATGTACATACATATGTACGGTACTATTGTGTGCATGCTTTTAGGTCTGCTGACTATTGCAATTTGGACCTGGGCGTCACGGATTGATGTTGACTGCTCAGTTTGTTTATTGCTGCAGCCATGGAAACGTGTCGCACTTGTGCAAGGTGCGATTTCGAAAATGGCAACAACTATTGGCTGGACATGTTCCATCCAACGCGTTGGCAGAGCGAGATGGCGCAAATACGCTTGGAGTTTGTCAACTGGAAGTTACAGGTGAGTCTACGCTGCAGATGCAATAAAAAAGAAGCAAAAAACATCATGGAAAATGCAATTTGTGAAAGTTTGTGCGTTGCATTTTAATTAAGCTTTTGATCGTGCAACGGCGCGTATTCGTCATCGATAACATTTATTTATCGGGTTATGCAAATGAACGCATTCGTATCGTATATGTAACGTATATTCGTTTAAATTAGCGATTGCAATGGGAGTGTGTGCGTGTTTGATCGTAGCATGTGTATGTGTGATGTATCGATAAGCGAAATATAACTGTTTTTTCAAATGTACCGTAAATATTTGATGTGATTAACAAATGCTTTGAGTGGAGTTCGACAAGTTTGATTCATGCAGTGATGTCTGTTGTATTAACATAATTTACATACTTTTCTTCTTATAGGTTTTTAAAAGTTTAATGCAACTTACTAACTTTCCTGCATTATTTTTAGATCTCACCAAACGATGGACTGCCCCAAAAAATTTGCAGCGATTGCTTTACAAAATTCTGCTCCATATACACTTTTCGTATGGCCTGCCAGGACGCACAGTTAAAGTTGTCGAATATTTTTGATAAAATAGATGCGAATTCGCTCTATGATAAAAACGACGAGGACAATATTGAGGTGGATGTGGATGAAATAAAAGCCGCGACCGAAATAGTAACAGAAACAACGACAACAACACAAAACACTGCCAATATTGAGGCCAACACGCAAACACCCATAGAAATCTTTGTGGAAACGATTAGCATCAACGAATCTGAATCCTTACAGCCAGATGAGGAAACCGATTTAGCTTCAGATTACAACACATTAAACATAAGCTATGCTTGTAAATTTTGTCACAAGCCACAGGAAAGCTTTGAGCTGCAGCACCTATTACTAGAGCACATTAGTAACGCACATGATCCGGATCAGCCCTACAACTGTCCGGAGTGCACAGAGTGCTTCCAAGATGCCGCATCGCGTACGGTGCACATGAAGAGCATTCATGTGGTAAAGCATCACACCTGTGAGGTGTGCGGCAAAAAGTACGGAGATCGTCATAATCTCGACCATCATATTGAAAAATATCACTCGGAAACGGATTTCGAGTGCAGCCTGTGCGAGAAACGTTTCTTTACGCGTAAAAGCTTGCACTACCACATGAACTGGCACAATCCGGAGCGCCAGCTCAGATGTCGCCACAGCGGCTGCGACAGGCTGTTTATCAACCAACGACATCTCAAGTGTCACGAGGCAACGCACTCAACGGGCCCCCGCAAGAGCGAATACTGCGGCTTCTGTGGTAAAGGTGGGTGGCCTGCTTACATTTTAATAATATTCACTGCAAGATAAGCCATGACCAGGTTTGAACGACTTTAACATATGTTTTTATATACGTACGTATATTTCCACAAAAAATTGCATAGAAGCGCGAAATTATTAAACTCTCATCTGATAGTACCAGAGATATACTCTTTTAAACATACATATATACACTAAAAGAACATAAGAAGAATATAATGGATTGGATGGAGGGAAGGGGGAGGAGAGATTTCAAGATTACCAACACATGTTAATAAAACATCTAAAATCAAAGCATGAAAGCCTGGTAGGCTTACTTTAATTCATGAGAATCGCATAGTAAGGTCAGGCTGGTCTGCGAGAGAGAACATACACATCGGGTGTCACTCAGAGTCGAGCGTGCTAAGTTTTTATTTTTAAAGTTTAAGAATCGCATAATGAGCTACGTTTTAAATCTCATTTTACATAGATTTAAATTGAGATGTAAATAAAGATGTAAATTGAGATTAACGAAAAACAAAAGGTTGCAACCAACAAGCCATTCAGTCACTACGGACAGCTTTATGTTTATATATGGAATAATTTAATTATTTATTTAATATCGCTTAACAGCTTTCATACACGTTAAAACTCTACGTTGGCACATCTATCGACAGCATGGCGGAGAGAAGCCTTTTAAGTGCGCCAACTGCACTGAGGGTAAGTTGATCTAGACAAGATGCAAGGCACTTTAGCCTATTTTAGACAATCAATCAGTTGCTGTCAAAGATGTTTCTCAAGTAGCCTTTAGTATATTAAAATACGTGGACTAATTTAGGATATGGCTCTTGCTATTTGCTGTTCCCTTATTGGCATTAGTAAAAATAACAAATAATTTGAAAATAATTTGGTATACTCTTACTTTAAATTATCAACTTTTCAAAATTGTTTTGTACAACAAATTATTGTAATTTGAGATTGATTTAAGCATAAGCCTGAACAGCTTCTGGAAGATTTCTAAATAGGTTTTAAGTGCACAAATATAATAAAATTCTTTCGATTTGTGAGTTTAAAATCGGATTGAGATTTGCATAAGACATTGATAAAAGCTCAAATCAAATACAGCTCACACAACGAAAGGTCACATTTTAAATATAATAATAACTCATTAATGCCAAAACATTTGTCGCATCATCAAAACATTTATCGCAAAAGCTTTAAGATTTGCCCAAAACTCTGAAGAAGTCAAATGCTGCTTTTTATTGTGTGTTAGTCAAGTTATTTGCAAACTAAGGGTAAACATGGCTCAGCTTTTTTTAAATACACCTATTAGCAAAAAAAAAAAAAGAAGAAGCATGCCAACAAACTTCATACATAATTCATATACAATTTATTGTACAACTAGTTTTTAAATTAATTAAATAAAAAACACCTTGCATAATTAAATATGTCCACACCCAAACCCCTCTGGAGCGCCGCATGCAAGCAATTATTACTATATAATTATTGTTACATGATATCCCCAATAATAGTTTCACATGTTAATCAGTTATCTCGCTATACTAAAAGTTTTATTTTCCTTTGATTTTTTTCAACAAGTTTTTGGCTCCTATGCGGAAAAGCGCTTACACATGCTGGAGCAGCACACGGAAAATCTGACTCATCAGGAGCGCAGCGAATGCATGTTTCAGTCCTGTCGCCAGGAGTTCGACACCGAACAGGAGCTCATCCAGCACATGAGCGTTGAGCATGTGCAGCGCGAACCCTCCACCCCGATAATTGCGAATAATAAACGCGTGCTCCAGTGCAAACGGGAGCGACAGTATACGGGTCTCTTCCAGTGCGGCAGCTGTACGCAACGTTTTAACATGAAGTCCGCCCTGGAGCGGCACATGGCTGTCCATTCTGCTGACCGGCTGCATGCCTGCCCGCACTGCTCTAAGCGGTACAAGCGTGCCCAGGACCTGAAGTGGCACATGAAGACGCACGCCAATGAGAAGCCCAATGTGTGCGATGTCTGCGGCAAGGCGTTTGCCCTGAAATATGTGCTTACCCAGCATATGCGCAGTCATGAGGGTGAGTGGTCCCCTTTAGCCACTGTAGATGAATTGTAGTCATATTAGTTAGTATCTGTTAGTTGATCTTAATATATTAAATAGGCCAATTTGAACCTGAGTTTAATAGTTTGCAAAAACAAGAAGAGCTAGGATTCGAACCAAAATATAGTTTGAAAAATGTGGAGTGTCTAAGGGCGAGGCATTTGGCTCACATTTTTATAATATTTTTACTTTTCTTTCAGTTCTCGAGAAGAACTTCAAGTGCGAGACCTGCGGACGGGCCTATCTGTTTGAGAAGTCTCTGCGTCTGCATCAGCGCGTTCACACGGGCAACACCTACTACAAGTGCGATTTGTGCCAGGAGCGTTTTGTCACTCACATCAAATTTAAAAGTATTTGAGACACTTCTTTAATAATCATCAGTAATGAAAACTCTTTTCGAACTCTACTTTAATTTTAGCTCATATGAAAAAGACACATGATAGCAGCCAGTCGCATGCCAAAGATACGCTGGATGATTTGATCAACATTGTGATTTCCTGAATTGTACCAATGATATAGTCCAAGTGGAACAGCAAAAAGAAAACTATTATTCAGTTAGCAAAGCATCAAAAATACTGGAATACTATAAGGGTGAAAACGCTTTCAAAAAGTCACGCCCAGCACAGAATTTTTAAATCGTAGACCCTCCATTCAATCCTATCATTAGACTTAACTTGAATACACATTCATATATGGATCATGCACAGGGTACTGTTATCTGTATGCAAAATTCATAGAACTATATATATTTCCTTTGTACTTTACTCTCATTCTGCAGCATTAGCTCTAAGCTCTCACATAACGTATTTTTTCCATCCAAATCTTTAATCTTGAATACCTATTTCCATGCCATTCACATAATGCACAAATATGACCATTTGGTGACCATTTTAGTTTTAAGAAAAAAGTTTAAAAAATGTATTTATGCTCGAAAAAGAAATTGCATTTATTTAAAAAGAAGTAAACACAAATATTTACAATTACAATTATGAGATACAATGTATTATAAGAAATATCAACACCTGTAGTAATGTATATAAGTTGTGTTAGTGCAAAATATGTATATTTACCATATACGAGTTCCATATACATGCAAAACATAAAATTAAAATAAAATTCGTTTTATTTGTTATTGAAACCTTTAATGTAAAATAAGAAATCGATATAATTATCGAATATGCCTCAGTGAAAACGTCCCGTATATTTAACAGCCCTGTTTTCCATGGAGCTGCCAGAAGGTGCTAACAGCATATGCCGCTAGGCTGTCTGGCAACGATATTTCTTCGGTCTCTTGTAGCTCGCATAACACGTCAGTGTTTAGGTTTTTAAGCAGCCAGTTCTACCAAAATTGAAGCAAACGTATTTGCTAAGGTGCAATAACGAGTCGGTTACCGATCAAAATGGACACAAAGCCACAAATTGCGTGGTGATATTTATATATATAAAACAAAGAATCGATTACGTTTATATTTTTGTTGTTCCCTAAAACGGACAAAATTATTTGCCAAGCGCGAAAACAACAACAAGCAGCATCTAGTAAGCAGGTGCAACGGAAAAGATTAGCAGCTGTGATATACAGAAAATAGGAGGAGGAAGCAACCGCTAGCTGCCACGCCATAACGTGTGACGTGTGTATCGCATTTAAATTTGATAATTGGCCTCGTCTCTCAATCCCAACTGGTTCAGCCGCCCACAAACACGAACACGCCCACACACAGACATACAACACATACACGCACACACAGCATAATGGCTTTGCTATTAAGCGATCTGCTGCTGCTTGGCAGCGGCGAAAAGAAATTGGCAGCCTGTGTCCTGCTGCTGTTGCTGGAGCTCTTCATGGAAGGTACTTTACGGGTGGTCTAGTGGGGAGGGGTTTGGCTGTGTTCTAGAGATGGCCGCGTGTCACAATTCAAAAACATCTTGCCTAGGTTTTAATTATGACCGTGCGTTTTGCATTCGTCCGACACGCGCCTGTCTCTGTTGTGCACCCTAATTGAAATAATCAAATTGATAACACTTGAATTCTTACTGTTTTGGCACACGTCATTTGCTACAGGCGCCGATGCGACATCGCCAACTCAGGCGGACATCGACAATCATCTGGAGCTTGGCAAAGACTTTTTGGCACGCGGTCAGCTGTCGGATGCACTGACGCATTATCATGCAGCTGTTGGTGAGTAAAGAAGCAATTGCTCACCACTTTGCCAGATATTCATACAACTGCATCCATTTTCAGAGGGCGATCCCAACAATTATTTGACGCTCTTCAAGCGAGGAACAGTCTACCTAGCGCTGGGCAAGACACGATTTGCCATCCAGGACTTCAATCGCGTGCTAGAACTCAAGCCAGACTTTACAGCCGCTCGCAGCCAGCGTGGCACTGTGCACATGAAGAGCGGCGATTATGATAACGCATTGCAAGACTTTGAGTATGTGCTCAGCGAGGAGCCACAAAATGCTCTCGTGCAAGAGCACTATTCAAGACTGAGGCCGGCTAAGGAGCAGTGGCAGCTGGTGCAGCATCTGCTGAACAATAATGATGAACAGAATGCCATAGGCATGATAACACAGCTGCTAGAGATCTCACCCTGGTCCGTGGCATTTAGACAGGCTCGCTCCGATGCCTATCTGAAGACAAACGATCCGCTTTCGGCCATTGCGGATTTGCGGCAGGTCAACCGCCTGTCACAGGACAGCACCGAGGGGCATTACAATATAGCAAAACTGCTATACACTATAGGACATGCTACTAATGCGCTGAAGGAGATACGCGAATGCCTCAAATTCGATCCCGAACACAAGCTCTGCTTTCCATTCTACAAGAAACTGCGCAAAGTGGAAAAACAGCTAGTGACAGCGGAAACAGCGCGAGAGGAAAAACAGGCGACGGAGTGCATAATCGCCGGCGAGGCGGTGCTTAAACATGAGCCCGAAGAGACCATGATACGCTACGAGGCGCACAAGCTGCTCTGCTCCTGCTACACCACAGACGAGCAGTATGTAAAAGCGTTGTCACACTGCAAACAGGCGCTGGAGATTATGAAGGATGCGCAGCTGTATTGTGATCGCGCTGAGGCGTTGCTGGGCAGCGAGATGTATGACGATGCCATACACGACTACCAGGCGGCGCTCGAGATTGACGAAAACAATTCCCGCGCCAAGGAGGGCATACAGAAGGCAAAGAAACTGCAAAAACAGGCTGAGCGCCGCGATTACTACAAAATCTTAGGCGTAAAACGCAACGCCAGTAAACAGGAGATTGTGAAGGCGTATCGCAAGGCGGCACAGAAATGGCATCCAGACAATTTTAAGGATGACGAGAAAAAGGTGGCCGAGAAGAAGTTCATTGATATTGCCGCTGCCAAGGAAGTGCTCACAGATCCGGAGAAGCGACGTCAGTTTGATAATGGCGAAGATCCGCTGGATCCGGAGAGTAATCAACATGGTTTCCGTGGAGCAGATCCATTCGCACACTTCCAGCACGGTTCGCCGTTCCAATTCAAGTTCCATTTTAATTAAATGGATCTGTCGAGCACTGCGGCCAATTGCCATTGTTCAGCCAGGGTTTATTTTTCTTGTTTTTCCCCACTTGATGCAGTCACTTTAATATCCACGGTCTATCCTTTATCTGCCCGCAATTGTTTACGCAAAACAATCGCGGCACTTTCTGTTTTGCCTACGCCTCCCAGGATAACCCCAAGCCTTACGATTTTACACTTGTTTGTGTTGCAACTCTTGAATAGCGTGTAAATATTAGCCTAAAGACAAAATCCGATAACTGAAACACACAACAACACAAAACTGAAAAAAAAAAACAATTAAATTTAATTAGTTTATTTAATATTATAATTGTAATGTAGTACATTTTTCTAATTATATATACTTAAAAAACGATTAAGCGAAGCAAGACGAACTGAAATTGTTGATCAAAGTATGGGTGGGAAAAGGACAACAACGACTTGTCCAATTGCAACCGTCTTCATGCTCTCCAATATCCGAACAGTATATCAAATGGCTGCAATAGGAACTTTTCCTTTAAAATTTTATCAATTTTGGACAAGCATATCATATATTTTGTACAAAAATATGCATGAAATACAATGTATATAAATCAAAGGCAGTCATTTTTCAAAAGATAACTGTGCTTTCTTGTTCATTAGGGATAAACAAATTATATAACAGAAGAGAGAACATTGGTTTAATTCTTGTTTTTATTAAACAATTTATAAGAAACAATTATGTTCAGATTTTATAAATTATAAATCTTAAATGCCAAATTAATTGTTACAATTATAACAAAAAACAACCGTGAAAAGTTTAAAAACAAAATGGAATCTTTATATTAGTGAAGAGCAAAATGTTTTTCCTTTTTTGGTTAGAAATTTACCTAGAAGATTTCTGCTTAAAATATTAACCAAGTGCCAGATTTATAGTCACTAACTCATGATTACTAAATGAACCAGAAAACGTGAGTATAGCTCGATATTTGTCTAAAAAAGTTATGTATATAGGAGTTTTACATACAACGCTTTTACAGATGAGAGATATTACAAACTAAATATTTGAAGAAGTCATTGCAATTCCTCAGACAGCGGGTGTGACTATCACATAAATAAGCGTGGCGAGCATAACAGCCAGCATCAGAAAGAAATAAAACTTGAGATGGTATTGACGATCCAATGATGTAATTAGCGTACGAAACTGATTCATAGGAGCATTCGGATCCTCTTGCTGAATGGTGGACCGCATTTGTGGTCTAGCCAGCGGCGATGAACGTTTTCTCGTATCCAGCTGACGCGAAAAGTGGCTCAAATATGGCGAATCAGTGCTGTCGCCAGGTGAACGCTGATGTTGACGCCGCTGCTGAATCTCCGCCTCCGATTCGCTGTCTGTGTCCAGGTCCATGGGCTGTGCGGTGTTGTTGTGCTGATCATAGAAATCGTTTAGTTGTGGATACAGCGAGTTCACTTTGTATGTGGGCTGCAAAAGGCGACCTCTGGCAAAGCCGCTGTCTCCAATGGTCTGCCGCTGACGCACCGCAGATGTGGTTGCTCCACCCAAATTGAAAGGCGCCGCAGAGCCGCTGAAAGTGTTGCGCGGCGTCTGTTGCATGATCGGCTCATTGTACTCGTTGCTTGCTTCCAAATAGCTGGTCGAGCTTAGCTGCGTTTGGGTAAGGCTTTGCCTGGACAGATCCGGGCGATAGCTGCGCTCAATACGTGGCTCATAGATGGGCAGCGTGCGCGTAGGCGCCTGCGCTACCTGTGGACGTTGATATGTATAGCTTTGCGGCTGTTCCTCTTCCTCGTAATGTGGCTTCTCCACCTCGCGAGTATATGAGGTGGTCAGCACGCCTGATTTGGTTAAGGAAACAGAGCGACGCAGTCGTGGGTCATCACGTTTTTTGGGTTTAAAGCTTGGTGAATTAACTTGGTAGAAATCATCATCCTCCGACTGTGAGCCCACATCAGACACGGTTGTTGTCGTTTGTACAGTGCGCACGGGTGAACTATCCAACGGATAGTATTCGCGAGGTGTCACACCAATTGTGTGACGACTATTGTTGTTGTTGCGACTCGGGCTTTTACCTGCCACACACGGCACACTCGTGTTCATCACAGCTGCCGGTGTCGCCTTACTGCTGTGCATGGTTTTGCGACTCGGCGTCTTCTTTGTTGCTGCAGCAGCATTTTTGCTTGGAACGCCCAGAATGGATGATTGCAAACGACGCAATATAACTTTTCGACTGGAATCGGTGACTGGTATATTGGGCAGGCCATATTCTAGGCATTTGGCGTGTAGTTCCTTGTTCGAGATCGTTTCGAGATAGGATAGATCCGACATGATTAGGTCCGCTTGTGAAATATGCAAACAGAATTAGTGATGTCGTCACCGTTTGGAATGCTGTTGCGATTGACCTTTAATTGTCAACAAATTAGCGAACAAATTGTTAAATGAGCACAGTATTTATAAAGGGCACAAAAATACAATTTTTTGCTCTGAATTAATTTTCCAGACTTTTCCAGAAAAAAGGATGCTTCAGATATAAATGACTCGCTGCCTTGCTGTTTAAAAACATACTAATCGACACTTAATAACACTTAATACTCGATATTCGTTAGACATATGATATATCGATGCCTATCGAAAATGGCGAAACCAGCTGACATCCCTGGATAAAAATTGACTATCGACCAAAAAATACCACACAAAAACAATTGTAATTTTTGTTTTCCGACAATTAATTTGTGTGTCGCAAACATGTCGCTAACAATGCGAATTTTCACAGTATCGCGCAATGGTTAGTGAAAAGCTGGGCTTACAATTCATACAATTCGATAAACATATTTCTAGTCAATTTCATTAAATGAGGTTACGTAACCTTATGTCATAGTAAATTAGATTTTCCATAGTGTCAATTTTTGGATTGGAATCAAATAATATAATATGTTTTCTGTACAGGTCAGCGGATGTTTGGCACTAACGGCGCACGTATGCTGTCTGCCAATAGAGCCGAGCCTAAAGATATCGTTAGTGTGCCCAAGGGCTATGTTTATGTTAACAATAAGGAGCTGAGCATGGAAATGGAGGATATCACAGATCGTGCTGCTACCACAATGTTCTTTGGTGAGCTCTTTCGAGGCTTTGCCGTCACACTGGCCCACATCTTCAAGGAGCCGGCCACAATTAATTACCCATTCGAGAAAGGACCGCTGAGCCCACGGTTCCGTGGTGAGCATGCCCTTCGCCGTTATCCAAGCGGTGAGGAGCGTTGCATTGCGTGCAAGCTTTGCGAAGCTATTTGCCCCGCTCAGGCAATTACCATTGAGGCCGAAGAACGCGCCGATGGCAGCAGGCGCACCACGCGATACGATATTGACATGACGAAATGCATCTATTGCGGTTTTTGTCAGGTAATTATTATCCATAAGTATCCATATGAAGCTCATGGTGTGTTTCATTTGCAGGAGGCCTGTCCAGTCGATGCGATTGTTGAGGGCCCCAATTTTGAATTCTCGACAGAGACGCACGAAGAATTGCTCTATAATAAGGAGAAGCTTTTGTGCAATGGCGATAAATGGGAATCGGAGATAGCATCCAATCTGCAGGCCGATCATCTGTACCGTTAACTCTTATTGTACATATTAGAATTTTTGTTTAGAAATGTTTTTCCAATTAAAAAACGAAGTTGACCGGGCCACACTTACAACGTAAACACATTTGCGTGATTATTATATTCGAAATAAAAACAATCGCCATTACTAAATAATACAATTCGATATTGGAATATAATGCACTTGTAAATTCTTTGCTACATTTTAATTTACTGGCCTGGACCGGCCAGGCTCTTCTCCATAAACTTCTTTTTGGCAAAGCAAGTCCACCATTTGTTTGGCTTGCCATCCTCTGTGCTAAATACCTTCTCCACTACCCGATTGCCTGTCTCGTGACGCAGCTGCAACAAATACTGACGCATAAGATCGGCATCCTGGGCGGACTGGGGCTTGGCGTAGACCGAATTCAATGGAAAACCAGCCTCGCCGGGTATATCGAATTTGGAGATGGCCAAGCTGTACATCTCCTGTTGACCCTGTGCTTTGCTGGTGCAGCGGGTCAATCTTTTAAGACATTCGGTTATATACAGCGTAATATAGATGAGTACACGATCCACTTCTGACTGTATGAAAGACATGAAATACATAAATATATACACAAAGCACTTGTACCTAGTCCAACACCCACCTTCACTTCGTATGTGCGAAAGAATACATTTGCTTTAAAAAAATAAAGTGACTCATCAATAATATCACTCTCTACATTGGTACTTGGGGCTGGTCCGCGTACCTGGGTGCGCAATGGTAGGATGGCCATATTGCCCACCTGTTGGCGAAAGTCCTTGATTTGCGAGTGGTATGCCTGGAAATAGGTAAACAATAGATACGAATTTTATGAAGTACTTTGCGTGTGGTCTAGCTTTTCGACGAAAACTAAGCACAATTAGCTTGTATACCTATTTGGAATTGTTGTTGGCTACGCAAATTACATTAAATACTCACCGGCATTCTACAAATTTAATAGTTCACGGCTTTAAACTGTAATTATTTGGGTTTTCTGTAAAAACAAAACTGGCGAAGCACTCACTTAAACAATTTTCAGTATGAGTGCGTTCGGTGTTTTGCAAAATACCAAAAAATATATAAAAAATACCATAAACTTTGAAGTCTTTAAGCCTGACGATATTTTTCGATAAATATAATATTTTTTTTTAATATATTTGCGCTCACAAAGGGAGGCGTTTTTTGCGCATTATAAACATTTAAAATGTTTATTTCACCAAATTTTCAAAATGAGATTGCTGTGAATATACTGTCATTACTGTAAAATAGCTCTTTGACATATTTTTATTATTTTTCAGCAATAAGTAAATTCATTAATAATTTTGATTTCAATTTTAAGAGTTTACAAAAATGCCGAAAAAGAATAAATCAAATGCTGCTCAAAAGAAGGTAGTTAGAAGGTATAAATTAAAAGCTAAAATTGAAAACGATCCTATTTGGTTACAGTCAGCTGGCAAAGGAGCGGTTAAAAAGCAAACGAAGGGGCAAACCAAATCTCCAAAGTCTGGTAATATTCCACCAGCTCCCGTAGCAAGAAATGAGGAATGCGCTGATGATACAGGCATCGATGTGATGGATATAAGTTTGGATAAGACAGCTTTAGAAAACAAGGATGATCAACACAAGGCGCAGTTGGCCTCTATTGCCTCGATGTCGACCCGTGTTGATGAGCATATAATAAATATTACGGCTTTGCAAAAGCAGTTGTCCGAACTTCAATTGAAGCAAATTAGTTTACTTGATGGATGCGTTAATTTCTTTCACGAGCTTCAAACATTCCAGGCCGAAGACGAAGAGGAAGAGAAACTTGTCCTGGAAACATTTATCGAGTTAAAAACTAAGGTTAAGATTGTGTTTAAACATTACTTGCCCACTGAAATAGATATATTGGAGCGCGATATGAAGATGTTGCAATTAAACAATAGAAAACAATTCTAGCTCGAATATGGTATTCAGTTTTGTTATATGCATTTGAATTGAAATAAAATCGAAAAATCGATAAAAAAAAAATTAGGCGACTCTTATTGATATCGATTACAGTTGGAAGAAGAAGCAAAGCGCCAAAAACGGTACCTAAATAAGTGCATATTTCAAAATTGTGTTGCGAAATTAAAATGAATCCACCATCAGGTGGACGATCAACTTCAAGATTTGTGCGCGGAAGAGCGCGCGGCGGCGGTGGCTATCGTCCATATTTCTATTTTCGTCGCAATGGCCGCGTTATACCTGCTGGTGGCAATCGTCAACCGGGTGCAGAGCAAGCTTCAGTTCCAATGGGTGCTCCACAGCCCCGTGGGTGGAGTCGTAGTCGGTCCGGGGGCGATGCAGCGAGAAAGCGAACGTCAAATTCGGCAATGGATTGTAGTTACTTGCGCCCTGATAACTATGCTGCTCCAGAGGATGCGCTGGAAGTGCGCAGTCTACTTGTCGACAATCCACGAGCTTATCCCGGTTGGCGCCTGTACTTTTTGCGTGAGGAGTACGTAGCCGACAGCGACCTGGCCAAGCGAATTATTGCTGTGGAGGCGCACTACCAGCGTAATCCGCAAATATATGATGCGGCTCGCATTCGGCAACGCGGCTACTTTCAGCTCTTAGCTCCGGGAATAGTTCAAGACGAACAACTCAAGGCAGTGTGGCCAACGCTGACAGAAGATTTGCAAAGGCAGCCGCTACGTACACTCTCCACAATAGGTGTGGCCATGCACACAGTGGTCGTTAACAATGGCCTGGATGCTGCCGAAGAAGCTTTGGACAGCATACTGCCTTTGGGAACCACTAAAGATATGTATGTGCCGCGCACCGAACGCACACGTAAGATTTACGCGCGTCCCGAAGACTTTGTGCCCGTCGAGCTGGTTAGTAGCATTACACATGCGCGCGTTGACAGCCTGTTTGCGGTGCGTGGCATAGTGAGCAGCGTTGGTGAACCCACATTGGGCCTAGCCTGGCAAGCATTTCGCTGTACACGTTGCCGTACAGAGCAGACGCTGCGTCAGCGAAGCAACTACACGCCGCGTCCGTATCACTGTCTGAAGCCACGGTGCGGTGCCAAGGACAATTTTCTGGCGCTGCGCAGCTCGCCGTTTACGCGTCTCTCAGTGCGGCAGATCATACGGCTGGAGGAGTCCAGTCTTGCCCTGCTGACGGACTATGACAGCACGCTGCCTGGTGAACTAGACATAGAGCTACGTCACGATCTAGTTGATGCTGTGCACGTGGGGCAGGAGATTATAGTCACGGGCGTCGTAAAGTTGCGCGAGCTGTGCGACAACAGCGAACAGCCGTCGACTTCTGTTGGAGCAGCAACAACAACATCCAGTGGAGATTTGCAGGTGTATTTACGCGCTTGCAGCGTGCAGCAGGCGCGGCACGTAAAGCTTGAATTTAGCGAACGTGATTTAGAGGCTATTTCCACGATAAACACGGAGCCCAATTGCTTTAAGCTGCTGGTGCAATCGCTGGCGCCGGAGTTGCACGGTCACGAGTTGGCCAAGGCCGCCTGCTTGTTGTCGGTGCTCGGCGACAACATTAATGTGCTACTGGTCGGTGATCCGGGAATTGGCAAATCCATGCTGCTGCAGAACTGTGCACAGATCACTGAACGTGGCGCTCACGTAAGCGGCAAACGTGGTGCCCAAGCAGCCAATCAATTGGGCATCAGCTTTTGCGGACGCAACAAGCGGGTCATGGATGCGGGCGCACTACTCATGGCCGGCACAGCAGGTACTTGCCTTGTGGACGGTGTGGATAAGTTGGCCTCCAAGCAGACGTTGCTGCTTCAGTGCATGCAAGCCGGACTGCTGAATATGCCGTTACCGGGCCTCTTTGCCTCCTTTGAAGCACAACCCGCGATTATTGCCTGCGCCAATCCGCAGCGTGGGCAGTACGACCAGGCGCGTTATTTGCTGCAGAATATTCGCATCACTTCGGCTCTGCTCAAGGAGTTTCATCTGGTCTATGTGCTGCTGGACAGACAATCGACCACGCGCGATAAATCCCTGACGGAGCATGTGCGTGCCCTCCACGCCGGCTCCAAAAGGCGCGAGCAGATTGCCGCACGCTATGCACTGAAGCCCAAGAAGAGCGAATCCGTGTGTGAGGCAACCTTTCATGATGCGCCCGTTGCGCCAGTTGCGCCTGTCGTGCCGAAGGATGATAAGGATAGCATTATGCAGCAGGATTATGATCTGGATAAGCGCTTGGAGTGTGATGTGCTGGAGCCTGAATTGGATCTGCTGCCGCCCATATTGATGAAGAAATTCATTGCCTATGCGCGCCAAAATGTCAAGCCGCTGCTCAGCGATGAGGCCGCCAATGTCATCAAGTGGCATTTCATGGAGCTGTGCCGTCGCAGCGAGCTGGAGCACGAGCAGAGTCAGATTGGCATGGGGTGAGCTACATATTCATAATTCTCTTACTTTTTCATTTCGTAAGCATTTTTACCTTTCTGCTATAATCGATTTACTTCGATAAGCATCGAGTGAAAGTTTTCTTGCATACGTAGAGCACACCTAATAGATTTTTATTTTGTGCTGACACTGAATACCCTTTATGACTTTATTGATCAGCTGCGATAAGTATTGAATTAACAAAAAATATGTTTTCACTCAAACGTTAAATATACTTCATGTTTTATCGATTAACTTCGGTAAGTATTGATTTGAGCACAGCTTATACGATTTTTACAATGGTGTAGAATACATTTTGTCCTTTTATCGGTATTATGGTATTTAACGACTTTTGGGCTTTATTAACTTTAAGTTACTTAAATTTAGGTTTAACTATCAAAAATCTTTAGCATAAGTTAAAAGTTTCATTTACACAATGCTGGCACTTGCTTGAAGTAAGGTTTAAAATAATCAATTCGAAATGTTTTATATTTTAATCTAATAAACCCTTTGCTTAGGTTTTGTTTGCTTTCACTAGTTTTCGGTTTTGTCTTGTCGGCAAATTTGTCTTTTATCAAGCTGATACTCTTAAAGCTTTTATAAAACTTAAAGCTTTCAGTTACTTGCTTAAACCGACGCTTGATAAAACTAATATTTAGAGAGTTATTTTAAGCAAATGTCATCAACATTTAGTTTAGCTTGGACTAGCGCAACAGCTTAAGACATGATGATACAGGCAACTCCACAAAAATAGCCAGCAGCAGGGAGCTCAGATACGAGGCGCATAACACGTAGAATATATAAGCAAACTGTGTATGAGATATGCAAAATATTAAGTGCAAAAACTGGATTATATTGAAATCATCTTCAACTCACCATAGTGCCCGTGCCAAAGTATATGGGCTCACGTACCGTAGCCAGCGCCAGACGTGCCACCAGGAGATGCACAATGAAGGCGCCATAGGTCAGTCGACCCAGTATGCGGAAGATGGGCAGGCAGGCAAACTTGCGTAGAATCCCTGGAAAATTAAATAATTTATAATTTCATTTCAATTACTCTAAAGTAATTTCTGGAGTATTTAAATGATGGAAATAATTCATATATAAGAAGTTTAATGGAATGACAGCTCCACTGCTCACAAGTAATTACTGGTAGAAATTATTATTAAATTAATCAAAGATAATTAATGCTGGAAATAGTCAAATGTAAAAATTTAACAGGACCAAATAATTACATTTTAATTACTCAAGTTATTACTAGTCAGGCTTGCCAGGAACACTAAGTAATCAATTTGCATGTTAAATTACAATTTAATTATGAAAATTAATTGCTAGATAAACAAAAATTTAAGTGAAATCTCGAATCTTACATTCTAATTACTTAAGGGTAATTATTTGGTATTAGAAGCTTTTGAATTCCAGGAATAATTTAATAACTTAAAAGTAATTGTTGTAGTTGTTGGAAAGTGATGCAAATGTGATTTGGATTTATACTTACATCCCACTTTGGCAGCCATTCCCACAACGAATATGCTCAGACCAAAGGCCCAAAAGTTGCGCTGGACGGTCGCATAGATGGCTCCCCAGAAGCGCGGCGTTTCCGTATAATAATGCTGATAAATCGGATGCGCCGTAAAGAGCCACAGGACACCAACTGGAATCAAACTAAACCAGAACACCTGGAAGCTGCGCAGCTCACGCAGCTTGTACTGCTTCAGGGACAGCTGATCATAGGCAATGGCCGCCAGGACGCCACAGAAATAGGCGCCGAAATTCATTTGAAAGGATGTATAAAACTCAGTAAACTGACGATCGCCAATAAACGAGTCCTTCTGTGTTCTGTAAGGGAGACACAAATTAACAAACACAAACGAAGCCAAACCGAGCCACTTCCCGGTTACTTACTGCGGCGTTGGCAGGAAAATGGGATAGTAGTCAAAGACATATGTCAGCACAGCGGGCAGCAGCATAAAGATGCCCAGCACGATGCCATAGAGCTGCTTGCTCCAGCGTCCAAAGCGATGTCCCAGTATCAGTACCAACAAGCTTAAGGCAAAGGATTGCGTGTCCGCGGCCAAATACCAGCCCTGCAGCAGGCACTGCAAACATAAACTAAGAGTTTAGCCAGCTGTGGATCCAGTTAATCCTGCGCTGCACTTACACGCTCATCGGTTTGCACAAAATTGTTAATAAATAGAATATTGGTCCACCAGTTCTTGCGGCAGGCTAGCTGCTCCCGTTGGTAAATGTGCCGCCAGAGCGGACCGCCGGCGTTCTCAAAGTAAACGCCGCTCAGCAGCAGCACAAAGCCATAAGGCACGGTGAGGCGTATATAGCGAAACACATTGAACTTGACAAAGAGTGCCGCATATTTGGCTAGGCTCCACGTCTCGTTTTTGTCGCCCGCCAGCGCGCGAGTCACCGCCAGCCAGTTGATGGTGAGCAGCAAGCCGCTAATCACAAAGAATGTGACGGTGATGAGAGAACCGGAGATGAGGAGCGTGCCGACAGCCGTATGTAGCATGCGCTCCGGATCTTGGGGATTACTGATGGCGCTCTCGTAGATCACCCAATTGGTGTGCGCAAAGATGACCAGAAACATGGCAAAGAACTTGAAGCAATCAAGAAAACGTAATTCGCGTCCGATCTTGCCATTTGGCTCCTGATTCAATCGATACCAATTCCTGGCTATGGAGCACGTCAGCAGCAGGCGCGTGACCAGGCTACGTGGCGGCGTCTTATAATGATCGCGCTCCTTCAACATTTTATCATGTCGCCGGCGCTTCAAATGCAAATCGACGAGGCTGCTGAGGCAGGACAACAGGATGAGGGCACAGACCAACACATAGAAGCCCAAGTTCCAGGGATCATCTGTGGAGAGGCAGACCTCTTGTTATACGTTTCGTAAGGAATTTATAAAAATGCCACCTGCTTTGCCTGTGACTCACCTTCTTCGCTGACCTTGCCCGCGGTCGCTGTCGTATCGCAATACTCCACCACACTCTTGGCCTGAACTCCAAAGTTGCGCTGCCGCAAGCGCCAGTTAAGGCAGGCGTTGCTCAGTTCGTTGTAACGCGCCCGATTGGCCGACTCCATGGCGAACAGTTCCAGATACACGTTCACCTGCAGCAAACAAACGAACAAAATCAAAAGATGCCACATCAAATAGCCAGCCAATTGGCCATTAAATGTCATAGCCTTGGCCCTGAAAGAAATGCAGCTGCTCCAATTTTTTTGGGGCCCGCCATTAAATAGCCCACGCTGCCTTTTGTGTAACCCAAAAATGTAAAACTGCATTTCATTGGCTACTCCAGCAAATGACATCGGTCAATCAGTGGGTTTTCCTCGCTCGCATCGCCTAATTATGCAGCAGACCCACCTAGATGATGACCAACTCTTGATAATAAGATGTGGACTTGGACAGTGGCACAACGCACAAAGGGGGGGCTACTCAGAAACAAACAAATAAATTCTATATTGCATTTGAAATATTTACTAGGGCTTCAATATTTAGTACATAGTATTTTCAATTTTAGTTCTTAATCCTCTAAACCTCCCCTTAACTAAGCCACTGTTAACCGCAACGTTGAGTTGAATAAACTGTGGGCTACTCAATAATTGCAGTCTTCTTGAGTATATGGACTATCTAAGACGGTTTGCTACATAAGAAAGAATTTCTATAGCGATTTAAGTTAAGCCTTTACTTTTACTGTAACTTTGTGTCTACATACTTTAGTTCTGTAAAACTTTTAAGAATGTCACACAAAGTGAATTTAAGAAACACATTTAAGAATGACACACAACGCGTAATGGAAAATACGACAGTATAAAATGCACACAAGTTACCAAAAGACATTTTACTAGGAGATTTTTGTATATTCCAGGACTTCTTCTGTAAAGTTTACGAATGACGCACAAAACAGAATAAAGAAGTCTGCTGTGCAATAAAGTGCGACAAAAAAGGATTGGAAAAACTAAAAGATACTTTCATATCATACTGTGACTTTTCAAAGGTATACACTATTCGTTGCGCCCGAAATATACATTTTAAGCATTTTGTTTGTTTTGTTTATTGCTTGTGCACATTTGTCTGGCTCTTTTTATACCCTTGCAGAGGGTATTATAATTTCGTCGTGAAATGTGTTACGCATAGAAGGAGACATCTCCGTCCTCATAAAGTATATAAATTCTTGATCAGTATCAACAGCCGAGTCGATATAGCCATGTCCGTCTGTCCGTCTGCCCGTCTATCTGTTTCTATGCAAACTTGTCTCCCAGTTTTAAAGCTACTGTCATAAAACTTTTGTGATACGGGCAAAGCAATATGAAAGGGTATTAAATCTTAAGTATGCCGCAGATAGCATTTTTTCTCGTTTCATTTATTGTTGTTAGTTTGAACGTTTTTATTTTTCATTCAACACTTTATTTTCGTTTCGTTTGTTTTTTTTTTTTTTGTTCAATCTTTTTTATTGGTAGCTGTGGCAGATTATGAAATCTATGTTTTTCTTTAGGCTGCAGCTGTTGGCGGTTGGGCAAAGGCGTAAAATTAAATTAAATTGTGTGCGATCTTCCAAATGCATTGAAAAGCGGTTTTTGATTTTCTGGCATAGCCATTGAATACATTTTTATGATTTCATATGGTTGTGTTAATTGAATCTAAACTATAAAGCTGATAGAATTCCATTGAACCATCTTAATCAGCCGAAGCTGTTCATTTCATAAGTTATTAATAATTACTAGAAAATTTACGATTCATTGCCAGAGAATATCCAACACAAATCAAGTCTTGAAATAGGCTTAGTCTCTAATATAATATATATGTATGCATATTCACCTTGGCATTGTCTGTGAGAACGCCCGCCTGCAGCTGCTGAATGGTATCTGCATCCAGTTCCGCCAGCTGCGCTTCGCACTTGTGCACGCACAGGCCAAAGTAGAGTTGGCGATGATCAAAGTGATGTCGATCATACTTAGAGATCTCCTGTATGACACGCCAGGCGGCTGTTGTGCCATTTGGTTGCACCTCGGCGCGCACAAAGCAATAGGTGGCTGTGTCGTCGCTTGCACCGAACTCCTGCAGACAGCGATCGTAGTCATCGAAGTCGTAAAGCTGCGGCATCTCGTAGTACTGCGTCACTGTAGATGCAAACAAATGCACAGTCATTAAGGAGTTCTCTCGTGTGATTCAGGAAAGCAAAACTAGTTTTGTTGGAATAAAATCCAACAAATTAGCCAAGAACATGGTATCCTTAACTAGCTATAACCGTATCTACTCGTATGATCAGTCAAGTGAAGGGAAACTCGTTTTCCTGCCTTGCAGTTCTGTGAATTAGTCGAAAAGACTTAGGACACAAACTTGAACTTGAATTTCAGGTGATTCACCTTTGCGGATTGCAAGCCAAAAGGAATTTTCTGGAATTCGCACATTAAGCAGAAAAAAACCGAGGTGACGAACATGAGCTAGAATTTAAACGAGCTTGAAATTAGTTACAAATAGCATTCAAGGAAGGGATACGTTTTAAGAGTTTTTGTTAAAAAGACTTAGGACACGAACTTGGCTGTGAATTGAAAATTCTTTACAACATTCAACAAAAAAGCTGTAATGTATTGGGCCACGAACTTGCATGTGAATTCTGAGTCCTTAACGGGGAAAAAACAATTAACTGAAAGTCAATTTGTTTTTGGTTAGTCCCAAATCTTTCAAAAAGAATTAGGACACAAACTCGATTTATAATTTGCATAATGCATAAATTTATATGTTAGGCACCGAAAAACAAATACGCTGTTAAACACAAAACAGAACTCAAATTTCCAGTCCTTGAACTTTGCCGGATCTTAGGCTCATCGCAAAGAAATTCCATAAATTAGCATTCCCAAAAAAAACAGGTATCCTAAGCTTCGGAGTTTGATTTGTGATGTGCAAATCAGTATGCAAATAGTGCAAAGTCATCTTGTTCCTGTCTCGAGCAGATAGAAAAGTCAAATATCACCCTCGATTTATTACACGTTCATATGCAAAGTGAAAAGAGTATACTGGTCTGTGTGTCCGTTCGTCCGTCTTTCCGTATGAAAGACCACGAGGAGGGAGGGACGGGACAATTGCATAACAAATGGGTTTCTGAAAAAGTTTCATAGTTATCTTAAGATATTTATGTAGATAGCCTGTCTAAAACTTTTGTTGGACTGTAAATAGAGTATTAAGCAGTCGGTTCTTATTTGCTTCGCACAAGTATGAGGGAACCTTGCATTTCGAGCTTTACTTGATTTGTTGTTGTTTTCATAACGCAAAACTGAATGAATTGTAATCGCTTAATTTGTGATGCGTTCAGTAAAGCGTGACACGCAAAAGAGGAAAACTGTGTAAATAAAAAAACAAGATTCTCAGAGCTGAGATTTGACAATCGGCCAGAACCAAAAACTTCGCTGTAGGCAATCGTTTCGGGTAAAAAACCTTTTTTGAATGGAATGTTTTCGCTGCCTGACAATTATGACAATTAAAATAGCCAATCGCTTTTGTGTATCTAGTGCGGATTTGTCAAATCATCTGACGTTAATACGAAATGCAGGTGTCTGTCTAAAATCTTTCATTGTCACTGTTTGTAAATTATGAGTGTAGAGTGTGGGGCCTTGACGATAAATCTTGATTATGTACATCAGGGAACATTTTTCAATTAAGTGAATCTTTTAATTACATTTACATAACTTGTTTGATCTCAGGACTAAGCTTAAGCTCTGGGAAGTTAGTAGAAATTGGTTAAAAATTACATGCTAGTAGCTGTGCTTGACTCAAAAGATTATATTTGTTATTGAAAAAAAACATTTAAGTGTGCTTTTAATTTAATACACCACTTTTCTGACATTACAATTTATATAAAGTCTTTAAATATATAATGAAATCACGAGCTCTGTAACAGAATCAATATCTATATCTATATCTATATCTATATCTATATCTATATCTATATCTATATCTATATCTATATCTATATCTATATCTATATCTATATCTATATCTATATCTATATCTATATCTATATCTATATCTATATCTATATCTATATCTATATCTATATCTATATCTATATCTATATCTATATCTATATCTATATCTATATCTATCTATATCTATATCTATCTATCTATATCTATATCTATATCTATATCTATATCTATATCTATATCTATATCTATATCTATATCTATATCTATATCTATATCTATATCTATATCTATATCTATATCTATATCTATATCTATATCTATATCTATATCTATATCTATATCTATATCTATATCTATATCTATATCTATATCTATATCTATATCTATATCTATCTATATCTATATCTATATATCTATATCTATATCTATATCTATATCTATATCTATATCTATATCTATATCTATATCTATATCTATATCTATATCTATATCTATATCTATATCTATATCTATCTATATCTATATCTATATCTATATCTATATCTATATCTATATCTATATCTATATCTATATCTATATCTATATCTATATCTATATCTATATCTATATCTATATCTATATCTATATCTATATCTATATCTATATCTATATCTATATCTATATCTATATCTATATCTATATCTATATCTATATCTATATCTATATCTATCTATATCTATATCTATATCTATATCTATATCTATATCTATACTATATCTATATCTATATCTATATCTATATCTATATCTATATCTATATCTATATCTATATCTATATCTATATCTATATCTATATCTATATCTATATCTATATCTATATCTATATCTATATCTATATCTATATCTATATCTATATCTATATCTATATCTATATCTATATCTATATTTATATCTATATCGATATCGATATCTATATCTATATCTATATCTATATTTATATATATATATATCAAGGTATATTTCTAAGTATGGCAATATCTTTTCCTGTTTCTATATCAAATTTATTTTATAGTCTGATTCTATATGTATGCAATAGGAACACATGCCTACGACTTTAACAATATTGCGAGCTAAAATATAGATTTGAATGATATGCATGATGTACATAGTCATAAAAAATGTGCTCAAGTTCGCATTCAGTTCTTATTTAATTCCCATCAGGCTTCAATGATTGAAAACAAAATTGTTTAATTTAATTTGAATTCCATAAATTAGATTTGCATTTAAACTGAAATTATTTTGCGCATTGTATCACAGATACTTGCACATGATATAAACAATTGCCAGGCATTATAAAAACTGTCGTAAATCTAATCGTTCCCAATTGTAATTAGAATCATTTGATGGGTAACAATTTAATGCGACGAAAACGCCCGCCAACGTTGCGTGCGGGCGAGTATATTTTATTTTCTGACAGAAAAAAATTATAAAAAGTCCCATTACAGTAGCATTAATAATACCCAATGCACTGTAGCATATAGTAAAAGATTACTTACTGTTCATCTCAAAGCATTGAACCGCCACAAGGAGCACGCCACAGCTTACAATAAGCTTTAGCGGCCACATGTTAATGCCTCACAATAGCACAGTGCACTCTCAATAACAATAACGACACCTGCTTAATTGTTTTGGCTGCACTTTTAAATATTTATTTCTTGTTTTTGTTTTGTGATAAACTCTTTAAACTTGCGACACCCGACAAAAAAATCTCTCGCCGCTGGGCAACTTAAATTTCATCAACGAAAACCTGAGCATTCAACAAAAGCCGCTTCAATGCCAACTGTTAGGAAATTGCGCTGCGCTTCCGATAGCTGTTCACGATGCGCTTTTCCACAGTGCGAGGGAAATGCTGTTTAAACCAGCCCGTAACCGAACTGAACCATGCGCGGCAACGTGCGAGCCGAGAATGAAAATACGAAATTGATAAATTCGAATGAAAGGTGCGTGTGCGCCGTGATGTTTGGGATCGATTTGTTGAGCCCGGTTCGCCGCTGTGCAGCCAACCAGTTGGCCAGTTCAGCTAGCCAGCATCATCGTCTGTAATATACAAATTTATTAACGTTTCAAAACTCTTCCGCTAAATTGCATTGGAACATGTTCGATGCGCCCACATTCAACTGAATTATAGAGTATGAGTTTGTCGTTAACTCGATGAAACGAGTTTCAGCCCTTTACCAAAGCTGACCGACCAATTTGCCGTATATGGAGCGTGGCAGCTGGTTTCATCAAAGGTTCTATTACCAAATAATAAAAATAAATTATATCTTCACAAGTTAGCATACATTTTTATGGCCCAAAATACATATAGAAATTTACAAATAAGTGTAAAGAGTCGAAACAGGTTGTGCTTCATCTGCTTTTATATGGGCTTGATGTCAAAATTTAGTCAGAACAACTGAAATTTTATAATGACTATGCAGAATATCGGCTAAAGCATAACAAAAAAAAAAAAACAAAATATGGCACATGGTGTTTTGCTATAATCATAATTAAAACAAACAAGAAGCAGAAGAGTCTCCAAGGCAAGAAAAGAAATAGGCAAAACGAACGACTGACGCAGCGAACTTCTGTTCTGTACACTAAACGAATGACTTATGCAACGAACTTCTTGCCTCACCCAAAACGAAAGATTAAGGCAACGAACTATCTTCATTTATTCCTTTTTTTTGTTTGTTTCAACTCTTTGCAGCCAGCTGCTCGGCTTGATTAGCCTTTCGCAGGCACGTGCCCGCTTGGATCTGTCCAGCGTTGTAACGCCGCTGCACGTGCGCGATGTGATTGCTGTGCTGACGGAGAGTATGGCGCAGACACGTCTCGCCACCGCTGAAACAGCTGCCCCAAGTAGTTCCGGCAAAAGTTCACAGCTTCAGAGTTTTGTACACATGATGCAGTTGCGCTCGGCTGCACTGGGTCGGCGCATCTTTGAGTTCGAGGAGCTGAAAGATATGGGCACGCGTGCGGGCATCATGACGGGCATCACAAAGTTGGTGGAGATTGCCAACATAGGCGGCTATTTGCTCAAGAAGGGCGCAAACATGTACGAAGTGGTGCCCGACTAAGCAAATATCTATGTAAATATTTTAACAATGTTGTTGTTAAACTAATACATTAAGTTGGTTTTAAGTTTCGCGAAGTCAAGAATCATGTTTAGCCAAGTACCATATTTAATTTCAATCAGTTTAAATATTTACCAAATGTTCACTTATACAACAACCAATTTTGTTCAATTTTGCACTTGATTCATTATCCAAGTGATTTAAATAAATTTGGGCAACATTATAGCTGCAAATATCTAATCATTTAATTCGTAAGTCGTAAATTGTTGATAACGTTTTGTTTTTTTTTTTGCCTTCTAAGAGACAAACAACTTTTGAGATGTTAATCAAAACATTTGTATAATTAAAAGAAGAATCACAAATCATTAGATGTGAACTGCAAATCATACGCTTGAAATCCCAAATTTGTGTGGGCAATGTTAACGCCATCTTGCGACATGTAGCGAAACTAAATAATAGTGTATAAATCTTAGTATTGCATACTTTCGCACTGTATTTGAAGTGTAAAGTGCAGTATTTGTGTTACATACTCTTGTGCTTAGCCACAAATATGCAAGCAGAACAATTTTAACAAATAGGTAACTCGAGCTTGGCCGAATCCTGGCAGATTTTTAAAGGACATGGTGCATTGAAATCGTATTGGCGATTTCCATTGAACTACATTCAAATAATTTGGGTTCCAAGCAAACAAAATCCTAAATAACTCGTTGACTAACTGAAATTTTTGTCCATTAGCTAGTTGATAGCTCGGGCATACGAGTTGTTTGACACAGAACTTGCAAGAATGCGGCCGGCTTGGAGATTTTTTTTTCTAAAAGGAACATTCTATTAAGAGCTCTATGGCTGAGGCCATATCCTTACAGATTTGTGAAGGACATGGTGCGTTAGGTTCGCAAGGACCAGCACTATCAATATGCATTCAAGTATATTGGGGTTATCTAAGAATCCAGGACTTGTCTAATTTTTAGTCGCGGATCGCAAGAAAAGAGGCTAAAAACACAGAATCCTCGATTTCTCAGAAACTATAGGTTGTTCATAGCCCTGGCCAGTATAAATTATTTGACACATAATTTATCAGGATACGCAAGGATGCTGCTGAGTTATGACCTATTTTCTGTGCACGAAAATTTAATTTTTTCTCTGCTTTTTGAAGAACTTTCGTCCTTTTTGTTGTATATTTTATATGGGTATAAGGTGTTTCTGTTAACCCTATAGGAAAAATTGAAGTGAAATTTGTGGAGGGATCCTTGAAATCCTTGAGTGCCAATCGATAGTGCTGCTTTCCACCTGCTCGAAAAGGTATATCACTCCGATATCCTTAAGGATAAGACCGAGATATGAATGTAAATATAATGTTCTGTTGAAAAAAGTAGCAAACTACAAGGACGATCAAAACTGACAGGATGATGTCTGTCTGCTGCCCAAAGGATATCAGGATTGTCCGTGAAATGACCAAGTTATGCCCGATTTTGTGATAAGTAGAAATTGAAATTTTATCCCAGCAGACCTTTATAGTACGTGTTCCTTTAGGATTCCAAGTACTCCACTATAGATATAACGACTCAGGATCAATGTTGAATGGTTAACTACCATGTTAATTAGAATGCTCCTTGAAAAGCGAAGCTTAACCTGATTGCATTGGTTTCAATTAATACTTTATTCTCTTTGAATTCATAAAATTACATTGAATTTGTCATGCTAATTTTTCCATATATATTATCAAATATAAATACATATATGTTTAAAATCCAACTCATAAAATGTCTGTCCATGCTTAGCTTTCGTCTTTTTTCATTCAGTGTATTATCCTATGTATTTTCATAATATATTTGCTTGGTTTGAATGCATTTTGTTTTCGGTACATGTGAGGCTTTACAATTGTAAATATTATGTTTAGTTAGTAACTATGGTATAATTTGTATGTATTTTATATCATAGATTCGTTTACGTTTATAAAGTACAGCACTACAGGTAATGTGGCTTAGCCTAAATGGGTTAGTTTCGTTTTTATATTAGAGCTATCATTTACCGTGCCTTTTAGAACTATATACAAGAAAAATAAAAAAAATTAGATCGAACATAATTATAGGGTATTGGGTATTTAATGTACTTCAATATTTGGCTTAACTCTTTTTCTTTTGTTTGTTTTGCTATCCATCCGTCCGTTAAAATCTTATGCTAATTGCAAGTGTCTTTCTTTAATTGAGATATTTGCTAAATAAGCATTAATTATCGTTTTTCTTCCTTTTTTTTTCTTCGTTTTGCGTATATTTTAAGCTAATCAGTCTAAATAAATAGAAGGCAACAAAAATTCAACATTTGTGGCTAAAACTGAACAAATTTTCACTAATACGCGGTCTAAATATTTGCAGCTAAATATTTATATGGTATAAGTTGTATCTTTAAGCTCTACTAATTTTAACTAAGGCCAATCAGGCAAGCTACAAAAGAAGAAATGTTTAAATCAATTTAAAATTAGAATAAATTTAGATATTGTCTGTTGGCCTTAAGCTAGATAAATTATATATAGTATATAAGAATTTGCATATTACATTAAACAATAATGGATTTTATCTAGTCAGAGAAGTTATATATAAGCAGCTTACAAACCAAAAGTAGAAAAAATATTAGAATAGTTTGAGACATTATCTGTTGGTTTCAGCTAAACAAATTATTTATGAGAAATATCAAAATAGACAGATGACTTAATTTTATGTAGTTTGAATTACTTAAGAATTTGAAGGAGTTAACTAAGATTATATTAGGATTATTGCACAAAGTATGGACCGGACAGTTAGAATTATAGATTTTTATAGAGCTCGGATATGACTGTTGCTTAAACGGAATGCTGACGGGCAGTAAAATGATCTATTGCATATACATTCACATAGATAAATTTGGTATACGATAACAATGCTCTGGGCTTTGTACTTTAAATGTGTGAGACGCGAAGAAGAGTGTACGATCTGTTAATAAAGCTAAATAACATGCACTTGTCCGTATTTAAAAACTAAATATATAAGAACTTAACTCAACCATCAAATAAATATAATAAATATTTTGTCGTTTGTTACACATGAGATACAACGCAAACTTAGAAGCTACACTAACTGCCACTGCTGTCCAGTTGCCTCGCGGGGCTTACAGTTCCCCACTAAAGGTAAGATTAAAGGTGCGCAGCTCCATGGGCTCCAGCGTGATCTGTGCCAGTGAGCGCAGGGTCTGCGGCTGCATAAGCTTGGGCAAGCCCGTCAGGCTGGTCGCCTCGATGCTCAGCAGACGCAGATCGCCAAAGCGCACGGCGCCCAGACCGTTGCCAGTTAGCGGGCACAGGCTGCTCATGTCCAGATGCTGTGAGCTGACGCTGCAATCGAAGCCCTGACGATGCAACACCATTAGCGCCGAGGCGGACGGAAACAGCTGCAGCTGCGACTCGGAGAGCGTGCGCAACGTGGTCAGATGCACATCGCAGGGCAGCGCGCCATGTGGGAGCAGGCGCACCAGCGGCTGTAGCGCCGCTTGCGGCTGCTCAAAATTGCTCAAAAAGTAGACGTTCGGTGGGTAGCGCAGTCCATTGGCCAATTGTTGAGCCTGCAAGCTGAGCACCTTGTAGCTGGGCGGTTTATCCACATGCTGGCTCAGCGGCACGTCCTCCACCAGCAGCCAGAACTTGTGACGCGTCAGGCGACTGTCGACAACGCCCTCGCCCATGCCGCGATAATCGTCGTAGAGTGTGCGACGGTCCAACATGACCTCCAGCTGGCCAGGCTCATAGCTGGCGGCGCCCTGGGCGTGCGTGGTGAGCAGTGTCAGCCGCAGGCGAGCATCCTGCAAAAATGCGGCCGAGGTAATGGGAAAATAGTTGCCCTCAATTCCAATCGCAGGCACCTTGATGCGTCTGTTCAGAGAGCACAGATTAAGATTTATATGATCCTTGATATACCAGCACTTACTGATGAAATTGGAAACCATTTTGATCGCTGTAGAAAACGGGCAATTCAGGCATGCTTGTCTCGGTGGGCTCCTTGAGCGGATCACGCTGCAGCGGCGCCGGCGCAATGTTGTCAATGTTCGTGATCAGGCGCATGAACAGCTCCGTTTCACGATTCTTTGGCGGCGGCTCAAAGTCAATGTCGTTCTCTATATAAATAGCCGCATCCAAGTGGGTGCGCGTGTTAAAAATGCGTACAGTATGTGCCAGGAAGGGTCCATAGATGACCGTCACATCGCTGGCAATGGGTCCCGAGGTGATTATGATGCGCACATCGTCATACTGCTCCAACACATCCCTCTCGGCCTCGCTCTGCTCGGGATCTGTCTTAAAGAGATACGCGCCCGAATGGAACTGGGCACTCCGATAGGCGGAAAATTTAACAGCGCATTGCATCGGCTGCAGCAGCTGCTGCTGCTTGTTCTTTCTGGTGATGGTCTTGAGGAAGCCGCTCTTCTCATCGAACAGCAAACGCATGTGAGCATTCTCCAGCTGGATGTCACCTGGCGGTGTTCAAATTAATGGCTTAATCAATAAATCGATTGAAAACTGGCTTATTATATTGTTTTTTTTGTGATATATAAATAAATATTTAACAAACAGTTAAGAGGTATACACACTCTGTTCGCAAAGTTTGGAAGAGTTTATTGGTTTTGTGTAATGCCATTAAATTTTTGGGCAAAACGCGTTAAGCCCACAATTCAAGATGGATACGTATAATACTTATGAACTTTTTTAGAGATCGAGCCAAATATATTCCTGTCGCCTCATATACTACACTAGCGAGATGGGATCGGGACGGAAATTCCGTGGGTATCGCGCAGGTGCTGTAAAAAGCTTTAGGATGGGCGGGACGGCAAAGAGACGTGTAATTGGCGATATTTTTATATAATTTTTCAAGAAGTTTGATTGCACGAAATCTGAAGCAGTTTCAGAGTATTTAGCTGTGTGTTAAGCTCGATTTGTATTAACGCTAATTTAGTACTGTGGTTAGTATAATTTAATCTATTTACTGTCAATGCTTACCCGCTGGCTTGGCCTTTGCCTCAAACTCCACAACATTGACGTTGCGCGGCGTGGCACTGCCTGCGGCCGTCTGAGGCTGAGGCTCGACGACGGCCGCCTTCTCCGTGCAGTCGTCGCAGTAGATCGTGGCGATGTTGCGCTTGTAGTTGAACTCATCCACCTGGACGCGATAGGTGCTCAATGATAGGGGCTCCAGTTCGGCCACGAACATGACCTCGAATTGGCGGATGGAGGTGCGTATGCGGCCGCTATTTGCCTGCAGCCGCTCATTGAAACCCTGCTCATAGACGTTGGTGATATTCCAGACGGGATTGATCTGGATGTGCTTGAGCTCCACGCCGTGCTCGTTGTAGATGCGCACATTGGGCTGCTGGACGCGCAACGTGACAATTTCGAAGCGCCGCTGGGTGAGCGCATTGAAGATCACAAAGCTGGCCTCGGCATTCTTGGCCAGCGGCACAGATGTCTCTTCCTCGTCGACTGTGTTGGTTTCGCTGGCCTCGTCGCTGCCAGAAGAAGCACTCGGATTGGTCAGCTGTATGGGCATTTTGCGTGGCAATTTGCTAAAATTATCCCGCTCGAATTCGCTGAGCAGAAAGCCATGCTGATGTGAGGTGGAGTTCTGCAGCAGCAGCTCCACACACGCCTCCTGCATCTTGACCATGTTCTGGGTGCTGTCGAACAGGCGCATGGCATAATCACGCATCACCGCCCCCTTGGAGGTGCCCGTAATGGCATCATGATGCTGGAACAGACCCAGATTGCGCCGGGCGTGTATTATCTGCTCGTAGTTCTTCTCATAGATCTTGATGGCATCCTCGTGATGCGCTTGGCGCGCCGTATTATAGGCAATGGTAAAGAGTATCTCGGCGGCACGCAAATTATGCTCCAGCTCGGTGCTCAGCAGCTTGTAAAAGGGCCGTGTCGTAAAGTAGCCTGACCAATACGCGGGCCTGCCCTCCGAGAAGATGTCCGAGTAGACAAAGAAGTCTCCTTTGAAGCTGGGGAACGCCTTGTTGTCGCCCATGCGCTGACGTATGGCCGCAAAATAGTCGCTGGGCGTGCCAAATTTAATGTCCACATTGTACAGACGCTTGTTGGCCATAATGTGGCTGATGAGCTTCTTGTAGTTGCTGTACTGTTGGTCCACCTCGCGCTCCCTGTTGTAACGGAAATCATCGCCGACAGGAATGAGGGCCACATTGTGCGGAAATAGGGAGGCGGTGCGTGCATATTGCTCCAGCAGCAGCTGGGCCTTCTCCTCCACATTCTCATCGGTTATATATTGGGCCTTTAGAGAGTATTCCGTGTATTCGCCGGGTATTTTGCGAAAATCAAAGTTCAGGCAGATGGAGGGATGGGGGCCACAGGATCCCTTGATGGAGTATATGTCAAAGGGCATATTGTGTGTCAGCAGCTTGCCCTGATCCTTGGCCGAGCGCCAGTAGGGAGTCCATATGAAATCGCCGCTTTGTTGGCGCGCGAACCACTCCTTCCAGGCGTAGTGGATGCGCTGTATAATCGCCCCCTCGAATTGGGCTCCGGATAGCAGGTATGGCACCGTGCTGCCATGCCCAAAGGGATCAATGGACCAGCCCACCTTGGGCGTGACATTCAAATTGTTCCTCAGCCACTGATGACCCTCGATGAGTTGATCCAGCATGGGATAAATGTGCACATTGGCCTCATCCGTCATGACCCAGCCGCCGGTGGTGATTTCTATGCGTCCGGAGTTCACCAGGCGCTTCAGAGCGCGTTGCTTGGTGGGATGTGCCTGATCCCACCAGAGCTGCAGGAAACTAATCTCCGACCAGATAAAGGTCATGTCCTTGTACTCTTGCATTTTGGTCACCAGCAGATTGAGTATCTGCCGCGAGTCCGATTGGAAGTAGTTGAAGAAGGTTTTCAGCCAACCGGGATCATTGTGCGAATGCGGCACCACTATGACCTTTAAGGGTGGCCGCTGTTTATCCTTCTTCTGCGCCTCGTAGCGCTCCTCAAAGCCGCGATCCCAATACTCCTTGGAGCGCATCCATTCGGGCTGTGGATGGAGATAAGAATTATGGGCTTTTCTTGCATATAATAGAGGATATATATATATTTTGTCATCATGTCTCTAGCATATCACATAGATGGAAAGGCGGTTGGACTTGACTAGGTCGACTGATAAATGGGTCTTATGGATCTAGCAATGTTTTCTTATGGCTTTTATACCACTTTTATCGTCAGAGGCTTCAGGACATTAGTACTTGACCCGGATGAATCCGGGTATAGCCGCATTAATATAAAGGCAATCCGTGATTACATACCTGAAAATCAAACCTGCTGTGCTCCTCTGAGGCAGTTATGTTTGTTTTGCTTTGGAGCAGCACGTAGCACTTGTCGCCCCAGTGCACATTCCGTACCGTCTCGGCGTCTGAAGTCGAGTCCAGATTCTCGTGTTGCTGCGTGCTGGGATAATGCTTTTGCTGCAGTGGCAACTGGTGCTGCTGTTGCTGCTGCTGCTGGTGTTGCGACTGCTGCTGCGGCTGCAACTTATGGACGGCAGTTTTGCCGGCGTCCACATTGAAGCTGTTGAGAGACGACTCGTGGGCACGATTCACGTTCACAGCCAGACCCAGTGCATTGGCATCCGTGCTGTGCGCCTGATTGGGCTGGCCAATGGAAATGTAGTACAGGCACAGCAAAATGGTCACAAATGCCGACAGGAGGCCAATGCAGCGCGCTGAGCCTCGTCGGAAGAGCTTAAAGGACATGTTGCGCGCGGGCCTCTACGGCGGATTAGTCCAGCTTTCCTTGTTGCTCCTTTGTTGCGCTGCTTGTGTATGTCGCAATGGATGTATTTGAGAGCTGCTCCTTTGTGACTGTATCTGCAACGGCCAAAAAAAGAATATCATTATCATCATCGCACTGGAAGCCAAAGGAGTTAAATGCGGATTTAAAAAGGGTTTTACAATTGGCAGCCAGACAGCAGCTGAACTGCTTGACTAACAAATACCCAGTTAGAGGGCAAGTAATTTACTTTATAAATATTTTTATAAAGAAAGTATTTCCTGTAAGAACATCAATTAAATTTTGTTAAGAAAAATATAAGATTGATTTGTGTATATGAGGAAATTTCGAAAGCAAAGTCTTAAGCACTTATTCAATTATTAATGGTCGTAAAAAGAAGAGCCAACCCGAGTATTAAATGCACTTTAAGGCACTTTTAAAATAAAAGCTTAAAGCCTAAGCAGAATACAAGAATCTCTAAGAACAGCAGCACGATGTGAATACTCTAATTGACTGTCCGACCAGCTATACCTCTATTCACAGGAAATTTGGTCAGGAACGTGTTAGCAAACGCTTAAACCATATGAGTTCGAACACAATATGAATAAACCACAGCAAAGACTTGAAACAGACAGAGGGGCAAGCGTGCGCACAGCAGAGCAGCAGAAGAAGAGATTACCAATTAATTAATTTATGAACTAACGATGCACAACAGACAGCACTTGGTACAAACAATTTTATAAAGCACAGCCATGCGGAATTAAGAATATATAAGGCACAGTCATCTCAAGCATCAAATGCTATTGATTCTCGACATTATAAAAGAAAGTTTCTGGACAAAATAATTGCAGAAAGCTTTCAATGCAAGGCTTGAAATCTAACAGTTAGACACTCTTTAGCTCACTTTTCGAATAGCTTACCGTTCAAAGCTCAAATCCAGGATATATGCAGCTGTACGGAAGCCCTATCAAAAATCATTTTATATTCCTTGATTTCAGTTGTATTCATAAATTAAAGGTGTTGCCACGCAACGCCGTTTCCTTTCATTGATTCCGCTTTGTCTCGATTGGACATCAAGTGCTATAATATTTTACATCATATTGAATATTTCTTGAATACAATACAAGTCAGGATAAGCCAAGAAGGTGGGCGGAAAGGAGCACACAGAGCAGAGGGAAGGAACAAACACGCAAACCCAGCCAAATGCGCTGCCTGCGAAAATTTAATTAAGGCACATCCCGAAAATGCTTCGCATGTCTGTCACGAATATTGCGCATACATGTGGAATAGTTCTCGGTTACGTTAACAGGGTAGGGGGGAGGGCGGCTATTGTGGGTGGGACCTGCTTTCAGGACCTGCGCGCTTGTGGCATAAGTAAATTTGCCAATGTGTAAAGCACTTAATTCGAAATTCCGCACACCGAATGCTGAACGCAATTTGCATTTAATAAACTATAAATAGTTTGAGGGCAAATGCGGGTAATTGCCTAGTTATTGAATTATTACAAATTACGTTCTATCAAGTATGCTAATAATAGTCGGTACAGATGTATTTCGGCTACCTAATGCAATAATAATAATATTGTAATAATAATAATAGTAATAATACTTCAAGTAACAATTTCTCTCTTAAGAGAGCATTGGAAATGGGTATAAGGGTATATTGTATTTGTGCAAAATCCAAATATATGTAACAAGCAGAAGGAAGCATCTCCGACCCAATAAAGTATATATATTCTTGATCAGCATAAATAGCCGAATCGATCTAGCCATGTCCGTCTGTCCGTCTGTCTGTCCGTCCGTTCGTCCGTATGTATGAACGCAAGGATCTCAGAACCTATAAGAGCTAGACTTGAAATTTTAGATGTAGGTGCTCCCAGTGCCTGTGCAGATCGAGTTTGTTTCCGATAATCGATAACTTACTCCGTTTCCAAGCAATCGATAAAAAACGATACCGATATCCTGTTTTTTGGCCAAACTTGACATATAGCTTCTAAAATAGAATATATATATGCATTTGATGTTGGAAGAATAGGGTTCAGGGTATTCCCTAGTCGGGAGCTCCCGACTAGAACGTCTTAATTGTTTAGTTTAACTTTGTGTTGAATTTTTAAACTTTATCTGTATTTTACACATAACTATGCAAATATAATTATTATTAAATCATTATTTTACTATACTATTCTATTCTGCAGGCTTTGTTAAGATTCATAGACAATTTCTGGACTACGTACGTCTTTGCTCCGTGTTCATTTACATATCATTAGTGAAGGCTTCATTATATGTATCATAAATTCATTCAACTACATTACTTGATTTTTCATTTTTTTCATTTCATTTAAACTTAGTCCCTAATAAAATATACTTTATGCCGCAATTTTTACACTCACACAAAGCGCAGCAAAATGGAAGTTTGGCAAAGTCAAAAAGTCAAGGCAAGCAAATTACTTTACCCTCGACGATCTAACGAACCAGAAGTACCTAAAATAGAAGAAAAAAGTAGAATATTCAAAACTTAATCAAAAACTATTCACACACAAACGCGTGCATACTGGCATAAAGTTTGTGAAAACTTCGCCTGGGCTGGCCACAAAATTGCTTGCCTGTGCGTTGGCACACAGTGCGTATGTGTGTTGGGAACAGGGAAATGCATTACGCATACGCCATGCAAAAAAATTTTCAAATTATTATTTAACAGGCTCGCCGAGAGGAACACAAAGAGAGAGAGAGAGAGAGAGAGAGAGAGAGAGAGAGAGAGAGAGAGAGAGAGAGAGAGAGAGCGAGAGAAAGAGGGAGAGAGACATTTATGGAAGCTAAATTTGAATTGCATTAATTTTAATCTGAAGTGAAAAGCTTGACTAAACTACATAGTCAAGAGCTCAAGTGTCAGCTGCTGCTGGGACCCCCCTTAACCAATGTTTCAATTAGCCACACACACATTCACATACACTCGGTCACACACACACACAATTAGCACAGCCACAGTCAAAGCCCCTCGCATGCTAATCAGCGGCCATTAAATGACGTTTGCTCTGAGCCCCCCTTCTCTCCGGAGAGCACCTGCCACTGGCAACATGCAAATATGTGTCTCCCTCTCGGCACGTTCAGCAGTTAAGTTAAACGTTGTACCCTTCCCCTGCACACCTTACCAACAGCATGTCACAATGTGCCAAGCGTATAAAAAAAGTGTAAAGCTCTTGCTTAAGCTCATTAGAAGTGCGGCGGGCGGTTGGGTTGCCGAAGGGGGTAAAGTGGAACTGGAACTAACATTGCGAGTGTTATACTTCAGTTGGGGATTTTTACCCTATTTTCTTTGCGTGTCATCTTAACGTTTAAAGACACGCATCGTCTAGAGTTCTTTGGCAGAATTATAAAAAATAATATATACAAACATTTATCAAGTGCCGCTCAAGTGCCTTTCAATTGACATTGAAAAAGATCATTCGCATCGCTGTCATAACTTTTCTCAAGTTGCAGGAAAACTGAGAAATAATTCAAGACGGTTTTCAGCTTGAGAAGAGAAGTTGATGCTTAAGTTGAAGCATGCAATTGACTGCGTTTCTGTTAGAATTTTCGTTATCAGTGTTTTTTATACCCCTGAACCCATTAAAAATGGGTATAAGGGTATATTGTATTTGTGCAAAATCCAAATGTATGTAACAGGCAGAAGGAAGCATCTCCGACCCCATAAAGTATATATATTCTTGATCAGCATCAATAGCCGAGTCGATCTAGCCATGTCCGTCTGTCTGTCCGTCCGTCCGTCCGTATGTATGAACGCAAGGATCTCAGAACCTATAAGAGCTAGAGACTTGAAATTTTAGATGTAGGTGCTCCTAGTGCGCAGATCGAGTTTGTTTCCGATAATCGATAACTTACTCCGTTTCCAAGCCTTCGATAAAAATCGATATCGAAATCCTGTTTTTTGGGCAATTTTGGTAAATAATAAGAGCTAGAGTCACCAAACTTGACATAAAGCTTCGAAAATAGAATATATATATTCATTTGATGTTGAAAGAAGAGGGTTCAGGGCATCCCCTAGTCGGGAGCTCCCGACTAGAACCTCTTACTTGTTTTTTTTGTGCCATCTTTCATTTTAATTTATTTCTGATTTTAAAACAATTTGAATGGAATGCTTCTCTTACTTCACCTGTCCTTCTTCTTCGACAGCTAAAGTAAATTGTTAAGTTTTTACTTTATTTTTTTGTTATTTAATGCTTGTTAAAAATAATGTTGTAAATTGCGCATGAAGTTGGTCTCAATAAATTATATATTATATATATAAATTCGCATACACACGCACGGATATTTTATTGCCATATTCCATAAGCAGGAAGCAGTCAAACTCTTTTATATGCACATCACTTAAAAACAAAAGAAGTAGAGAGCGTGTTAAAATATGGCTAATTGAAAAGGTATTTAATAAAGGAGAAACGGAGAGGGATTGGGTTGTTGTGGTTGAGGTTGTTCTTATCCGAATTAATGAGAATTGCATAGTAGGGCAGTAGCTAAAAATATTGTTTTTTTTTATTTTGAATAAAAACTTGAAAGCCTGTTCTTATTACTCGAATTTATGAGAATTGCATAGTGGGGCACTACGTCAAAATACGTTTTTTTTTAATGTACTGCGCAGTAGGAAGTATACTTGGTTCCCCTTTGGTCAAAGAGAACATACATACATTTATACATATACACATTCGCACATATAAATGGTATACGCATTTGAACAACAAGCTTATCAATGTGAAGCTACAAAATATTTCCATGTTTTACGCGCAATTCCCAAAGCTAAGACTGGTATTTTATCAGTCTAGTAGAGTATTTTTCAAAGCTTATTTCCATATGATTTATTCTAATCAGCAAGTTTGTGCTTAACTTTAGCGAAGCGATGGTGGACGGGCCCAAGAGATTTTAAATTTCTGCATTTCCGTAAATGTGGCAGATGTTTAAACGTAGCTTCGTTTTAAGTCAACTGTCGGAATGTTTGCAAATCAAACCGTCTGCTGACACATTCCGACTTATTAGTTGGCCGAAAGGGCAAAAACTTTTTAGACAAATTTGATTTCATCGTAAATTGCTCTGGTTATAGCCAAGGGACG